GCGCTGCTCGGCCCCGAAGCTGCCCCGGCGAGGTGCACCGCACCGCTCCGCACCGCACCTGCCCCGGCGGGGCGCACGGTACCGCGGAACACCCGACCTCCTGCACCAGCCCCCCCCGCCTCCCCTCCCCGCGCCGGCCCTGCGGGGACAGCAGCTGCCCCTCTGATTTTGGGGCAGATCCTCAGCTCCAAGGGCGAGTCCCTCCGCTAGCATGGCGAGCTTCACCGTCTGGGACTACGTGGTCTTTGCGGCCATGCTGCTGGTCTCGGCCGTCATCGGGGTCTACTACGCCTTCGTGGGAGGGGGCCAGAAGTCGTCGAAGGACTTCCTCATGGGGGGCCGCAGCATGAGCGCCCTCCCCGTCGCGCTCTCCCTCACCGCCAGCTTCATGTCAGCGGTCACCGTGCTGGGCACCCCTGCCGAGATCTACCGCTACGGTGCCATCTTCTGCATCTTCGCCATCACCTATGGCCTGGTGGTGCTGTGCAGCGCCGAGATCTTCCTGCCCGTCTTCTACAGGTTGGGCATTACCAGCACCTACGAGGTAAGGTGGAGTGGAAGGAGCCTTTCCACAGCCTTCAGGGAGCTGGGGGGCTTCTCATGCCCGCTTTCTACGTGTCTCCCCTCAGCCTCTTCCCCCAAATCCCCCTGCACTCTGTGCTGCTCCATATCTCCACAATGCCAAGAGCAGGCTGCAACCTGCTCTGTCCCCAAGTCTGCCCACACTGCCTTCGCAGAGAGGAGATGCTCAACCCTGCTGTCTTGGCTCAGGAGCTGTGCACCATGCCCAGATTTGTTTCCTCACTCCAGATACTCAGTTCAGCAGGTGGATTAATCCTCGTGCAGCTTGGATGGTGACATGTGGTTAATGATGTGTAATTAATATGCCAAGAGCAGAGTGCAAGAGCATCTAACATAGGAACCAGAGTTCTTACATCACGCTCCCTCCAGATAGGTTTCTATGCTTAGGTGCAGCCATGAATGTCCCCCTCGAGCAGACTATATATTTGTGCTGTTCCTAGAGATTTGGCGGAGACACCGTTTCCACCTGAGGCTGTTCACACTGCTGAATGTCTTCTCCATTATGCTTATACAGGGAGGTCAGCAAGTGCTCTGTGTCTGCAAGAGTTCCACCAAAAAGTGGCTGGGCTGGACTTCAGCTCAGCGTGTAAGTTAAAGCTATAGCTAGCAGCACAGAGACACCTGGGGTGGTGGGACAATCGCAGGTCAAGTCTGACTGTTTTGGGGTGAGGAAGCACCTTGTCAGGACTTTGTTCTGACTGAGAAGGTCTGTGCAACCTGTTTATCTTCCTGCATGGAGATAGTTGGTAGCTGCAGATTTGGAGGCAAATTGTTCTTTTCACAGAGGACATTGGAAAAGGGGGCATCGGTGCAGGTGAAAGTCCTTGGCCAGCTACTTTGGTCTTTAGCATTTTATTACACTGAACAGGGGCGTTGCAGCACTGGAGGCTGAAAACAAGGCTTCTGTTGGTAGATTTAGATAAGAATTCACCAACAGAAATCTCTGGTGGCTTCCAATGTGTTTTAAACTGCTAATCTTTGGACTGTCAGTTATGATGATATTTAAAATAGGGCTCTTTTAAATAAAGACTTATAATTATGACTAGAAATGCACTGATAATCTTGGGGTTAAATCAGAGTAAAGCACCTATAAAAGATATATGTTCTATTTGCGGACAGAGTTCAGAGATTGAACAACTTTTTGTGTCTGTCCAGGGGTTCAGCACTGATTCCCTGCGTGGACATGCTCACAGATCACATTTTAAATGCTCAATTCACGAGTAGGCACTTTGAGATACTTCAGTGTTTGTCTGTGTCGATTGAACAGATCGGCAGGCAAAGGAGATCCCTTTTGTACAGCCACACACCCTAGAGGGTTGTTTGGACAGATGGTGGAAAGAAACCTGCCCTACAGCATGACAAATTCATAATGAGGTTGTGCTGTCCCAGGCTAGATAGAAAAGTGAGGGTTCCTGTTTTGCAAAAGGCTAGATTTCCACTTGCCTCTGGGATATGGCAAGCTGCTTTGGGCAGTGCAGGTGAGGATACCATGGAGGGTGCCGCTGACCACTGAAATCCTTCTGTCCTCTCTCGCAGCAGTTCAGATGGAACCACACTTAATGCCAGAGTTTCCAAATCGACTAAGGCTTAGGAATAGCCATAATGTTTTTCTCTCTGATTTCACAACGCAAGTGGGTTCTGTTGTTTGTTGGTATGTCGCTGTGAACTTTTAGGTTGCCCTGTGCAGATTCAGGAGTTGGACTCGATGATCCTCTTGGGTCCCTTCCAACTCAGGATATTCAATGATTCTGTGATAATATGTGCTGGTCTTTGCCAGGTCACGGTGAACAGCTCCTTGTCTATTGAGTGCCTTGGGGCAGCAGGGTAGCACCAGTTTCCATTCTGCAGACTCCATCGTATACTGACTAGCTTATGTCTACTTCACTTGCTGGCATGTTATTACCCAGTGGTGAGGTTTGTAAAAAAATAGCAACTCAGGTTGAAAGAGATATCAATCAAGGTGACTAGGAGCTTTGGCCATTCATGAAAATGTAAAAACGACACTATGCCCTTCCTGTATTGCTCATTGCTTCACTCTAGTCCTATCAATAGTGCCAAGTTTCATTATAAACATTTGGGTTTTATTGTCTTTTGCAGTATTTAGAGCTTCGATTTAATAAATACCTGCGACTCTGTGGAACGATCCTCTTCATTATACAAACGGCAAGTAAACCTCAAAGCTGTTCTGCGGTCCTCGTAGCCATCACGATTCTTCAGCTTAGTGTAACAACTGTTTTCTCTGAATGGTTGATGAGGTTACCGCAGTGCACGGGTGGCTGGGAGTGGGAGCAACAAAGCTCTTTTGGCGGATGCTGGGCTACCTGCCCCTTGGGTCTCTGTGTTCATTGTTGAGCACCCAGAGCAATCACTTGGCATCAGCGCCATGCCAAGAGACGAGCGACCCTTCACTGCAGGGTAGCAGTGCAAAGAGCAGCCGTTCGCCTGCCTGCTGGAGAAACCCACAATGGGTTCAAAATGTAAACATGCCCCAATTATCTACAGCGGCAGTTGTCATCCTCTGGTGCATGGATTCTGGGAGTCTGACTAATTCTCAAGGGTCTGTGAAAGGTGACAAAACAAGCTGTCAGGAGCTGTCATTTACTGCACAAGGGTTTGCACCACCACTGCTGGAAAAAACCTGGGTGTCTGCAAACTGAGAAGTAGCAAATTACTGCCTTGGGGAATGTTAAACTAAAGCAGTCCCTGAAATTATTGTTGGTGCAGTTTGCTGTAGCCAGCCCACTGCGGTAGTCAGTATGAGACCACAGCTTTTAAATGTACAGTGAGCGTGTGCCAAATGCACCAGAAATAAAAATGTGTCCTTTTCACAATTTTGAAGTGGACTTTTTGGGGAATTCAAAGCAAGAATGAATATACAATCAGAAAGCTTTTCAAGTTACCTGCTTGCTTTTTGCCGGTTTTTGTATTTTTAAGACACACCAGGAGTTACAGGGCAATCACACTTGCACCAATAAGGTGGTGGTCAATGCAGTGCTAATTACTTATTTGAACAGTGCTGCTTAGCTGACATTTATAGATACGCAAGCCCACAGGAAAAGTAGAGTGCTAGCATGTGTCAATCCTGACACTGCTTCATGAGCAAATATGAAGACATCACAGTTGCATAAGTTGGAACAAGCCAAGCATAATCTTTGCTTGCAAAGATCAGAAAAATAATTCTATACAACTTAAATACATGCTCAAGGAAATTAACTAAAGATCTATACGTGTCTTTCTGTGCCAATGACTAACAACTTAACCTGAATAATGAAAAGAATAGTGAGGAAAGGAACCTCCCCCCAGGATTTTAATGGTGTAATTTTCGCTGTTCTGTGAATATTGGCATGTGTTTAAACGAAGAAAAAAAAGGATATGTAGTGATACAACCTGAAAAACTACTGAAGAAGTGGAAAGATTGTGTCATCAGTCCTGTTTTAATTTACACAAAAATGTGATCGTACTTGTGACAAATTTTAATTTCTGGTGGTTCAAAGCGTCTGGCACTTGTTTGCTGTGTATGAGAAAGCCACTTTCTCATGCTGAATCCCTGAATTAGCAGGCTTGGAGAGGTACGGGTTTGACTGATGGACTATTAGATGGATAAGGAATTGGCTGGATGGTTGCGTCCAAAGAGTTGCAGTCAACAGCTAAATGTCCTAATGGAAACCAGTAATGAGTGGTGTCCTTCAAGGGTCTGTACCGGGACCAATACTGTTTAATATCTTCATCAATGACATAGATAGCGGGATGGAGTGCACCCTCAGCAAGTCTGTGGATGACACCAAGCTGAGCGGTGCAGCTGATTCAGTAGAGGGGAGCGATGCCATCCAGAGGTACTTTTACAGGCTGGAGGAGTGGGCCCATGTGAACCTCATGAAGTTCAACAAGGCCAAGTGCAAGGTCCTGCACGTGGGTCGGGGCAATCCCCAATATCAGTACAGACTGGGGGATGTTGGAGCAGGTCCAGAGGAGGGCCACAAAAACTATCAGAGGGATGGAGCACCTCTCCTATGAGGAAAGGCTGAGAGAGTTGGGATTGTTCAACCTGGAGAAGAGAAGGCTGTGGGGAGACCTTACTGCAGCCGTTCAATATATAAAGGGGGCTTATGAGAAAGGCGAAGAGAGACTTTTTACCAAGGCCTGTAGTGACAGGACAAGAGGTAATGGTTTTAAACTGAAAGAGGGTAGATTTAGAGTGGACATAATGAAGAAATTTTTTGCAGTGAGGGTGATGGGACACTGGACCAGGTTGCCCAGAGAAGTTGTGGCTGCCCCATCTCTGGCAGTGTTCAAGGCCAGGTTGGATGGGGCTTTGAGCAACCTGGTCTAGTGGAAGATGTCCCTGTCCCAGGCAGGGACACGGACTAGATGGTCTTTAAAGGACCCTTCCCACCAAACCATTCTATGATTCAGCAGCACACGCTGACAGTCACTGTACGGACAGCAAGTCAAACATTGACTGGGTGTGACAAGTGTCAGTAGTTGGCTGTGAAGTGATGCAGCTAGTTCTGAGGAGACATTCACCAGGGACTGCTCAGGACTGGCAGCTTTCTTGGCAGACAAGCTATATGGGAAAACCTAGAGAGGACTCATGGCACGGAGAGAAACAAACATGCGCACACACAGGCGGGGAGTGGTACACAGGTAGGAATAACTATTTTCCCAATGGCCCCACCATCCTAGCTGGCATGTGCTTGTAACAGGTAGCAAGCGTGCAGCAGGGGACCAGGGCAACCCGGTCATGCTGGGTGAAGCAGCCCCTCCATACTAATTTCCTCCCATAGTTGGATTACAGCTCACTCCAGTTACCTCTTGGCTCTCTCCCCAGCATAGCTGCTGGGCACGTGGTAGAGCTCCACCACAGGGACTGACTTTGACCTGCTCGAAAGCCGCAGCGAGTAATCCAGCTGTTAGCCATCCTGCTCTGGTTTACCACCTGTGCCTAGGGCAGACTCCGCACTCGCGGGAAGGGCAAAGGCTTGCTGAAAGCTGGATGACATCTGATTCTGCTGCTTTTCCATGCCCAAGTCCCACCCCTGTAAATCAGGTAGTCAGAAGAGCTCAGCCATGGAAAGCTGATGCAAGTCAGCTCAGGACCTGACTGTGATTTAGATCTTTTGAATCAAGACCACTGACCTTCGCAGAAGTCGTCTGCATGTTGCAAGCTGTATTCCTCTGAACCACATCACAGCTGAATTTGTCCTACTAGTACAAGACAGTAATGACAGTGGTAAAAAAGCAAACAGGATTTAAAAATATACACAAAGAAATTACAGAGAGTATCAGTGTATGAATCCCATTATGCCCACAAAAGTGGCTGGAGTAGCTCCTTGATTTGTCTCTATCTTTACTGTATTGGGTGAAAATACAAATCTGCTGATAGTCATGCATGGCTTCATCTTACGGGAGCGTAACTCCTTATAATGCTATCCATAATGACTAACTAATGCTGTATTTTTTGTTCTTACTCACATGCATTATAGTTGCATACTGAGAGGCATATTGATCCCAAGACTGAGAAAATAAATTGTAATAAATTCCTTGGCAAACCGTGTGTAAACCTCATCAACTTCCTTTTGCTCCTGTTTCTGCTGTATGACTGCAGTTTTAAAGCAATAAAATAAGTTAATTATAAAGGCCAGGAGAAGCTGAAGAGGGATTTGGTATTTAAGAGTCCCTGGTATTTATTTTTAAGAACACTAGCCTGTGAGACTGCAGTGCTGGTTTGTCTCAGACATTCATCTTCTAACAATTGGAATTATTTCTCAACAGTTATGAATTTAGGAAATAGAGACTGCATAAATGCTTGAAAAGAAATCGTCTCAGAAAGCTATTACCTTTCCAGGAATTTACATTTATTTTGATCTTATATCTTTTTTCCCCTTCTAGACTTTATACACTGGTATTGTCATTTATGCTCCAGCTTTAGCACTAAATCAAGGTAAGATGAGTACACTGCAACTGTTCTACAGTTATAATTTTTTCTGCATATAGTACTGGTATGCTTTTTTTTGGTAATGCACACCTAAAAATATAGCTCAAGGCTTGACTGTGAAGTCTTCTGAGATTTCTGTTGCTCCTGATGGGAACTCTGATAGGCGGCCTCCCATTTGTAATCCTAGTCCCTTAATCCCTACCTGTAAGGAATTATAGAAGAGGCTCAAGGGGAAAGCCTGCTCTCATTTACTCTCTCTCTCATGCAATATCCTCAGGTAATGGCTACATTCAGAAAAGTTAAGAAGACTTAAGTAAATTTTGAAGTCAATGCAGAGACTAAACACACTTTTAACTTCCCTGGTTAAGTGCTTTTCTTGAAGAGGAGAGCCAGGCAAAAGTTCTGTAAATATGGTTTTGAGCTGCCTTGAACTCTTTAACTTGGCCTATCATTATGCCAGGAAAACCAAATCAACAGCAAAGAGATAGTCAACTTAAGATGTTTGTTGTGATATTTACAAAATTAAATATTTCCATTTTCTACTTCAAAATGACTCTCTGCTTTGAAAATGAGCTGCATTTATTTTTAAAGGGGGAAAAAAGCTTTTATGTGGAGCCAAATGAAACTTTTAAACTGACACAATTAATTTGTCCACTTGGCAAGAAAAGGCAATAACAAAATGCAAATAAAAAATGAATCATTTTGGCTAGAATGAAAATCACAATTGTTCTGTTCATTGGGGTTTTTTTTGGCTTGTTCACTAACAAAAAAGGAAAAAACCCAACGCTGTCTGCATTGGTCTCCTCCGGTGTGTAAGTCCCACAGGTTTTATGTCCTTGATGTTTACATTTGCCCTGCAAATACATGCTAAACCAAGCTATGCCCTAGCTGGCTCCCAACTGGAAGCGATGTTTTTCATTAGCTTTGTTGCAGCAGTTCTCATTAGCCTGAGCTATCTGTCGGGGAGCCCCCGAGCACCCTGCCTGGTGCAACGAGAGCGTGCCAAGCTGCGGCAGTGACAGCCTGTACGCCAGCTACAGCACAGTGTGGTCTGGCATAGACATACTATCATGTTTCCCTAAAAGAAAGAAGAATAAAAGAAAGGCTTTTAGTCTGAGACATTTCTTTCAGACCATGCTTGAAGCACCCTGCATCCGTGGAGCATTGCCATGCTGTTTACTTGCTTAAATCCCTGCCTAAGGACTCTGTGGGACTACCCAGGCGCTTCGAGGAAGGACGTGTTTTAAAACCTTCTTGATTTGGGGCCTACAAACATATTGGATGCGTTGTTTGGCAGCTTTCACATTAAAGACAAATAGCTTCTTAGATCCTGAAATATATCTAACTTTTTAGCACTTTCCAATCTCTGTAACAACCGTTTCATTTTTAGAACTGGTTAGGGCGAATCCTCCGGTATAGACACACTAATCTGTTCATTGCCATTTTTACCTCCTACTTTTGCATTTAACTTATTTCTAGTTTTTTTCAACAACGAGGTTCAGGGTGAAAAATCAACCTTCAGTTTTTTGTCCCCAATGTGTCATTCACCCTGGTGCCATTTCCCTCTTTTTCAGTCACTGGCTTTGACTTGTGGGGTGCAGTGGTGGCGACTGGCGTGGTCTGCACTTTCTACTGCACACTGGTACGTGGGCCCTTTGGCTGAGAAAAATCTCTGTTCCTTTCACCAATCACATCAAATCCTGAATGTCTTGAAAAGTAGCCTAATAACCGGGTTACCCCATGGGAGTACATTTCACAGCGTAGCTGTAGCCACAGGGCCATATTCCCCCAGGGACTTCTCTGGATGCAAAGGTAGCCACTATGTGACTCAAACCTTTTCTGTTTTGATACATTCAAACTTCTGTTGTTGCTGAAAGGACATCAGGAAGATAGATTTCCCTTCCTAAAAATCCTCCTGTGATTTTTCCCCTCATCTAGTAGTGTTTAGCTGTGTAATTTGTCAAGCACCTGCTTACTGCAACTATAATAGTCCTGTCTGTTATTGAATAGAGCCACTGAAAATAGCAAGTGCCACATGAACAGATTGGTCTTTAGATTAGTGTTAATTGACCAAGTGTCTAGAAATTATTAAATGGAACCTCAGTGACAAATTTATTGTATATGTTGGATTAAATCATGTTTATTTTTATTCACATGAATGGTACGCCTTCTGGAGTGAGTGGTACCATATACATGTAAGCTGAGCACTGTCTGCCAATTTATCTCTTGATAAAAGCTTCTGAACCAGGTTATGTGATGGAGGAAATACTGAATTAAACTATGTGTATGGCCAAAGTAAATTCTAGTGCACTTCCAAAAAGGGCCAGGATGTCCTGAATAGCTTCCAGGACGCATTCCTAAATACTCCAGTACAGAATTATTTCTATTAAAGAAGAAGATGAAATTCATCTATTATGCATAATACAGATAGTAACATTTCTCTTAGTTGAATGTGAGTGCAAAGCAAGAGTGCTGCTGCCCTGTTGTACCTGATACGTGCTGTTCCTCATGCAGGGCGGTCTGAAGGCAGTGGTGTGGACAGACGTTTTCCAAGTTGGAATCATGGTCGCTGGATTTTCATCTGTGATTATACGAGCTGTGGTGGTTCAGGAGGGAATTGGACGCATTGTAAATGATTCCTACTATGGAGGAAGATTAAACTTCTGGGAGTGAGTTTGTACTTGCAGATGATGTCCCTCTTCATTCCTACCAATAGAGCCTATGTGACTAACTGTGAAATTAAACTGCCACTGAAGGAGGAGGAGGGCAGGAGTTGTGACCTAATTCTTATATATTTTTAAACAAGCTTACCTAGTTTGAGGGATATTTTTTATGTTTTACACCATGCAAAATCCTGTAAAGAGAAAACCCTTTTTATTTTTTCAAGTAGGTGTTTTAAGGATACATTTTGGATTCCACTGAAAGTGAATGGTTAATAGGAGAGGAGAATCATATTTATACCTACAATTTGCAAACAGCTGATTTATCATTTAAGCTACTGAACTAAAACAACTGGGAAAATCATATTTTTTTATCTAATCTGAAAAAGGGAAATGTTCTTCTTTTCCCTAAAAGAAAAATTAAAAGTAGTTTTAATAGTATTTTAACCTCCATTATTGTAACTAATCATAACCTAGAAATATGATCTTGCAAGGTCAAAAATACTCATTCTGACAGTGTTGACTCAAAAACCAGTGTAAGTTAAAAAAAAAAAAGTTATTGTACTTTTGATGAATAGGTGATTCCGCTGAGAAACTTCACCCAGTGCTATTAGTGAAAGTTTAGTGCGACAAGTATTACCTTTTGGCCTTTTGTCTATCATTTCACAATATTAATCAGGTTGTTCTGTAAAATTCTTCACAAAGTTCTTCAGTAAATCATTCATCTGTGGATATTTTCTTTTTCTTGTGAACGGTCATTTTTTTCAATCTGTTTGGCTGATTTGCAGTGGTTATGCTGCACTGCTTCTTCCCCCAATCACAGAGTTCACAGATGGAAAAAGAAAAGGAATAAAGGCACGTAATGGGTGAAATAATATTACATTGTTCACCAAGATAAGTATCATTTATTGCTAAAGAGTGATTTAAAAAAAAATATATATTTACGGCCATCTAAACTCTGTTATTCACTTAGAGCTAAACCAGCATCATGTTTTACAGAGGCCCTGTCCCCAAAGGCTGAGCGTGCAAACACACCTTTATATTGATGTTACACAGATGTCCCTTAGATAAGCAGGCATATTAGACTTTTTACTGGAGCATCATTTCATCAGAACAGTCACAGGCATCATACAGCTTTACTTCAGACTGTAGTTTATAGGCAAATAAGTTAGTTAAACTTCACCTTTGGACAGATCAGAGTGTTTCACTGGATCAGATTTCAGCTCTGAGTTTTAAAATTTGCTTTCCGTGATTCCACTTAAAGTTGGAGTATCTGAATGTTCAAAATCTGGCCAAATTAAGAGAGTTAGTATTAGAGTAAGTATGGGAAATTCTTTCTCCTAGGCATTAAGGTCTTCCCATAATGAGAAGATTTTCATATTCTGAATTTGTTTTCTCTTTTCCCTCTCCTTGTAGCTTTGATCCCAATCCTTTGCAAAGGCACACCTTCTGGACGATTGTTATAGGTGGGACTTTCACATGGACTGCCATATACGGGGTCAACCAGTCTCAAGTACAGAGATACATTGCATGCAAAAGCAGGTTCCATGCAAAAATGTAAGTCTGCCTACAGTAACTCTTAATGTCTGAATTGAGCAGTGACTGTTCTTTATAAGGGAGATTTTTTTAAAGAAATGGTTTTTGTCTATAAAAACCGTTTGTAAAGAGTAACAATTTTTGCTTTCTGTTTTGTGGACCAGGTAGAAGACAAATCAGCACAATAAATACCGGGTTTTGAATTACATATAATTGCAATAACATTGAACTTTGTGCCAGAATGTTTTACTGTGCCAGTATTCTTGCATACAAATAGCTGCATTAAGTTTATATGCAACCTAAAGACCAAATAATACAGTACTTGTGCTGAAGCCGTATCAAGACAGCATCTTGAATTGCTACACTGCTAAACCTAAATCATTGTGTAGGAATTTTGTATAAGTAAAGACTAAAAGATTTTCCCATACCGAGGAGTATAGGCATGAGAAAGTGCAGTAATGTTTTATTCAGTGATAAAATTGCTGAGGAATCATATATTTTGTTTTCATAATAATCATGGCTTTTTTTTTTCTAGGAATGCACTAAGGAAACTGGCAGAGAGTTCTGTTTTCCTTGAATTTAAACATTTCTGATCAGCCTTTACTCTAGAATGGAGTACATTTACTAACTCTATTATCTTACCTTTATCTTTAGTTTCATTCCAGTAGTTCACAACTCAGGATTTAAGAATTATTAGCAAGCTCATAAAGTCCATTTATAGGAGAAATACATAAAGCACATCATAACTGTAGTCCCTATAAATTCTATGATACAATGACATACAGAGAAGGAATTTTATGAAGGCTTTCACTTCATAAAGTTAGCAAAATACTCACATAATCATGCACAGTTCAGAACTGAAATATTTTGTTTATGGCAATAAAGAAAATCCACTTTTCAGCCATTTACGCTGCAGACAGGAATATGCTGATGCTCGCCATCAGCCACATCTCCAACACGCCACGTGGCTTCTCCGCAATCTCTGGCATGTGGCTGGGTTCCAGGTTCTTGGCGCTGCAGGGAGAGGAGGTGCATCCCACATCTGTAATGCTGCCTGGCATGATTGCGTATAGGAAAACAGCTGCATACATTGTGCCAGGGAGACTGTTTTTCCCGAGCACCTGCTCCACTTAGGGCTGTGCTCCTCTCTTGCACCCTCCCTACCCTCTATGTAAGGAGGGACACTTCCAGGGTGTCCCAGAAGCAGAGTGTTGCGAAGGGGAATCTGGCACCGTGACAGCTTCTGGGCAGATTTTCTGAGCTGTTGCAGCAGCTTTGACCAGGACTGGAGGCTATCTGGTTCTGGAGGGGCTTGGAGGGGATTTATAGCTCATACCATATTAGCAGTGGCACAGCCTTAATCAGTAGAGTCCTCTCCTGCTGGCGTGGGTGGTTGGACTCCATGGCATCTTGCTTCTGCCTCACGTGTGCAGGGTATTTCCCGTGCACGGAGAAATCATTTTGTATAATGGGGTTGCGGCTTGTCACAACTATAAACACTGCCATTCTGTGGTGACTAGTTCCTTTGCAAATGTAATTAGACACATCTGGCAAGTCACGTTGGTGGCCTGCACCTCTTAGTGCCATTTATCCTGTACACAGAAGTGTAAAATGCCATCAGGTCAAAGTAATAGGGTTTTGTACCCCTGTGGCACTTACTGTAAGGCTTTATAAGAGACAGCAAAATAATAAATCAGAGCTGAGAAAATAATTCTTTCACAGATCCCAAGCTGCAGATTTTGGGAAGGCCTTTAACAGTGGCACAAGAGTAGGAATTTTCTCAGGCTTTGGGAAAGGATTTCGTCTCATTCAAGAAACACACCAGTAGGTAGGAGTACATGCTGTCATCCTCAAACAGTAACCAGTAACTAGGCAACTTGAACAAAATGCTCATGTATGAACAATAACAGGCGCTCAGAGCAGGAGAGCTACACTTTCTGAAAAAATATGGGCTACTAACACATTTTTCTCTCCTTTCAAGGTCATCATCTGGTATGTTTCAGGGCTAAAAATCTTAGAGCCAGCCTGAAACAAACAGCTGAAAATAAGCCTTGCGCAGTCACAGTGCCTACTTCACCCAAACTCCACCCCACGTTACTCACCCAGAATTAATGGGAACACCTCCTGCCAATAGTGGTACAATTACTATCCTCCAGTGCTTACTCATAGGGTGTACCATAAGCTGGGATGTACATCAGAAGAAAAAAAAACAGCTTTCTTTTCACTGTCAAACACTGATGCAGTCTGAAAACAAGAACTGCTAGATTCAGACGAACAACTTCTTTTGCTTCCACGTGTTCCTCTTGACTTTCTAATCTTCACTACAGGCTCTAGGCGAATACTGCTATTACATCTGTTCAAAAGAGTTTGATTGATTTAACTCATTGTTTAAATTTTGTGCTAAATCAGCTTCTGAGTGCCTTATATCAAGGTAGATTATGCCAATGCAGGAACAGCTTCAGCTAAATGGATGCAAGACATCCAACCAATATGTAAGCGTCTTTAAGAAGAGGACCACTTCATTTTTACTAAATGAGTCTAGAGAGAAATGTAAGGTGCTGCTGGTTCTGTGTTTAGACCACCCCTAATTGCAAATACAAAGCATAAATGCAGTTTCCCCTACTATGTGTAAATCAGCTTTTATTTATATAGGTCTTTTTTTAAGAGTTTACATTGTGCTTGTCAATAATTTTTCTATGGTATGAACCTGATGGTTCAACCAGTTAATCTACATTACGCCTTTCTGAAAAAATGTCCATTTCCATGCCTAATGAGGCCTATAAAGGCAGGTTTACTTCTTCATTCATCCTGATGGTCCTCTAGAGCAGGCCAAAGGCTGGTGCCCCTTACCTTCTTGGGAACTGAAAGCACTAAAAGGCCTCCTGAAGCACTGCAAGCATGAATATATTTGCTCAGAAACCAAAGGTTCTCCCAGCAGAGGTCTTAGCAGTTGGCACAGGTCCAGGGTGTGTGATCTATCAGGCAGTTAAATCACTGTTGTCTGATGGTACACAGATAACGGAGAGGCAGCTGCCGGGAAAGAAATGCTTTTTCTCAAGGCCAAGCTCCAGGTGGCTGTGTTTGCTTGAACTGACCACCCTAGGTGAGAAGAACTTTGTGACCCAGGAGTTATCAAGAGCTGAGAAACATTTGAGAAGGTAGGGTAGTTAGATGGAAGGGAAAATTCCTCGCTGGGCGAGGAGAACAATTTGTTTTTCACTGCCAACAGAGGCTGCCTGTCGCGTGTGGCAAAAGTAGCATTAACGCCTGGTGAAAACGCGTTTCTGCTCTCATCGTTAGCTGAAGCTCCCGTCTGGCCGTGGGGAGGCAATGGGGTTACTGGACCGTACCAGGCTCCAAGTTGTTTAATTACTAAAGGGGAAGCCCCGGGGTTGGTGGCAAACACCTGCTCTCTGGCAGCGGCAGCTGTAGGTGGCTCCAGGCCAGGTCCCAGGTCCTCGTTGCTGCCTCCCGTGGAGGGTGTCCTGGGGGAAAAATGGGGATTTGTTGCTTTATGAGGGAACTCCAGCACCGTGTCAGCGTGGCACTGAAGCTCCAGAAGCCGAGGAGTGCTGGTGCTGACTAAAAGGTGACCCACACTTCGATCTGGGGCTCCCCGCCTTGCCAATCCGCCTGGGGTTTGTCTTTACCAAGAGGTGCGGCAAGGGGGGAAGAGCGTCTTCTTGCCATCCGCCTGCGACGTAAAACCGGCACACGTGCTGAAACGTGGGGATGCCATATCATTGCCGTATATTGCTCCCACCACCACCCGAGCAGCCTTTGTCAGGGGTCGGCGACTCAGACCGCACCACCGAAACCAGAAGCGTAATTTCCTTATATTTAAAGACGCGCTCTCGCACCAGGTGAAATGCCGGGAGCCACGTACTGTGACTCCCTTTCCAGCGGGCAGCCACCGACCGGGAGGTCTCCGCAGCGCTGGCACGACGCTCGCTTGTCCCCCGGCGGGGTCTCGCGGGACGTCGAGCCCTGACGCGGCGTGTCCGTGCGTCTTGGCGCAGGTCCCTCTACATCAACCTGGTGGGCCTCTGGGCGATCCTGGTCTGCGCGGTGCTGTGCGGCCTGGCCCTCTACTCCATCTACAAGGACTGCGACCCGTGGACGGCAAAGCAGGTGTCGGCGCTCGACCAGGTAAGGTCCCGTCTTTCAGGGGAGGGTGGTGAGGGGGCATTCCTCCTCCGCAGCCGTAACAACCGGGGGGTCACGAATAAGGACGTGCCCGAGTCCCGTATCAGGCGAGGCTAACGCTGGCGGAGTAAGGTGAGAGCGTGGCGGGAGGGAAAACCCTGGAGAAAGCGGCAGACCCGTCCTCGGCACTGTTTAGTCCCGGCGCTGCGGGTCTGTCAGCGCCAGGCAGAGCAGCCATGTGGAGAGCGCTCGGTCCACCCACCCGTGCGGGTATTTGGGGTTTTCCACCCAAAAATGGAGTGCCAGCCTTGCGTGAAACGGGGCTTCAGAGAGAAGCGAGGGGAAACGCGCGAGGGACTGCAGGCCCTAGTGAGCTGCTTTGTATCACCCGACCTAAACTGCTCGGCGCCAAGGGAGGCGAAAGCCTTTTCAGATTCGAAACGTAATCGTGCCCGAAGCATACACCTGGAAGGCGGCTACCAGCAGGCGGTTCTTCACTAGCGATGGCGCGTCCTTCCCTCCTTCGGAAGAGAGCTGGGCGATCAAACCGCGTTGTACCGTGCTGCGGAGAAACCACCTTGTAACCGACCACGGCCTCTCCCTAAACAGGCCCCGAGCAGCACATTTACCTGAGGAACTAGAGCTCTGGGAGCCCATAGACTGACCAGAGTCAGGGCCCAGGAAAATCATGCAAGTCTTTTTTTGTATGTTTATGCCTGGGCTGTAATCACAGGCTCTGGATGACACCCCATGGACGATAGCTGGAAAGCCAGGAGAGGAGTACAGACAACGGAGTACCTGAGGCAGGACCACCTGGTCTTTAAGGGTAGGATAAAATGAGATACGGAAAGCCAAGGTGAAAACCCAAAGGAAATTAAGTTGTTCCTGTCAGTCAAATTCTTTCGGTGGAAACTGGAAGCAAGATACTAAAAAGACCGACTTGTCTGTGAAAAAAATGGTTCCCAGGAAGAAAAATCTTAAAAGTCCTCTCTCTTTCCAGCACTCAGATCATGCAAAGGTCGACAAATGACACACGGTTTCCAATAAGGAAATTGTTCTCAAGTACCCTGAGGTTATTGGCCTGTATCTAAAAACCTTTTTGTGGAGTCAGCGGCAGACCTAAGCATCTACTGCAGCACCCGAGCCCAACCGAGCGACGTACAATACAGACTACGTGCTGCCCAGCGCTAGCTTCCTATACCATCGTCACTGGAAACCAAGCCTGATGGCACGGCTGTATGCTCACCTCTGCTGGATGGTCTAAGCAGACCTCGCTGTATCTCAAGTGGATGTTTCAGGATTGGTTTTCCTCTGTAGAAAACTAATAAATAGTGCAAGGTGGGACATTCAAAATCAGAACAGCTGGGCAGAATGCCAGTAAGAAGGGTATAACAAAAATAATACAGTGACAAAAAGAAGAAGTAGGGCGAGATAGTAATATTTCTTACTCTCTGGATTTTTCAGCTAATGCCATACCTAGTGCTGGACATTCTCCACGATTTTCCAGGAGTGCCAGGGCTTTTTGTGGCTAGTGCCTACAGTGGAACATTAAGGTAATTTAATAATTTGGAACCTAGTGTCTTTTTCGTTACAGCTAAAGTTGCTTTTATAATAACACTTTTGCATTTCGTTTCTTTGTCTAGCTAATTTTAAAAAAAGCACTATAAGATCTTTGCTAATGCAGCTTAAAAATCCATAGTTTCTAACAGTGGCTCTCTGAGGTCCTAGGACTCAAAGCTCTTTGGAGTTCCCTACTAGCAACGTGAGGAAATAGCTGGTCACACGCAATGTACGGCTCTAACAAATGCTCCTCTCTGTGCTTTTAAAGTCCCTCTGCTATAGGAATTTTTAAGTATTATAAATGGGTGTTTACACAAAAGAGCTACAGTTTGGGAGAATTTCCTACTGCTCATCTTTAATTTTCCAGTTTCAAACCTGCATAACTTTAAAGCCACCTCCCTTTCCTCATCCCTGATCTTTAGAGCCTTGTTTACAAAAGAGTTCCCGGACTTCCAATTGCCTCGAATGAACCCCATGAAAACAACAATCACTCTGTATTTTTACTGAAGGAGACAAATCAATCCCCTTCTATCCCATAGTGGGCAGTGTTTTGTTCAGCTTTCCCAAGGAGCATCTTTTTAAGAAACATCACCTGTCTTGAGGAAGGCTCTGAACAGTAGTAAGCAGATAAAAATGAGGAAACTTAAGAATGTGACACCAGAATAATTTTTTTGTTCTGAGTACTTGTAGCTACACAAATAGAGGCAACAGCCAGGATATTTGTTTTTCACACTGAGGAAAAGGCGGTGGCTTGTGAGAGCAAGGTACACATAGACACGACATCACCAGACTGGCTTTGTGCCTTAGAGTGCTGGTTTTTCTGACCCCATAGGGAGGCTGGAATAGTTCAGTTTGGACTAGATGCCTAATTTTTAGATGACTGTAATTAGATTATCTGAATCCTCCTCTGAGAGTGCATTCAAAGTAATCAGTGACCAGCATGTAGGAATTTTACCTACCCAGGTATATACTGTGTACATAATTTGTGAAGGTATCACGTATACCAGTAGTGTTTACAGCTTAGCCACATGTAATAGATATTCTCATGGACTTCTCCAGGCCTGTCTTTGCATCAGGATTTGCCTTGTCTTCACTAAGAGCAATTATTTTAAAAAAACTTTTGTAAGCTGCTAACTGCGTCACCTGGAATACTAAGTTATTTCAACCAATACAGCAGTTAAATTAGTTTTCTGACACTGTTCTAGACAGTGGCGGTTTCTCTCTGCCAGTAACCCATCTGTTATCTACAATTTCAGCTTCTAAGATAAAAAAATTGTATAAATCTTGCCTTCTGTAGTACTGTGTCCTCCAGCATCAATGCTCTGGCTGCCGTGACTGTTGAAGACCTCATTAGACCGTACTTCAAATCCCTCTCTGAAAAGAAGTTGTCATGGACTTCCATGGGGATGAGTATGTCTGGAAAATACCTTTTCCACTTTTGCTTTACAAAGTGAGGGCTTGATTAAGATCTCGCTGGCGGCAGTGTAAATCAGGACTAAGTGGATTCACACCAATAGGACTATGTTGGTGAAATACTTGGGGGAAATGAGATGAGCTGTGCAGGTTTTACACAGAATGGGGGACAAGCTATTTCAAGTGAGCGTAAGGAAAAAAAAAAAGAAGGCATCTTGTTTGATCTTTAAGCAGGAAAGATGCACTGCATCTGTATTCAATATTGATTTGCAGTACTACAAAGCCAAATGTCTCAGACTGAAACACCTGTTATTTTTCTTTCTTCTGTCAAAAATGAGAAGCATAGGAAACAATTTTGTAACAAACCTTTTGAACTGAGTGATAACGCGAGCAATAGCATTGTGTCCCAATAACATTCCAGAGAACAAGAAGCTTCACGTCTTCTCTGATACACTCTCAGACCCTCAGTCTGTTTAGCTCCTCTGTTTAATGTAACTCAAAGAAGAGGGCCAGAACTAGGCTGAGCAGATGGTTTAAATCTCTGAAGCACGATTGCCATCTCTGCTAGTTGTACTGTCTGCGACCAGCTGCAGGTGTAGCCCGAGGCAGTGTTTGTAGTAAGCGTGGAAAAACCACAGTCCCAACATGGTGTCATAGCCCACACCAGCGAGCACAGCAGACTGGTGGCAGGTGACAAGCATTAAATATTTTCACCTGAGAGCAGTTTCTTAAACATTATTGCAAACAATGTTTATGCCAAAATTATTGTTGATCTTATCACGAGTTGCCTGACATATCACATTATATAGTGAAATTAACCTATTGCTTGTGCAGTAAAATTCAGCAGGGGTTAGGAAAAAACTCAAATAAGCCTGTGTTATGGGCCCTAGGAAAAAAACCTATGTCCTGGTGACCCAGGGTGTTCTTTGTCACGGCACCAGCTCCCAGTCATGTGCCAGCATTTACTTTCTTGTTACAAAGACTTTAGATTGAGAAGCAAAAATCATTCCCTCAAAATAAGGACTATGACACAGGAGATTAGCTGAGAAATATGAACAATACATGTGGTGTTACCACTATGGCTAATCCATGGCTGTCATTTAGTGACTAATCTTTAGTAATATACAGGAAGAGGGTTTTCACAAGTTTGCATGATCTCCTCTTAATGTAAACAGAAACCTGACCTTTTGGCCAATTCAGGCTCTCTTAGAAAACCCCAGATGCTAGCAGGTTTGTTTTGGGGATGTCAGGGGCCATGCTGAGTTAGATGGAAACATTTCCATTAGCGATTTTCAAACTTTGGCAGATTTACGCAGCATTCTGCCTTTCCCACACAGGCCTGTTTTATGGTGGAGTCTGCATCGCTATGGCTGCAGTGGCATCTCTCCTGGGAGGCTTGCTGCAGGTAGGTGTCAGGCTGCTTTTTCATGCCCATGTTGAATGACCCAGCATGAATTATGCAAGAAAATAATTGCTGGATACCATTATGAGATTAGTTTTTATTCTTTGTTTGGTACTGGCCTCAAACAGCCCATAGCTCAGCCTGTGCTTTAAGCTCCCATGTAACTATACCAAGTCCTGCCAGCTGAGTACACACCAGTTAAAAAACCCCCCCTCATAATTTCCTTCTCAACATCTTCCCTTCTCACCATGTTGGAGGCTTCAACTTTCTTCCACAGCACCTGACAGCAGACTCTCTTCCTTCCTCAGGCAGCGCTCAGCATTTTTGGCATGGTCGGTGGCCCCCTTTTGGGACTGTTTTCCTTGGGAATCCTCTGCTCCTTTGCAAATGCAATTGTAAGTAGAAATTTAAAGCCCTGTTCATCCAAAATTCATTGATAATTTTGGTCATCTCCTTTCCCCTTTCCCCCAGTAATTTTATGTTGGGCAGTAAGGGAGATGTCTTTGATGCTTTCCATGAGAACATTTCCCCTTGCTCCTTTTCATCCTTATTCCAAGGAAGTGATGAACAGGGCTGTATAAGAACTTGAATTTCCATCCCATGAAGAGATTTACATGACCAAAGGGGGGAAAAAAATCTGAATAAAAATGAAACTTTGACAAGGATTTGTGGAAAACACAGTTTTAGAAGCAGGGAACAATGTGTCTTGAGATGTAGCTGAACACCCAGTAGACTCAGAGGATGCTGGCCTGTCTGAGCAAAAGGGGGTCAGGCTGGGAAAATGGGGCCCAAGCACTTGCAAACTGAATTGGGGTGTTCTCAGAGTGCTTCAGTATCGTGAAAGTATCATTTCCAGAAGAAAAAGCTATTCCATCAAAAAACATATTTGACAAACTTTGGAAATATGGTCCACGGGTTAGTCTGACAGGACTGCTGTTCGGTAAGGTTCACTGATCATTAACCTTTACCGCTTTGCAGTTGCAAATTTTATGTATACACTAAAAAAGTAAAATAAAATAAAATAAAAATCACTAGCTGTCAGCCTAGAAAAACCCAACCCTGAGGTAGGAGAGACTTGCAAAAACAGATCACATGAGAAAAAGGAAAAATTGCTTCTGTATTTGTTCAAGGAGGGCCTCAAATAAAGCAGTATTTTCCTATATACCATGTGGCCCAAAGCTATCCTTTGACTGTAAAGGCATAGTGGCAAAATAAAGAGGTATGCTCGGGAGCTGTGAGTAAACACTGTATTTCCCAAAAGGGGAATGATGTAAACTCCACTGCTCTTCCCCAACCATATATTTCATTTTTGCTATGGAGCCTGATTAGATTAGTTTAGATTATCTTGGCTGTTTCCTACTCATCTAGGTGTTGTTTTTTTCAAATATACTTTTGTTTTTCATGTAAATCCAAGTTTCATTTTCTGTTTTGCAGGGTGCATTTGTGGGTCTTGTCAGTGGCTTTGTTATTTCACTTTGGGTTGGAATCGGATCTCAGATTTATCCTCCGCTCCCAGAGAGGACCAAGCCACTCTATCTCTCAACTGCAGGCTGTAACATATCTTTAGAAAATTTGACATCAACAGTAAATCCATTAACAAGAATCTCCAACACACCAACTACAGAGAGGTATACAAGCTTGTCACGTGGAATCAACAAAGCATGTATTTATTTTAAAGCAACACAAACATCTGCCTAGCATTTGGGTTACTGTAACTATCCCTCCCTGGTTTACCTACCAGGCTGTTTAAGATGAAGCAGTTTTCTCTGATTTTTTTTTTTTTTCTCCTGTCAGAGTGAAGTTTGTCTGAGTTATCCCAGAACTAAGTCAAAGTGAATCTTCCTGTTGATCTGAAAAGCTTCAGTTCAATATCTGAGTCTAAAGGCTTCGATATGCCTTACCGGTAACCATGGTGTTAAAGAAAACATAACATTTATAGTTATTGGATTAACTTCCATCATCTGTCACATGAATTAAAGTAGTAGGCAGTTAAAGGGCAATCTGCCAGTTTAACAGCTCCACCTACAACAGCTTGTCTGTGCAGAAATAGTTCTATTCAGGAAATTCAGAAGAGGGCATTATCTGTGTAGTGGGCAAAATATAAGGGATTTTCTGCCCTCTGCAATTACCATATGTCTTATTTTGGATAATCACAATTAAGTGTAACAGTCATGAATGACAATATAGCGAACAGCAGGAACAGAAAGAAGCCAAACAAACACATTTCTAGGGATCCCCAATCCTTACACCTTAGAGCACTGTACAATCAACAGAGACACCCTGGTACACACATGGGTGCCCAACATCCAGTTTCATATACTACACCTCTCACACCAGGCCTCCAGCATTGCTCATGGCTGAGGGGAAGCAACTGTTGCAACAGACAGAGCACATTATCAGGGAGAACAAAATAAGTTGTAACCCAAGTTGTGACAGTTGCTCTATTGTTTCTGGCTGTTTAGAGTTGATTTCCTACCTTTTTTTTTTTTTTTGTCTCCTTTAAATAATGTCCCCCCTTCTAAAGAAGTTATCCCTTCATCTGGATAGCTGGAGCGCTCAGCTCTGCACTAGATTCCTAGCAGAGACAGGACTGTCCTGTTTTACCTGCTCTGTCCCATGCATTGCATCACGGTACTGACCAGTCTCCTCCCATATGAAGAAACTTGTCCTGCAAATTTTAGAACAAACTGTCAGTGCACATTTTATTGTACAGAGGTAGTTCAAGACTACCAGGTCGCTTGGTTCAGAAGTAACTTAGTATTTATACACTGTCTGGAAACAGAAAACATTTTCAAGTTGCTTGGAATAGGACAGCACAGATTAACACTTTTTCTGCTCTTTTTCAGGCCTGCCCTAGCAGACAACTGGTATTCATTGTCTTATCTCTACTTCAGCACACTTGGGACACTTATCACAGTAGCTGTGGGAATAATTACCAGCCTCCTAACAGGTACTAGTTCCAGAGCTGTGATTGAATGTCTCTTAGATCTCTTTCAAACCAGAGAGCTGTCATTGCCACAGAAGTGCCCGTGACCTTGTTGCAAACACTGTGTAAAGGTTACCATCCTAAATGTCATGTCCTCCCCTCAGCCCTTCTGCACCCCACTCTTGGTCTCTGCTCACAGCAAAAGCTACTTCAGATTTCTAAAGAGAAAGAAGTTTCAGCAGTTTTTTTAACACAGGGGGAAAAAAAAAAAAAAAAAAAAAAAAGACATCTTTCTTTCCTGTTTTATTAGATGCCAGCAGGGGCTGGAGGTTTAAGGGTTGTCTCTGAACATGGCAACAACTCCAAGCAAGCGGATACACTCATGCTTCTAGAGGACAAAAGCAGTTTTGCTCTGAGTGAGTTCAGAGCACTCAAGGGTTATTACCTGCACCTGTACAGTGCATGCTTTTCACCACATTCCCCAAGCACTTACCCAAGAGCTGCAGACCCTGTGCATGGCTATGTTAGCTTCTTTCTCGATTTCCCTATACTAGCTGTGCAAGGGGCAAAAACACTGGTAAGAGCGGGGACTTCAGTTCCAGCCCATGGCCTCACTATTCTTGCATCTAGGTGAGATGCAAAGTGCGCCTGTCATCCAGCTCATGCATGGCAGAAATAGCACAAAAGCAGCTGCTCTCACAGCTTTCCCCAGTATGCCCAGCCAGATTCCTATGACAGCCCTCATCTTTGAGGCTCTTAGATTGCAGACCTATTAGTCTGACCTACTTCAGGACTATGAAACTCCAAACCCAGCAGACAAACTCAGTTCCATTAGCTTCCCTGTGCCTTGCAACTAATAAGCACAAGTTACACCTCTACCATTTTCTTTTCCTTGTGAGTTTCTAGAGGATTTGCTCTCCCCTTTCTTCCCATCACAAGCTCTTCCCATTGCTATAGTGATGCTTGTAGACAAATTTTGCCTCTTACCAGGTTGTGACCGGGTCATTCGTGAGCCATGAAACAAAGCATGAAAACTGGGCAACTCAGTAAATCCAGATGACAAATCCACGGCGGTGGCAGCGCCCCCCCCCCCCAAAACCCCAAAAGAATTAACCCAACCACACTGCCACCCTGCTTTTTGTGATACAAGATCCCATTTAAGCCTCAGGTGGCAATCAGAGCTAATTCCTAGCACCTGCATCTCCTTTCTTTCCCACACACATTCCCCCACAAGAATAGTTAATCTTCCATACCTTAAAAATGCCCAAACATCCCATCAACCCTCATCCCCCCTGTTATAAAAATTGCTGGTGACTCTGGAGACAGGACTTTTGCTGACAGGGAGCTGAGGATGGGGCTCAGGCTCCAGGGCTGCACTTGGTACCAGAGCTCCTGGACTGGCAGGGTGGTCCCAGATATCGCTGTATGGGATTCACCCTTTCCTGATGACTGTTTTTTTTACACAGTCAGAAATCTGAGGAGGATCTAGGAAACTCTGGGACATGGCTAAGGCATTTCAAACAGACCTTGAGGGATCATTTTATGTTTTGAGAGGTGCAGGGTATACGTCATTGTAAAGAAATGATCCTTAAGGCCTGTGATTGCTTGATGGCTTTTGCTGCATGACTCCGTCCTGCTCACCTGGCCTGGTGCCCATAGCTGGGCTCTGACATAGCATTTGCATGTGGAAACCTGGCTGATTGAAACCTGCCTATTTTGCAGGAGGACTAAAGCAGAACACAGATCGTAAATTCCTGCTGACCAAGGAAGATTTCCTGTCCAACTTCTCATGGTCTAAATCTGAGACAGTAAGTGTAATTATGCACCTCTGATGTAAATCAATCTTTCCTCCTGAGGACAAAGGCAAAAAGTTGCTGGCTTATTTTTTCCCACCAGGATGAATAGCACCTGATGCTGCCTGATATGACTGACTGCTTTAAGGCAGTGGCAGGGCACAAGGCGGGTAGGAGTAAAGGAGCTGGCGTAGGCAAGGAAGCTACAGCTTGACTTCAGTGAACAACAGCGCAGCAGCTGAGACAAAGGACAGTTGTTCTCCAGGTTTCTGCCAAAATACTCCCTCACTAGCCTCTTGGAAGCTGGCCCAAGGCACACTTTGGGCTCAGCAAAGCTTCCTTTGTTTGTGAATGTGTTCTCTAAAGTCTCGATTTTTTTTGCAACTTTGGTTAAAGTTTAAGAGGAAATATTTCTAGTCAGTGTATCTGTTTCCTAGCTCCCTCCATAAGATATAAGAAAAGGGGAGACTTTATTGGGTAATAACATCCCTTAGAAGGGAGAATGTGGCAGAAATTTGGTGTGGTTTTGTTTTTTTTTTTTTAAAATAAACTATAGATCACTTTTCAAACAGTATCATCAGGATGCTGAACATTTAAGCTCAGCTTTGTTCAGTGCTTTTTGAGTGCTGCAATACAGGCAATGATCATATCTTTGAGATGGTCCAGTTTGCAAAATGTTTTTCCTCCACGCTGACAACTGCTTTTAGTATGATCTCAGGTATTTCAGCTTCTGGATATGAACACCAGGGAGAGAAAAGGATTTTTACAATACTATCGTAACGCTGTTTGCCCGTGTCAGGATTGGAGTCCGGTTATTGTCATTCACTGTCTTTAATGGGCCAACATCTGTTTTCACTATCTGGGAATTTAATCCCTGAAGTCTTTTGAAAACCAAACCACCCACATGGAAGCTAATGTCCATGGCCATACTATTTTATGCCCAGAGTCAGAAACAAGTGTCTGCCTGGTTGTACAGCTAGGAGCTGGATAACAAGTGGTTGGCACCACAAATAATGCAGAAAGTTGATTAAAGAAAAATCAGGGGGAACTGAGCAACTTCCTGTCTGTGAAGAGCTCAACATATCATTATGTTTAACAGCACTGCAACATCAAAGCCATGATGCATGTTAATCTGCTCTTCATGTCAAAGATGGGGTAAGGACCAGGGGTTGGGAGTCAGTAGCTCAAGGACCTGGTGGTGACAGATCACTAGACATGAAAACAGCAATTAGAACTTTGCACACCCAAAAATACTTCAGGCACTTTGCAGGACAAGAACATTTTATGTGACAAGAACATTTTACACAACTAGTACCTTATGCAATAACAAACTTTCCATGCCCCTAGAAAAATACCAGCTACTGCAATGAACAACTATTTGTGCTCCGTCAGCAACCAACATGTGTTTTCCTGCAAGGCATCCTGTATGTCAAGCCTGACTCTGCTTGCATGCAGGTCAAAGAGAGGAAGACTGTTTCTTCCACTTCACAGCACAGCTTTTGTCTTTTGTTTTTTAGCCAGAGAAAGTGGAAGTGTTGAACTGGAAACCATTTACTGTGGCAGCCGAAGGAACTGACAACCCTGCTTTCAGCCCCATTGAAATGGATGTTGCACGCAATAAGAACAAAGCCAATGGCCCTCACATATGACATGGGGCACCGTCAGCCCGCGAGGATAGTTTTGTTCATGTAAAGCACTGTTGACATTCCTGTGCTGGGTCAGTTCCCAGCCCTGCTGGGGTCATGGGCAGGTGTCTGCTGAGCTTCGTGGCACTGTCACCCTTGCACGACCTTGACATTAGTCAGGAAAGGAATCAGGTTTTTCTTGCACTTCCTCACTCTCTCTCTCACTCTGGATCTTGGTGACAGGCCTTAAGGCAATGTTTCTATGTGAAATATTTGCCTGCTATTCTTGAGCTTCCTGGAAAATATCTGTTGGTTCACTCTCAGAGTAATTTTTTTATTTGGTAAGAGCACTGTTCCCCCAGACATGGCTGTTTTTCTGGTTTGTTTTTTTTCTCTTTTTTTTTTAAGGAATTGAAAGTATGAAGAGATTAGGGCTGAGATTATCAGATTGCAAGAAACAATGGGTCTTCTTTTAGTACAGGAGGTGTACTTAGTGCCATCTGGTTCCCTTGTAGAACTGATCCTGAGAGCGTATTTATTTTGCTGTTTTTGTCGTATGTGTTTGGTTTTATTAAGCCACTTGTTCCCTGCATCTCCTCCTCTGTGCTCACTGCTGGAAGCTTCAACAGTGTCTTTGGTGATGGGTAGAGGCAAGAGTCAGTAATACCCTTCCCTTCACTCCCCGTCTCCCTCTTCTGCCCTGTCTTGCCCTTACAGAGCTGGTCCTCATGAAGGAAATGAGCTATCTGGGCTTTTTATTTAATGCCATATAGCAGAACCACAGCAGTCTTCTACCTCATGCCCAGCGTGCTGGCCTAGGACTGCTCTTGCACTGGGCTGGGCATAGCACAGCAGAGATGTTAATGCAAGAAGAGGGCCCTCGCTGCTGTGCTTGACAAGAGGGAAGGCTGCATCTGCAGCTGCCACTGCTGTTATCTGCGGAGCTGTGAGCTGAAACCTCATGTAGCCATTTGTGTTCGTCCAGTCCCTGCTGTCACTCTGGGGATACACGTTCAAGGTCGGTCCAGATCAGGCAAGAGCACATCGTGTGTTTTGGCAGGCAGGCAGGCAGACTCCGCTGCGCAATCCCCCTGGACGGGGAAGGGATCGCAGAGGATGTTGTTTGGTGAAGGCTTCTCCAGGGCTGCAGGGCACGAGGTGGCTTATCCTCTGGCTGGGCTGCCAAGAAAAGCTGAACAGCACATCTGCTCCAGACCAAGCACTGGACTGGTGGTTTGAGAGGGTGAAAACCCCCATTGCTTCCTTCTCCTGGGTGCTTTCTGGTACAGCTGGGAACAGACTCTGACCCGCTGTGTTGGTTTTGTACTGCAGACTTTTTGCTATGGCTATACATGGGTGTTTGAAACTCCTCCACAGCAGCAGAGTTGGAAATCAAGCAAGCAGCAAGTTGGAAAATAAAAGCCACTGCAGGAAAGTTGAGCTGTGAAGCTTATAAAGCAGTCATGCTTGAAAATCAAATGAAAAACTGATTGCATGTCTTAAATGCTTTCCAAAAGTTATGCTGCATTTGTGCTAGGTGCTGAGCTGCTGTAACTTGGAATATGACACAGTGCTAGTTTATCTAACTTGACTAGGGCCCTTCAGCATCTAAATCAATTTATTCCGTGCCCCTGTAACAGAGGTCACTTGATGATCGACTGCATAAGATGAACTGACAGGGTCAGAAAACATTAGGAAGAAAAAACGGGCTCCAAGGAGCAGACCTCTACTAGAGGAGTACAGGCCAGACAGACACCGAAGGGGTTGTCACCAGGGGCATGTCTCCATCAGCTAACCCAGGGCAAAACTCCGTGGTGGAGACAGGTTTCGCCTTGGCCTCCTGAAGCACTGGTTTGCGTGATCCAGTGCAGAGTTTAGGGCCAGCCCCTTGTCTCCCGTTCCTCTGCTGCAGCTCTGTGACCAGGTAAGTGCCTAAAGCCGCTGTGTGGAAGGGCTGTGAGTGAGCGGGATAGATCCCGTGAGTTGTGCCTTGTGTCCTCGTATCTAAGATCTGAGACAAACAATAGCAACCTGAATAAAGTCTTCTGGGATTCAGGACAGGGGTCTCTGTTCTGGGACTATCCTAGTCCCTCTGAGGCAGCCAGGCCACTGACTGAATGAGCCGGCTATGCTTCTCAAGTCTCAGAAGATAAGTGCAGCTCATTCAGCCTTGTGCCTTGTGTTCATGAACCAGAAACAGATACTGCATTTTGTGCTACGGAATAGTTCTCGAGCCTTGGAACATAATAATTTGTACTTACCCAGTACTTTCAGCCCACAGATCTGAAAAAGGGTAAATATCTCCATGCTGCTGCAGAGTGCTGAAATGGACTGGTGTGCCTCTGTGTACTTGTGCTTTATGGCACAGAGAAAGCTGTGGGCAGAGAGAATAGAAGCCTGTAGCAAGCCCTTGACCTGTCAGCCTGCTGGTATGGCTACAGCCCTCCCAGCACAAATGCTGAACTCCCATCTGAAGGTGCTTTTTGGGAGGGTGACTGATCACCGCTGTGTTAAACAGCATCAGCGTGGCCTTCGTTGCACCACTCTGTGCCGAGATCACTGTTTGCGCTGTAATTGATACTGCCTTAAACTGTCTTGGATGATCTGTGACTTCCACCTGTTTTGTAGACTAATCTTCCCAGTTATCATAGTGAAAAAACGTATCACCATGGAGTTTTTTTCTCAGTGCTTTGAATTCACATAGTTGTTTAAAACAGAGAAAACATGTAAATGACCAACTTATCTTCACTTATTGCTTGAAGTCACTATACGAGCACTGAGCAGTCATTTAACTCTAATTTTGGTATGAAGTGAAAGTTTGGGCTAGGTGATATCTGTTGGTCTACAATCACATTAAGATGAGTTTTCGCTGGGGAGAATATCTTGCTGTAAGCGCTCTAGAGACAAACATTCTTAAGCTTTGCAGATGACCCCTGCAACTACCCCATTTCTTGCTAACTAACCTCCCACAATTGCTGCAGAGCTACAAAGTGACTCTTTCTGCTTTACTTTTTTCTATATGCTTCTTGTTTTAATTGGCATCACTAATTAAAGCAATTGATTAATTTTGAATAACATTTTCTCTGGGGTCACATTCTGTCCTCTGCTAGTTGGACTCTCAAACCGGGCCCTGTCTGTGTAAAAGCAGCAGGATAATTCTTGGTGTCTCCATCACACTCCTGCACCCTGCTCCTTCATCTCTCCCAGCTAAAAGCTCACAGAACAAAGTAGTGCAGGATGCTCAAAACTGATTAATTCCATGGGAGTGGGAGCACTCCACACTGTCCAAATTACATGCAGCATCTGGCAGGGTCAAGAGACAAAACAAGTAGGAACATGAGAAAAAGAACTCAAACCACAACAGGAACAATATTTGACTATGTGAATACACAAAGGAGAGAAAGCAGTGACAGATTTTGGCCCTTTTTTCACCTGCATTTAAATTTGCTTCCACCTGACTGCTCTGTTTGCTTGCTGAACAAATCAGGTAAACAGAAAATAACTCATGAATGCTAAGCAGCAAATATTTCATATGCATAATTTATTTTAAAGTTTATTGCGTCACATTGTACAAGCATTAAACATGGCTTTATGTTGATGATTTTTTTTAAAGTGTGAAAACTTGACATTCTTCTCCATAGGATTTTTCTATTTACAAATAAACAATCTCTCTATATACTTTATATATATATATAATATATATATGGTAAATAACATAACACCTCTCAGAAAGATTTAAAATAAAAAAGAAGTGATCTGTAAACACGGTTTCTGTTGTAGTATTTGGTGGCTCGAACGCAGACGATGTTCTATACCTAGGATTTTTCTTTTGTCAAAGTATCCAGGTTGTTCATTTACATTTTTTAGTCTAAGATCTGTAAAACCAACATGGGACAGAATGCAAAAAACGTAGCAAACAGGCTGAAAAACGGTCCCAATATACAATTTTTTTCCCTTGGTTTTAAAAACTGGCGTGTAACTGCTCATGAAGTACATGCTTGCTGTCAAGAGTGGTCTATGGAGATCAATCCTATGCTGATTGCAAGATGATTTCACAGTAAATCCTTTGATGTGTGCTGTCCTGCTTGCTATGCAAAATGTCTGTGGCATGCATTGAGGTTGCATTTTTTCTCATTCCCTTGAAGGTAGTGCTCTTGTGGAGCTGGAATAAGTAAACAACATATAGGACGGTCACCTGGAGGTTTAAACAAAACCCATCATCAGATCAGAAAGAAGGGAACGGCATAAATTTGCTATCTAGAGATGATTAAAATTCCATTTATTATTATTAGCCTCTTATTTGTGGTACATTTTCCAAACTAATGAAGTAAATAAAAAGGGGTCATCTTTCCTGAGTGTTCTGCTAGATAGCTCTGAAGGACTCAAGGGAAATCTATTCAGCAGACCAGCAGCACAGAAACCTCGGTGGGTTGACCGGTCAATATTAAGTGACAGAAATGTACTCGGGATCTGCCCAGCAGGTCAGAGCCCCTTTCAGCACAGTGCTCAGCACAAGCCTGGTAAGCAGCCAACTCGTATTCTCATTTAGAGCAGAACAGGACACAACTTCCAGCAACGTATGGTCATGAAAATTCATCATAATGTAGCTATGTCGAAAACTAGTCTCAAAAGCAATTACTATCTATTGTATTTCTGCTGCACTTTATTTGTTTTGGCACATTATATTGCGGTGGTTCCTCTGGAGTGGAAGTCAGTTTATATTCTACGAGGTTTCAGTTCAGTTCTCGGAAGTTATTGAGATCTACATTGACAAAGCTATATCTTACTGCAGGAGTTTGCAAAGGTTCACACTCATATGGGTGACACTGATTTTATGCATGACTCGCATCTCGCTTTACTACTTAGCAAACAGTTTCTAAGCTCTTGTCATCTGTTGTTTTAGATATTAAACAGAGGGTATGCAAACTAATCCAATTGCTCATGTGAATTTGGTCTGAATGTGATTTTGCACAGCGATCCTGCCCAAGAGTCCCCAGACTGCAAGTGCAGTACACACACGTCTGTGGTGGACGGTAAATACGAACCCATCCGGCACGTGCGTACCGGAGGATGACGTTGTCTAATCCCCACCCCCTATTTACAGAGACAGAAATATCCCCATTTCTTCACTGCCCGCATGGGATGTGTCCACAGCTGCTGCAAGCTGAAGCAAAGATGAACAAGTTCACTTCCTCGCCAGGCAGGAATACACCCCACAACCACCTGTCGGGCTCCCCGCTCAGTCTGGCACCAAGTCAACCGAGAACAGATTATTCCTGAAATTTCTTCATTGCTTTTGATGCCTCACGGGACCTCCAGGCTTGGGCCAGGAGCACCCAATAAATGGAAACCACTGTGTCGTTTATCCTCTTCACATAGGATCATGGGTCACTACCGGAGGAGGTTCCTTGCTGCGAGGAAGCAAAGCGTAGGCAGGCAGTGGCTACAGAGATGAGGGTGCATACATTTTCTTCCACCCCTCTCCTTCCTCAAGCCATAGCACCTTTCATTGAAGCCTTCCCTGCCCGCTTGGAAATAGCACAGTTCTCCCTTGCAGTGGAAAGAAGTTAATAGATCTAATATGGCAATATGGGGTCTTGGTGCAAGTGGTCCTGATGTCTTGTGGAGCTTGAGGCATCCATCCGTAGGGTCTTGCATTGTGTGGTCTGTCCAGAAGGGCAAATTCTAGCCCTTCTATCGAATGATTTCCAGGAGAACTTGTAGAAACACCTTGCTGAATTTTCCTCCCTCTTAAATATCTGCAAACTAACAAGGTCACAATTCCTTAAGATTTCTGAGAAAACTATAATTTTTATGGAGCTCCAGTTATTTGGAAAGGGGCTAAGCAAATGGATCAGCTCCAGTATTTTGTATCTAGCTGTATCCTCACCAGGACATAGGCTTGCTTCTGCTCGGCTTCGTACAGTCTTGGCTTTTGAACGTCCTCCTTTGTGTTGTGGCTGATTATGCCACTGCATGTTCTGCAAAAATTGCAGTGTTATCACTTTTAGGCAAGAGGTGGTAGAGCCTCATCCAACACTTCTGCAGTCTTCAGACCTACAACTCCACTATTTTGGGTTAAGGATTTGGGAAATTTTTAATTTCTTAATGCTCAAGAATTTGCAAAAGGATATAGACAGTGGCTCATTTTGCCCCAGTCTAATTCTGCAGCCTGTGTGGAATTGCTCTGCTTCAAGCTATTTCATACTACAGTCTGTTTTATTTTTCCCCTCCACCCCTTCATAGATAATGGAAGGATGAATAAAGAAAATGTTACAAATGTAGAGATTCTGGATGATGGTGTTCTTTTGCTCTGCTGACCTTGTTCATCTGTTGGTTGTTTTACTTATGCAGATAGATCTTTAAGACACAGTCTGTCTTCTGTTATGTGTATCATACACCCTAATTCCTGACGAGGCCTCAATGTGATCTTGCAATACAAATACACGGGCAGTTCTGGGCAAGATGCCCTAGCCTGATTTATTTCCTTCAGAGACCAGACAGTCCTATAGCTGAAAAGGCACTGTTCAAATCTTTAAAACATATTACCAGCTTTTCACAGTATCATTTCCAAATAAATGACCCTACAGTTAGATACCTCTGGCCACATTTAGATGCTTGTCTATCTGTCAGCACTTCTGCACACCTAAATTGTTACACCAGTTGATTAGACTCGTGATCAAGCATCTCCTCCTAAAAAATACTTCCATATTGTTGGAGTAATGGAAATGGTCCACATATGTGAGCTTAACTCATGGTAAATGCAAGCTAACACAGCTTAGTCCACTGTGGAAGAGGGCGACGTTGCCATGCATGTGCTGCAGGTGATGGCCACGCACGTGGACAAGTACGGCCGTGTTACCAACGTGCAGTCACTGGTTATGAAGCAGCAACTTGGTCGTGAGAACGAGCCATAAGATCACCGAGTTCTGTAAAGCACTGTAAGATATATGACTGCTTTGAAGTTCAGGGCCTTGAATGGAAGTCAGGGCCTGGGCGCTTCCCGGAAAGAGTGCAGAGACTTAAGCATCGGTCTGATCTGCTCGTGCTGACATTAGCTCTGGAGAAGACTAAGCCTTGCAAGACCTCTAATTTCAAAAGGCTCATGACAATATGCACCCTATTAAACGTGAGTGCACACGTGCTAAGTGCACACAACATGGACAGACTACTCCTTTCAGTGCACTCTCCACTGTAGAAAACCAGGAAATTTTTATAAACAGAATTCCTATCTTCTTTTAAGCAGTTTCTTCCTCACCGCATCATGGCCACTCATTGTGATAAGATTTTCCGTTCTTCTTCCTTTCCTTCCGTTCTTTCTGCAGACGTTCTAGTTCAGCTTCATACATCATTTCCTGAATCAGGTACTTTTCTCTCCTCATCCGATCTCTCAGATCTTTTGGGAGATCTGGGATTAAGTAGGAAATCAGGTGCTTTATGCAAAAGACAAGGTGCTGTGAAAACAAAAAAGGGATGAAAAATTAAAATCTTAGGAAGAAAACAAATGCTTTCCATATCTTCTGAAAACCCTCTCCTTCCAATTCACAAAAAGATGCTGTGATAGAACTGAATCCATTACTAAATTTGAAGAACCAAACCATGAAGTTTTTTCCCCACAAAAACTCCAGCCAAAGTCGGTGGAGTATGGATCGCAGCAAGGGTTATGAGCACCTACGTTCAAATAAGGCCTCAAAACTGCTGTATGACCTGTGCGTTCAAACCCCTGAGGTCGTGATTTGCTGTAAGGTTGTTTGGGCAGGGCCTGGTATTAGTGGATTGCTCTGCAGGAAGAGGAGGATCAAATGATATAATGCTTTCCTGTTGCCAGAAAACCAATATTGGAACCAAAGAACTACCTGTGCAAAACAAAACATTTTTTCTTATACCTTGTCTCTCATCCAAAGACATACTCCCATTTATTAAACATCACAATTAAATACAAGGTAGCTAATGCTTTGTCCCTCATGTTTTAGGCATGCCACAGCAAAGCTCAAGTGTGATGGGGGAGGGTTGCTTGAGTGTCCTTTTTTGTTTGATGAAAGATGCTTCTTGGAGATTTACTCCCTCCACTTGAGAGGAGGAGCAGAGGAACAGAAAAACCCTCCATCTCAGAAAGGACACTCATTCTAGATTGGAGAAATAAAAGTATTTCTTCTTCTCCAAGCAGAACCCTTCCTTTGAAAGCCACTGAAAAGAGAATGTAACATGTTTTCCCATGTATTCTTCCCTCATGAGAAATAAACCCGCAATACTTTAATTGCTGGTTTTTTGCCAAACCTAAAAAAAAAAAGAAAAAAACCCACTTCTGTTGTTTTAGCCTGGACAAATAATTCCTTTTGCAGTGATAGGAAATACTTTTATCTGGTTTTGAGGGAGGTCAAGGTAGCTAAAATAGCCACACCCATAGTACAAAAAAGGTGTTTGAGCTTAGGTAGTTACTTAATTTATGAAAAAACCTACCTTGAATCACTTCTCTCTTAGCGCAATCTTTTGCTGTAATTGCTGTAGCAATCACAATACACCCATTAGTGTCTTCCACAGAGAAAGACAGTCAGGGTTTCTGCTGCAATTACCTTTTGGGTTTCATAGATGTAGTTAAGGAAACAGTTTGCAGCGCCAATAAACCGAATGGCCCCTGTTGAGGGAGACAGCTATGAGCCAGCCTGTGGCTTTGGTTGGGGCAAAGCAAAGTCAAATCTCTTGTGCAAGTACTGGGGGGACGCAAAAGGCTATTCCGCAGCAAGTCACAAATTTGGCTGGGCACTGAGGCTTGAGCAGGGCTGATTTTTCTTGCCTCAGTTATCTTTGCCCTTATGCTGCCCTGCCTTTATGCCAAGTGCGTATCAAGAAGCAAGGCTCTCTTCAATCTTAAAACTGCTTAGGCTGACCTGCCAAGGCCATTCTTGTCCTTTTTGGAGACCGATACCCTGGCTCTCAGTACCGACAGCTCAAGAAGCAAAGAAGAGATCGAGCCCAGCAGGCCTCTATCAAATCTTTCTTTCTTTCTTTCCCTTAATGTTTCCCTGAGCGTGGCAGAGATGATGGAAGAGCCAATCGCCTTAGGACCAACCTCTAATGAGTTAGGCCAGTATAGAGGAAGGAGAGAGCCCAACCTGCTCCCCCTTCGTCTGGGAAGGGCTGAAAACAACAATCAGGGGGAATTCACTGCAGACCTCGGGCTTCTGCTGAGCCACCAAGACATCCCTACGCAAGAAATAATCTAGAAGATGTTTCTCCTTCACCTTTCCTCTAATTCAAATGCTTCTGTTCTGCGATCCAAAGAGGTGCTTCGAAAGCTCGGCTCAGAACTAATTCACACAGTAATGTGAGTCACAGATGCATTATGTGCTCATGAACATTATCCCAATAATTTATGGTGATTACAGCTTCCATACCTGTGTTGGATGCCCTGTTGCTATGATTTCAGTGCAGAGGGTTGAGTAAAGAGTTTTCAAAAATCATTTGTTCCCTGTTTGGCTTCTTCACAGCGTAAAAGGCATTTCAAACTGCTTGTGCTGGAGTGATGCTGAGCCCCTGGTTTCTGGCAGGGATATTCAGGTACCTGGAATTCAGGCCTTAAGAGCTGCATTTTGTTTTGTAAATGATGTCATCCTATTTATCTACATTCCTCTCTCTCTTTTTCAAAATCAGCATGGGAATACCAGTCATGGGAAGTTGGTATTATCTTCTCTGGTTTGTCTTAAAGATTTCTGAGATACTGACAATAAGTACTAATATTATGAACATTGGAAAAGGTATTGAATCCTTTTCATTGTCATCATCTTTGTGATGCTAATCATTCTGGGGAAATGAATGGTATTAAAAAAACAGAGAAAAAAGCTAGATGTGTAAATACTGTAACTTAAACTCTCTTCCTTTTTCAGTTACTCAGATTTCATCTTTTCTTCTCATGTTCCTTCACCCCGTCCTCACACGCTAGTCAGCATACGGCTTCCCAGCCTAGACACATTATGAATGCCAGACCGCAGAATGCAAATAAAAGCTTCATTTATTTCCCCTCTTTGCAAGTCACTGTTACAGTTTTCAAAGTGCTGCATTCCCCTTTTTGTTAGAACCTAAATACCTGTGACTGTTCAGAAAGCAGATCTGAGAATACAAAGCACAATATAAATAGCAGAAACTAACACAAAGAGCTCAACAGCGGCCATCGGAGATCAGCTCAATGAAAAAGTGTCAAAGGGAAATTTGTTTAATTTTGTCGGTTTTGTTTTGCCACCTGAATGGTCACTGACCTCAAATACAATAATGAAAGCCAACCGCGCTGCTAAGACATGCCAGAACTGCAGCGTGTAACCGTAGGGCACTGGGGAGTGAGGAGGGTCTCGGTAGTCCCTGTACCTGAAAGAGAAGCAGAGTACGGTAGTTAGCAAGCTCCTGCCCTGCTGCCTGGGAGGAAGGCAAGCCTAAACCCCCGCTGCCCTCGGTCATTGCGTTTTCTGCACCAAAATGATCTTGGTTCAGACCGTACAAGTTACCGCAACACAGCTTGCTTCTTCGGCTGGGCCTGCACTGGTGTTTTATTTCGGATCAAGTGCGTGCTTTCGAAGAAAGCGTCCTGATCACCTCCGCTTGCCACGCTTCAGTTCACCCAAACGGGTGTACTTTCAGATGAAACCTGACGGTGAGATGCACTCCAGGAGTGCGCCTCATGTTCCAGCTGCTGATGGAAATTCAGTGCAAAGGACCAGGCCAGCGCCTGTATAAAGCTGCCAACGCAAGTACAGAGGACGTTGGGTGCTCAGCACCAGCGGTTTGACCCTGCAGCATCTCCCTTGGCAGCGCAACGTGTGCCTCGCAGGCACCTCCTCACAACACGGAGCAGGGTGGGATGCTCGGCTGTTTCGAGGGCCACTGTCTTCCCACTACGAGTTCATTTTAAAACCATAAACGTCCCCAGTTTTGGCAGCCTGACAGCCCTCCCAAAATCCAGATAAAACTGCCTCATGGGCTCCACCTTGCCCTTGGTCAATTAGTTGGCCATCCCTGGTGTAAAGCATGATTCATCCTGACTTCAGTGGAGCCAGAACTGCACTTCTTGGTATATCAACAGGGCAAGGACTGTGTAAGAACGGGATCTAGAGTCTTGTCTCACAGAAAGTTTCTTTAAAGACTTTAGGTCTCAATAACGTAACTAGAGATGTCTATTAGGAAAGCTGGATCCAGGAAGACTCCAAAATTACATTAACAAATCATGAATCTGTTTAAGTCACATATTCTGGAATCCATTTCTACTGGCAGTATGTTAATTCCAAAATACTATTGCAGAAACTTAATTTAAAAGTAGTGTAAAAATTGTTTTCTCCTTAATCTGTGTCCTAGATGGGTCAGAAAGCTCATTATAAAAAATGTTGAAAATACCAGAGTAAATAATACACTTAAGCTTGATCTCTAAGTTAGTTTTAAGAAACTAAAGAAAACTCAGATAAGCAAAAGAAATAAACAGTTATTTCATCTCTACGATAATCTGTATTTCTCCCTGAAGGTTCACCTTCTTAGGATGTGTCGTGGTTTAACCCCAGCCAGCAACTAAGCACCACGCAGCCGCTCACTCACTCCCCCCCATCCAGTGGGATGGGGGAGAAAATCAGGAAAAGAAGTAAAACTCCTGGGTTGAGATAAGAACGATTCAATAGAACAGAAAAGAAGAAACTAATAATGATAATGATAACACTAATAAAATGTCAACAGTAGTAATAAAAGGATTGGAATGTACAAATGATGGGCAGGGCAATTGCTCACCACCCGCCGACTGACACCCAGCCAGTCCCCGAGCCGCAAATCCCTGCCCCCCCCTTCCCAGTTCCTAAACTAGATGGGACGTCACATGGTATGGAATACACTGTTGGCCAGTTTGGGTCAGGTGCCCTGGCTGGGCATGAGAAGCTGAAAAATCCTTGACTCTAGTCTAAACACTACTGAGCAACAACTGAAAACATCAGTGTTATCAACATTCTTCACATACTGAACTCAAAACATAGCACTGTACCAGCTACTAGGAAGACAGTTAACTACATCCCAGCTGAAACCAGGACAGGATGCTACACAAAATGAATAAACTGTGTCTTGACATCTTAGCAACAAACCTCTCTTAAACTGCAGTATCTCTAGTGCAAGTTCTTAAAACAGACGATCTTCCCTTCTGCAAGCAGCATTCGGACTTCATGGTTTAGGATGTTTTACAATATCCTAAGCATCCTGAAAACAGAAGCCCCTGGACCAAGTCCCAAGTCAGTGGAGTATGTCTCCTTTTTGTACTTGCTAACAACCAAGCGCTACACATGAAGAAATGGGGAAACCTTTTCTAAACAACCAGAATAGCATGGCACTACCTGGGTTCCAGACAAGCAGAAGTTAACTGAATATGGCCACTGGTTTTTGTTCAGGCAGACTTGCCTTCCTGGAAAAATGCCAACACTATTGCACACTAGAACATAATATTTCCTTACCTCACTATCAATATCTAGCTTGAAGTGCAATTAAAATAATTGATGTTTTAGCAGAATTCAGGTGGGTTGAGTAGCTGATAAACTCAGCTAAAGAAAGGAAGACATGCATTTTCTTTCAGGGGTAGATACACATAACAATTCAGTGTCCCCCAAGAGAACAGATTTATCTTCTGGAGATTTATGGCACCAATTTTAATAGTGTTCTGTTTATGGGCTATTGAGAGGACAATTTTTTTTATTGATGGGATTTGCCCCATCGGCTTTAAGTAGCAGCAACCTCATGCTTGAAGTTGGGGAAGAAAGAAATTGAAGAGGGGGAAGAGAATGATCAGTTACAAAACATTATTAAGCGGTGCTATGGCAAACAGTGTGGAATGGAGTATTCTCAAAGTGGTTCTGCTCCACAGAAAATGTTATCTATGGATTCAACATTGGGATGTTCTTTCTGCCAAATAAGTTGCAACAGTCTTAAATATCAGTTAGTTAAACAAAAGCATTAATCCCCCCCCCCCCCAATTCATTATGCTATGCCACTCAAACGTCTTATTATTAATAAAAATCAATATCACAAACTATCACTGGCTTTTGCTGTATCACAGAGTATCCTTTGTTCTCTAGGCACTCATGAAAGGCTATTTTAATTCTTCATGGTGAAAAATACTGGGACTAAGTGTATCTGCAGCTACCAGGACTCATGCTTGTAAACCGATGTTGCAATAAAAAAATGGTAGCTGTATTTGTTGTTTGGTATTTTTGGTGGGGACCCCATTTAAGACCTTTATGTAGATCCCTTGATTCTTTGGACCATTAAAATCAATCAGGTGCAAGTCTGTCATTACAGACTAGCCTCAGACTGCTATTTCTCCAATCTGTTGGCTGAGGACAAAGACGAGCAGATAATTAACTGCTCATTTTGTTTTGACTCAAACCACAAGTATGTGATTATTACTAATAATTACACCTGTAAGCAATGACATAAACATATTAACCATTCAACAGTTAGGAAGTGCTGGATTTGAGGTTTCATAAAGGTAGCTTAGGACAGACCCTGTTGACGCCTGGCAGACGTGAAATAACTCAATGTGGTCACGTCTGTGCAACCTTGACTTCCTTGTGCATGTGCTATGACATAATCTGATTATAGTTTCATCTCACTGGAACCTAAGTAATCCATCACCTATTATTGGCCCTTTGACACCATGTTTCTCCATGATGGTTGTGTCTGATTCAAGCCATGACACCACAGAAATCCTGCATTAGGAACACCTGCCAGATATCCACTTTTCAGCTTCTCCTATATCTAAGGAAGGAATCATGCAGGTAAGAGCCAAGCAGTACCATTAGCATGTACCTGAATAGCACAGTTAATTCTTTCCGTTACTGTTTTTTAAGTTCTGAAAATTAGTTCCAACCCCAAATTTATCATGATGCTTCTCCCTTGCAATGTCTTAAAGCAGAGAGGTATTTTGATCAGATACTTACCTGCAATATTTTAATGGTGAACCAGAGAATTCACTTCCATTTGATGTTGGCTCTGAACGGTTTTCAAAGTCAGACACCAGAAATACTGATAAACTGGCATTAACATAGCCAACCATACACCTAGAGGGGAAAAAATCCTGTAGTCAGGACACAGCAAGGTTTTTCCATTAACTGTTGTACCCAGGAGGATGTTCTCTGGGTTTCATGAAATCCACAGTATAACTGTGATGCTTATTAATATTTGAAAGGGATGTTGAGGCAATATAAAAGAAATGCTCAAGTAGGACAGGTATACAATAAAAGTGAAGCAATGGTAGATTTCTATGGGACAAGAAATGGTGAAGACTGGGACTGGTTACTTTTGAAAAGAAAAGTCACCTAAAAGGTGACACAGTAGAGGTAGAGAAAATAATGAGTAGCACTAGGAAGATAATCAGAATATTTCCACTGTTACTTTCATGGTACTAGCACAAAGGGACATTAAATCAGATGGAAAGATAATACACTTAAAACAGCTTTTTACAAAATGCCCAGTTAATCAGAGGAACTCAGTACTAAAAGATCCCAGGGTGGCTGAGCACTGGAAGGGTCAGGCAGAGTTTAAAGAACACCGAGCAGGAGAATGTACGTTGCCAGCAGAAGGGCTGTGGGAGTCACTAGAAGGCTCAAGTCTGGTGTTAATAAAGCTGAGGAGAGATATGGCATGGGTATTGTGCTGTTCATTCTGCACAGCCTAAGCACCGGTAAGTCTAGGCACGCTGCTCAGCTTGGTGCAGAGTATAATGCACCATAAAAGTTGGTTGGTTTTTTTCTAAACTATGGATTTTATAGTCCTTGAGAAATTACGTTTAAACACTGTTTGGCTTTGTCTCAAAATCTCCATACTGATTGGATTTGGAACTTAATTTAATTACAATATTTTTCTAGTATCACTGGGTGTCATATGGATCTAATACCTACAGATGTTTTTTGAAAGAAAAAAGCACCTCTCATTTAAGTTATTCAATAGCAGATGTTCTTGACTCCTTGATTTGAGAAAATTCAACATTCCTGTGGATTTTTGAATAGCTTCCTGCTTTTGTAACAGTACTTATTAATAACAATATCCAGAATGCTGACATAAATAGTTTTTATCCAAGCTGGCTCCTTCAAAGGATTACTATCTGATGGTTTCAACCTAGAAATTCACTCAGAAAAGCAGCAGAAGTGTGAAAACACTGTACAAGAGGTTTGTGAAAAGATAAGAGCTTCCTCTGTGAGCCAAGCTACTTCCCCCATGCAGAACTCGTTTCAAAGCCAGGGAGTCACATTTGAGCCTTCATAAAAATAAGATTTCTAAAGGTATTGGTTTTTCATGCACAGTGGTCCTGAGAAAATCAGTAGCAAGGAAAATTGCTGACAGTGGCTCAACGTCCTACGGATCTTCATAATGGCACAAGCAGAGGCACACGCTCAGGAACGACTGGCACCAGACCAAACACTTTCCCCGTGAAGGGACTTTAACTCTTCATGAAAATAAATGGAACATTTCCCCTGGCACCGACTAAAATGCCAAACTCCTTGCAGGACAGCAAGTTAGCAGCACTGCTAATCAGGAGCTGCCACACCAGCTGCCCTTCTCCCGTCAGTATGACTAAACAGTATTGACATCCAAAAGACAGCAAAAAAAGCAGCAACAGAAGAACTTGCTTTCTGTAGCAGGGAATGAAAATCAGTCTATCTGCCATATGTCTAATAGCAGAATGTAAGCTCTCTGTCACTGTCTGCTGTTTAACTTGAGCTTCTTTGAACGGTAGGGTCCTTGCTAATGGAGCTGCTGGGAGACCATTTGCAAAATGTGTCTACTGGTGTTCAGCTGGATTCAATGACCTTCCCTGAGTCCAACAGCCTAGATTTTACAAGGTGCCATGCAGCAGCTATGCTCATAATTGCTGGTAGCGTGTACGTGCTAATAAAAACTCAGTGTTTAACAACACTGAAAGAAAATCCACTTAGGCAGCAGGGATTCAGTTCACAAATGTCTCCTGAAAGATTTAATCTAAGGACTCTAGTTTTAGAAGAAAAACAAATTACTTCGCTCTGTAAGTGTATCTTGATTTATTAGTTGGGAATTGCTTCTTCTGGTTAGACACTATTTTTGTCGAGCAATACATGCTGAATACTACATCAGGAAAAAAAGCCTAGTGAGTAAGTTTAAAATGTTCATTACATCTGTAACTGATAAATATCAGCATTGCTTCAGAATGAAAAGAGGGTTATACCCATGTACACCAGCTGGGAAGTGCAGCTTTGCAGCATACTGTTACACACACCAAATCTCTGTAACAGCTCTGCCCTGTTTTCCTTGAATTAACATCATAAATTATAGTCGCTCAGCAACCCATTCTGTGAATATGCAATCAGTATCTATGGCTAATATCTGTTACCCAAGCACAAACAATAAATTTGGGTTAGTGGAATCAGAACATACACTGACAGTACTGCTGTATCTATTCAAGTAGTAAGTGATTTTCATGCACATCTGTTTTCCCAAAGAAAAGCTTACTTTTGTCCAGCTTCTCCTTGGCCAGCACACGGTCCATATTTGTAAGCATAAACAAGGCGAGGGATGAAATCCGATGTCACAGCTATAACAAATGCATTTGTGATAACAGAAAGAATTCCAATGCCTTCCAGGATCCCGTACCAGATTCCTGTTCAACAAGGAGAGTGTGTTAGCTCCAGGAAAACCAAGAACCAAAGTGCCTGAGATACTGCACGCTCTGAAGCAGTTGTCCCCACCACCCAAGGTCTTTTGATGTAGTTTCTACCCGAGAGCCACGGAGTAAAAATAAATTTTCTTATTGAACAGCAGGACCTCAGTGGACCAGATTTCTGATCCTACTGGGTGGGAATTTTGTTTATCCTGCAAATAATCTCAAGGAAGCTGCAAAAATGCTCATGGAGGCCTTGGCTCCATCAAGCCACGTAACTCTGTGGGCAGTTTTAAGACAGGCTGTAAGCCTCCCTGCTTATGGTGATGGCTATCCAGCCTTTGAGAAGGGTCTGCCAGGGCAGCCAGGAACATACGCAATCCATGATCTGCTTGTCACGGGGCCTTCTGCGTAACTTGTGCACAGCTGGTCAGCGCATACTTATCGGCATCAAAATCTTCATGGCAAGCTAATGCTATACAACAGCACTCAGTCCTTAGGCATAACCTGGGCTTTTTGGCCCATCCTCAGCCGTCTGAGAGATCTGGTGGTGCAGGCACGCAGCAGCTCTGGTCGTGAGGACCGTTGCCGAGAACCACACCAAAGGAAGGTCAGACATAGCCGTTGATTTTAATGAGGCGCCAAGCTGTGCCTGAAAACTTTGCTGAATAGGGGGGGAATGCAACTTATTTTGAGATATTACACCTGAAACAGCCTGGAAAAAAAAAATCTATTTTCGTCTGTTTTTATTATTTACCTTCTATAACTGTTTTTTCAGGAATTACGTCTGCAGCGTATACTGTGTCCAGGCTTGTACCTAATGTACAAGCTCCACGCTGCTCACATGCAAAGCTTTATGCAGACACAGACTTTAGGTATGTGGTAGACAATTCTGAGAGCATAAAGCCTGGGCTTCTGCTATTTCATGGTGTGGGCTACTGGTTTTTGCAATGCAGATGGGCAGCGAGGTATCCTATTTACCCCTCCAAAGACACCCAGGATTCAGCGTTGGGCAGATGACTTTGTTTTACAGAGTCCTTCTGAAGGTGTTCTGCTTTTGCACATTGCAAGGGCAGAAGAGATTTATAGTCAAATATGTTCAGAGAGCCCTTGCAGTCGTGTGTGGCTGGGTGACCTCCAAGTTACGTGAACCCCGTGTTTAGCAACATAGGTGTGCCTCTCTGAGAGCAAGTCGTCTCTTGGGATCTACACCCACCCTGTCTGACCCAACGGGGACCTGGTGGGCATAGCCCCTGAGTCACAGGGGAGCTTGGTTTTGGCCAGGTAAATATAAAACACACAGGTCTCTTACAGGATGGTGGGTGCTTTAACTTGACTTTCATGTTCCAGCTGCTCTGTCTGGTTGTTACGTTCAAACTGAGCAGTGGCATGTGTTCACACAGTGTGTCTGCCACGAGGAGAAACCTGCAGAGAAGACTGATCACTTCATTAAAACACCTTGCCTGTTAAGTCACCCAGAAAATCATTAAAGGACATTTTCCGATATAGACGATCAGTTGCATAAGTAGATTGTCATCAGATACGTGGAGTTTTTTGGAACAATCAAATTGTGTGCTGTTAATAGGGAAGACGACTGAAAATACCTTAATCTGCTCTTACTTGAAGTGGTCAATGCTTTGCCTTAAAAATAACACACACACATAACAAACACACGTACAAAGAGCTCACCTATATCTTTGGCTCTTGAAGCTAAAGGTCTTCTCCACTGGGTAACAAATTTGTACGCATCAAGCCGAATTTCAATAATATTGTTAAGTAAGGCCAGAAGCGGTGCCAGTGGAAAAGCTGCCACAAAAATGGTTGTGAACCCAAACTGCAGAACTAGGAAAAAAAAGGAAAGATCACAGTTAAGGTCTAAGACAAATACATGCATGCATGCAAACATTATGCATAAATACATAAACACTTATTATGCATTCTTATTATTGTACAGCAATTCCTTGCTGAAAGTTCAGAGCAAGGATAACAAGAACAAACACACATCTGTCCCTGGGATGGGCAGCAACATCTAGATTTTGTAAACCAGAGGGAAGTTTGGAGGTGCACAAACTGTGCTTTTAGAAAGGGACATTTTTACTCAGGCATCAACTAGGATCTCTCAATACCTGCAGAGATTAAGGCTGAGTACATTCCTTTTTATAGTACAGATGGGCAGTAGTTTGAAACTTTGTGTAAGTTTCTAGAGGCAGGTTTTCAGACTGCCAAATTTCCCATTAATTTGAAAAGAATTGTGTGATGGAGAAAAAAAAAACCAATCATGACACATGCAGTTCGGTCACATAGGGCAACATTTCTTGTTCTTTAACATTTCTTTGAGCAGTTATCTTCCCCTCTCCTCTGGATAAAGCAATGCCTTTTGGCAGCAAGCTCCTTTGTAAACGTGAAGTAGCAAACAATGGTGAATTTTAAACATAAACAAGCAGGCAGGTCTCTACCACACAGTTTAAAAGTAAAAGCCCAAGAGAACTTCCTTTAGAAAATAACAGCGAAGTTCTTCAGAAGTGTATGGGGGTGAAGAGGTGGGCTTTGGTTTGGAAAACGACCTTCCCCACAGAAAGCCAGACTGAGAAGTGTTTCACAGATGCGAGGTTAGCAAACGGGCAGCAGCGTGGTTAGCTGCGTTGCTTTGGTTTGGTTCTTACAAACTCCCTCCCATTCCTCACCTGACCTGTGAGAATGAAAACCATTTTGCAGCCTCTTTAGCTTCATACAGCAATAATTAAAAGAGCATACCAGCCCACATCACCAAAAAAAGCAGTAACATTAAAATCTAGCGAAAGACGGAGAACAAAGGTCAGCATCATACTCATTTCTAGGTATTCATCAAAGAGCCCATAAGCATTCATAGGTTGCAGATTGTAGTCCTTTTCCCACTGTGGGAAGCTTGTTTTTCTCTGTGTGCCATACTCCTGTCGTAGTTTTCTCCTGGTCCACCAGTTTTGAATTAGCCTACATTTTCAAATAAATTAAAGAAACAAGGTAAATAATATTAGCAGCTATTTATCACAAAACTGGAAGAGGCTAAGTGTGCACAACATACCTTGCAAAATTAATTTCCCAATGCACAGGAAAACAGAGCATTAGCAATACATGTGGCTGATGACACGACATAATAGGTATGAAAACAGATACGGCCGATGGGCTGTAATCCAGGCCTAGAGGTTATTAAAACGGCGGAGAAGTTTTGACATCTCTTCATTTATTATTTACCTCCTGCTCTGCGCAGAATGGCAGATCACTTCGGGGTCTGTTTGTATGGCAGAATGCAATGCTGTGTGGGGATAGCTGAGTAGCTGACAGTTCTCTAATTGAAAAATCAGTAAAGAGAGTGCTAAATGCCGCTTGATCCCTTCCCGTGTGCGAGCCGGCATCCCTACACGGCTCTGCAGTTTGGGGGGGAACAGTCCCCGGGCAACCCTGGAAGGGAAAAAGCAACCTTGCTCGGTGTCTGCAGCCAAACGTTCGGAGGAACAGAAGGCAGAAAGGAGCGCGGCCCACCGACAACGCGCGGTGGACGGCTGCCACGAGAGCTAGCTCCGTCTCAGAAAACGGGGGAGCGGGGCTGGACGTCGGGGGGGAGATGTTCTTCCTGGAGAAACGCACGTGTAGGGGCACCGGGGGGGGGGGGCACTGGGGAGAATGAGAACGCCAGAAGAGAAACGAGCGCTCATGTTTGGAATACACACCTTTGCCTCTCCAGGTCAGGGAGTTGCACCGGTTTGGCCAACAAAGGACACAAGTTACAGTAAGTATAGAGAGAAAAAAAACCCTTCACCTGAAGCAGTTTATTCCCATTAAATCACTTGTTCTCAAACAATCTCCTCCTATCTCCTTCAGTCACCTTCTTTAATCCCCTTCTCTGCTCTTTATTAGGTTTCAAAATCCCCATTAACAGGCAGCAGAAAGTTCTAATGAAAACTGACAAAAGAGGCAGGGAGTGGAAAGAGGAGGATCAACACCGCTGCTGCTGGTCCCTCCTCCCCACCCCGGCTAACTCCTCCAGCCCTAGCAGCTGGAAACCCCTGGCAAGCGGTGCTGGGGCAGGCCTGGGAAGACTGGGAGACAGCGAGCATTGAGGACCTGGATTGCCAATTACTCTGTGCATTGAAATCATTTACTCTGCTCTCATCGCGGCTAGATGCCATCAGCACTGGGGCTGCCTGAAGCCGGTTCTGCAGCACGTCTCTGCAGTTGAGGGACCCGTCCCCAGGCTGGCTCTGCTGTGGATCCTGCGGCGACGCAAATCCCTCTGAACTTCGCAAGGGCAAACTTTCTGACAATGTCAGGTCTCTCTTATATTTTCACACTTGCTAATTTCCCTTGATGACCTGCCATGCTGTCTGGAGCATCAGCTGTCTATGTTAATCATATTAAACATGTTCATTAAATGCTAATCAATAAGAAGTGAACCAATAGGAAATGAATAATCTTCAACCTTATTAGCTGGGGCATGGCTCCATAATACCCTGAAGATCACCAGGGAACTTGGCTATATACCAGTCAGTACGTTTTTCTATCTCTGAGAGTGTATATGCCAGCAGCGCATTTTTTCCAGCTCATACCTGCCCTTTCAGGTACCCTTTATCACCCAGCAAGGAGAAATCCAATTTAGAATGTACTGGCATAGCTAAAAAATGATACATATAATATTTCCTGTGTAAGGAATACAGCCGTCCTACTGTTTTATTTTTAAGGAGTTTTAAAACACGGAATACAGTTTAATGAAATCAAGTACTTCCCATATATTATTTATTTGTTAATATTTATATTACACTTTCACTTTTGCGAACTATGTCCAATGTGAAAAAACCCCAAACACCATCTATCTCTATATGTCTGGAAATCTCTCATAGGAGTTCGGTATCCTAGAGGGGATTTTCTATTGTAATGACTACTGTATCTTGCTTTTATGTAACTGGTCATAAGGAAAGCATAAACTTAGTATTCTTCTGTGACCTACGGAAGCATAGGCATTACATTTACTTACGGGTAGCCCAGTTCCATGAAATTATTCCAGGTCTGCTTTAACACCATTATAATACCCATTTGCATACAGAGATCAATAAGGCATCCACTTGGGTGGCACTACAGAAGAAAAGAAACAAAAGGTTAAACGGAAATAACGCTGAGTTTTAAAGCATTTCTTAAAGACTAGAAATGGTATTAAATAAATTACTTAAAGAAAATCAAATGCCATTCTCTATTTTTTTTAAAGAATAAAAACTCATGGGAACATATGAGACTGTATCATACCGCCAGCCTTTTAAGCCTACCATCTAATTCTCTGCAGAGGTCAGAATCAGCTGAAACCGAAGCAATTTTCACATTAGTGCTTCTAATATGCTGTGCAACTGTGGATGGGACAGACGCAAAGGCTACCAAGTTTCTCCAATGATTTCAATAGTTTTGGGGGAGGTTGACTGTGCACCAAGTGAAAGAATGAAGAGAAAATTCCTCCTGGCTGCATAGGCAAACGGTTGATGCCTGGAGGATAAACCTAATGCTGTTTATTGAGTACTATTTAAGGTGTATGACTGAGTAGACCATGCAAAGCTATTCTCTCCTTAAAGAACTAAAAATCTTTATCTGTCAAAAACAGTTTCTGTCTCTTGCTGAGTGCTTGCTTGCTTTAGCAGTGGCTCCAGACCTTGAAGAAGTGGTGCTGCTTCTGGGAGAGATGCTCAGCTAGTACAAATTTAGGTGACTCTACAATTCTTCATCTAGTATTGGAAGAAACAGAAAAGGACCAAAAACTTTCTGCCCTCAAACAGCATTTTGCACAATTGATTTTGTGGATCCAAACAGTGGAGTCCAAGGTGTATTGTTAAATCCTTGGTATTACAGATAAGTCGAACAGATCACTGTCGTAGAACTGGAACTATTTCTCTTTAACTTTTACAAAGAAAAGTTAGTTATGACCTCTAACAAAATGTGATATGAATTTCTTGTACATACTGCATTATACAGTGCTCAGAACCTGGGTCCCTGCTGAGGTTTCTGTTGGCCTCATTCAGCTTCTCTTAGATTAACAGGGTGGCAGATAATTTTTATTTTCATTTTTTTAAATTAACTCTTCTGGCATTATTAAACCATCATCCCTCTGTTTTTAGGAATCAGTCACACGAGCCAATATAACCTGAGAAAGGTAGGTGCAGTATTAATGAAATAGCAGTGATGTTACAACCATAACATCACTAATATATAAATTGTGGTCTGAATATGCCCATGGACAGTGGACTAGACTATATCGTGTTATTAAATGTCTTAGACTTGGGTTCATCCAGCAGGTGAAGAGGGCTATTGGAGGGACACCTGGGCATTATATTCTAAATTACGTTCCTAATAAGACCTAGCACAGATATGGTCAATAAAGTTGAGACTTTTTTTAATAGACATTTCTTCTATTATTAGACTTTTTTTTTTCTCTGAGAAAAGCAAATTAACAGGGACTACTAATAGTAGCTTCCCCCAGCACCTGACCCAACCTGTAACACCTTGCTGTTGCACTTCCCTCCCCAAACTGGTTCTTTCTCCCTCCCACCTCTGCTCCTGCAGAGAGGTGAGGTTCCTTCCCTGATCTCCAATCCCTCTGTGAGATCATTCAGCCCAGTAACTCATCAGAAAACTAATCTGGCCAGAAAAAGGAAAAGTTTCCTGCTGATACCTGGAACGGAATAGGCTCCTCGCAGGGTTGGACAAGCCAGAGCCAGTGCAGAGGAAGAGGAAGGAGCAAACTCCTGGGGAAGGCTCAAAGGAAGAGCAGAACAGAGAAGTCTTCTTCTGGCAGCAGCAAGAAGTTAGGTCAGCTCAGCCCCTCTCAGACTTGGGAGGGATGTTCAGTGGATTTCTTTCTGCCCATTTATGAAGTATTCTTCCCTTGAATGTGCAGAATTCACTACTTCAAAATTAGGATGGCTTTGTCAAATTATTCCTTTTTTGGCTAGTATTTGGATGACCTCTATTAACCAAAATATTTATGTATCTGGAAGTGTTTGTAAATCCATGTTGGCAGCGTAAGTCCTGCATTTTCCACTTGCCATTTGTCATGTGTTTGCAAAACCATTTCAGTTATTCAGCTGTGAAGCAGGAAAGAATCCATGGGATTTGAGTGTGCAAATAGCAGCACTGGAAACTACATGACTGGTCCAAAAACTGCTGCTGTTCACCTCCAATAACTGTCAAATGGTTTTTGAATTCTGAATGTATTTGCCAAAAAAATGGGATCGGTCCTTGAGGGACTTGCAAAGCCAAATTCTCATTGCTCTGCAAATCCATTTGGTTTTATAAACATGGATCATTATGCCAGTAGCTCTTGTGGGAAGTCGTTCAGTTGTTTTGGTCAACTTTCAAGGACATTTTATGTGTCTGGATTTTTAAGTTATTATTTTAGCTCCCTGGTCTGCAAGGCTAGAAAAGCTGACAATAAAGGATGTCTTGAGAGGTAAAAAGTTGCCAGATTTGTATCTGACTTTGATTCATTTCGAGGATGAAATATTTCCAGTGTAAGAATGCGAGTAATGTTTAAACCATTTGATGCCACTATCCAAATGTGATGCCAACACTAAAACTGCTAGCATTGAAAAGGGCGTATATATCAATACGTAGATGTTTTTGTAGCAGATGGTGGTGTCAGTAGCGTGGAGTTAGACAGCAATGAAAACCCAGTAACACACTCAAAAATACCTAGGCAGAGTTATGTGTCTGCCTCTGCTTGCACTCACTGCATCGTGGGCAGCAGATACATCAGTGTGTAGTTAGTGAACACTCACCTCTTCCAGCCTCCACCGGTTTATCAGCCTTAAGTAGGCACCAGGGTGTCCTGTAAATCTTTAACACAGGAATATACGTCAACTATGTTGTGTAAGCAGTCTGTTCACAGTAGTAGAAGAAAGCTCACACTGTTGCTTTAATCTAATGTCATCTTAGCGTGATTGATGTAACTATAAAATATGTTATGCTGCAAAATGTTTTGGGGAATTCCTGCAATAATTTCCATGAAGGGCTAAGTATATTTTTACTTCCAGTTTTATTTCAATACCAAATACGCTGCTGTTGGATATTCAGCATATGCAGAGAAGAGAGAAAATCTGAATAAAACTGTTCATGTCAGTATGGAAAATGGCTTTCAACTGTCAGTTTATTTCCTTACACCATAATGTGGGCTGAGATATCTGCCTTTCTGTGGAATCAGTGAAAATGTTAGTTTTCATTAGGAAAACATAACTTTCTTACTATTCTATGTTTTCTCCCAAAATGATTCCCACAACTTCCCACATGCAAATAAACCATACTGATGGATTCTTCTACTCAAGCCTTCTCTACTCAAAGGATCTTCTTTTGCTTTTAGGGGACTTGCAGAAAGAGACATACATATATATATATGTATATATATGTGTGTGTATATACACACATATATAAAATTTTCTGTGGAAAAAAACCACCCTCTACTGATAGCTCATAATTCACTCTTAACAGTCCAAATCATATAATAGAAGCAGCAAAGTATTCAGGCAGTTGGACCAGATGATCATTGTAGGTCCCTTCCAGCTGAACTATTCTATTCTATTCAATTCTAGTCTAGTCTAGTCTAATTCTATTCTATTCCTAATGATATTCTAAAAGAAAAAGACACAGTGTTATTTACTTACCTGTACAAATTACACACATAAAGACAGAGTGAAGCGACCTGCATGTATAGTATTGTGGGATGCATCAGTTCCTAGTAGCGCAATTGTTAAAAGTCAGCATTGAGCCAATGTGGTGCTAGGAAATGAAAACTACATCTGTTTCTGGGCTTTTGAAAGGAAAATAAAACTGCAATCTGTCCTGCTTTGCTAGTATGAAATTTGCATTTTGAGATGTGTGATAATATGGTCCCATTTTGTTTCCCTACAGACAATTTTATTTCTTCTCTCTACTTCATTTTGCACATATGGAGGTGCAGACATCAATCCTACCTTCCAAGGAAGAATGCTATATAAAAGGTAGAGCTGTTCAGATTGACAAACTGAAAAAGAAACATTTTCAGAGTGAAGCTGTTCTCCCACTCAGATTCGGTACGAGGCTGCTCTGTGAAGAAAGAGAGCAGAGTTTCAGAGGTTTAATCAGATTAACAGTTTCCCTTGGCACAAAGGCTGCACACACCTATCAGAGCTGGCAATGTATTTTTAAATTAGCCTGCTGATTTCAAAATATAAGCTGACAGAAGAAATTGTATCCAAAAGCAGCACACAGCAAGTGAGCTTGTAAAGACTTAGAAATCTCTTCTGATATCTGGATATGTGTATTCCCAGGAGACTGGAAGAAAGTGGTCGAGATAATGTGTGTATTAAACATCCCTCCTGGATTCCTGTGTGCTTTACAGGCTCAGGCTCTTCTCTTGTTTCCTTTTCTGCAACCTGCCATAATGACATTGCCAGAAAGCACCCCACTACAAGCTACGTAAGTGCCTTTCTGTTAGAGGTGTCACACGGAACTGGAGCAAATCCTCCTCCTATCTCTGTTTCATGGATTTGCCCACCGTGCTGGCACCTAAGGACTCTGCACAGGTATCAGTGGAGTGCCACTGCATGGCTCCCTTTCCTTGTCCCAGGGAACTCATCACAGAAGACCGAGAAAAAATATTTTACAATGGATGGGGTAAGGCAAATGGGAAAGGAAAAGACATATTCTTCCCTTCAGGTAGGCCCTTAATCTCCATCTAATGAGATAACAAGACAGAAGTTAACAAAACAACTTCTACGTCCTGGAACTACTCTGCACTTGGCAGGAGCTTGTTATGAGTCAATCATTGCTGTGAACAGGAGTAATCAGAGGAGGAGTAGAAGTACTAATAGTGATTCTGAGTATCATAATGGTAGTACTCATATACTACTTCCTCAGGACCCTCCAGTAATGTACTGGAAGTGCAGAAACAACAATGATAAACTAGATTCTCTTTAATTAGAGCTGCCCTAGCCATGAGGAAATTCTGAACAAATGCATCAACAAAACCATAAAACATATCATAAATTAACAACGGTGTTAGTGATTTGGAAATGCCTGTCAAGAAACCCAGGTTTGTGTGTATACCAGTGCATACATATTTAGCTAAGCAGAAAGAAATAAAGCATCGTGCCTTTTTGATGCCAGTCTGTGGGAAGGACAAGTTTGACTTGAACAAGGCTGCTGCAGCTGAAGCTTTGCTCATATGCCCATCAGAGGCGATGGCAAGGCTCTGGAGGAGCACGGACGTGAGCTCTGGGAAAGGTCATGTAAAGGCTGAAGAAGGACATCCTGAATGTAGCTTTGCTGCCAATCTCACTCTGAGCTTATTACACTGATAAAGATCATTCAAACCAAATCAACTACTTAGGCCATGAGAGTAAAAACCACAAAATGTTCTGAACATGGTCAGAACAGCTTGACCCACTGAGTTTTCATACAAGTGCTTCCTGCACAGGCTACAAGAATCAGACCTACCTTGATGATAACCTGGCAGAAAGTAATCACGCTTCAAGGTCTCTAGACCATATCTTACTGTCCCCAGGGTGTCACAGGGAGAAAAGAGCATAGCCTGTGCAAATCACATACTTGAAAGTCACATGTCTCAACTGTAACTAGCAGCTATCTTTTCCATGGATACAGGATGGCAAAAAATGTTTTAAATCTACAGCATACAAACGAGGACTCTCAGTCTGATAAGAAACAACAGAATAAAATGCTATCTTACATAGACGTGCTTTGAACACATCACCTATAAATTCCCAGATGTAGAAAAGCCCTGACACTAGCTAAAATCAGCTGTGTGTTTCCTCTGAGCAGACACCAAAATCTGTCCACCTGGTCCAAAACACCTCACTGAACATCACCAATGTACACAGGTATCCAGAAGCTCAAAATAATCTCCTCAAACCACTTCTACACATGCCATAATATGGTTCGCTTGATAGGCCTTCAGCAAGAGTCTCATTTCAGGCTTCATGACATGAAGGAGCCCTTGCCAATTGTCACCAACTACTGCAATCTTCCAGCATGACCAGGACCTCCAAAGACTCTGCCTGAGCCGTGCGTATATGAGTGATAGCCTACCGCTGCCCCAGGGACCGTACATGCTGTCCTTAGGAAACGTGTCCTTACTCTAGATAAAGATCACCTTTATGGGTGAGCTGAAAAGATGACTGACACTTGGAACACCGTTAGAGTTGAGGTGTTGGTAGAGCTGAGCCATCACCTAGTTATCTTCCCTCCACATTACTGCCCCTCTTAAAGGCATATGTTTGATAGTCAATAAGCTATAAGTTGGGGTTCCAGAAGGGATTCCCCCATTTCCAGGTCTTCACAAAACCTGGGGGTTGCGAGTGCTCAGTGTCTCTGAAAACTCACGCTTTTTCCCTCAAAGTAACAATTTGTTTAAGTTCTTACAAGGTAAGGGGTTGGAACAAGACCCAAGCATGCCAGGTAGGTGACTGCTGTCGCCGCTGATTGAATAGCACTATCGCTTAGTTTATACACTCCTTTATTATAAACTTAAAAACATTAATTCCTATAGATTGCAAATTAATCAGGATTTTTCATAGTTATACAGACAGTTTGAATGCTATCACAGTATAGGGACCAAAAAATCAGTACAATATCATTCAGTTTTGTATTTAATATTGCTTACCTAAATTTGTCAGGAAAAGAGCAACCTTTTCATACAGCTGTAACAGAGAAGAAACAGCCTCTTAGATACATGACCAGCTCAAAAAACCAGAACTGCTTTCTAGGTAGAGTAACTGCTTTTAGGTGTTAAATCTAACATCCAGATTGTCTCTGTGATGTTCTGATAATGATGATAATAAAACTATATAGTAATAGTACAATAATGATATAATCAAACAAGGAACAGTAGTATTTTTAAAGCTTATACTCAGCTCTTTTCATCCACAACATATGGAGAAAAAACTGCTGTCACTGTCCCTATTTTACAAACACAGTGAAAAAGGGCGAGATAACTTTTCCAAAAACCCAAAGCAGAACAACAGCACAACTAGGATTTTTGTTTTAGTTACTTATGGAACATATATCTCTCTCAAAAAAATCACCCTAGTAAGAGCATGCTCTGGTATGTTGGGTATTTTGGGCTTTTTGGTTTTGTTTGGGATTCTCTTGGTGCTGAAAGGAAAGACATTGGCGAGACAGGGTTGCTTCAGAGAAAGTCTTTAGTAATCCCCCCCACCAGACACATTTCTTACTCTGAGTCAGTGACGTTGTTCTAAATCCTAAGTGGTACTTTCTGTGCTGAGCAGATAACCATGCTCTCAAACTCTCCGGGAGACTGCTAACTTCATAAAGCTTACAGAAACTACCTTGGAGGGTTTTCACAATTAGTATTTGCAAGGGGCTTTTGAACCTATAAAGTACATCACCACCAACATCAGTGTTGGTGTAAATTAATACAACAATTTCCATTTGCTTTAAATGAGTCTGGAGCCTGTTCTCACGAAACGCTAAATGTCCTTAACTCTCACTGATGCCTGCAGGGATACAAACTGCTCATATTTCAGGCTCAAGTACTTACTTATTCCTAAAGTGCATATCAGCAATGTTTCTTTTCATTTGCAGTTATCCTTATAAACTCTTGCTTAAATTGAGTTACGTACAATTTACAGATCAAACTGCCTGTGTAAGGACTGAAGTCCTCCTGAATTATCCCACCCTTGTTAACAACCACTTCTTGCTTAGAATAGCTTTTTGCTGCCTTTGGAGAAAACAGTTTTGTTTCAAGTAATGAAAAAGGTGGTTTCTTCTAGGTTTAAAAGCACCTCTTAAGGGCAGCTGTAAAAGTGCTAAATGTCTGGGTGGTTTATATCCTGATCCCAGCAGGGAGTGTGCTATTTTACAAACGTACATTGCTCTGCAGAAGGGGGTATCAAAACTGTATTTTGTTGCTATTCCTCCTGGAACAGCATGACTGCGTTAGAGATTCTGTTAACAATGTTTGGATCTAATTATCTGCTACTGCAGTTTATCACTACTGGTCCCTTTTTAGGATCATATTCTGTTCTGTGTTCTTATTTTCTGTGGGCGATACCACTGGAATTAACAGGTTTTATTAACCTAGGTAAAGCTAATAATTGTTCCCAGGTCAGGCTGCAGGATTATCTGGGAGACATTATGCTTGAAGGTCATTTTGTTTTCTCACGATGGATGTGTCAGTGCATGTACCGAGCTCCCAGAGCATCCACTCCAGAAGTTACTTGTGGTCTAGACCTTTCCCCTGATGCTCAGAGAAGTTGTCACCTCGTATCAGAATCACTGGTGGTTTTCCAGGCTTCCTGGCAGTGAATTCCCTACTGCTATATACATCTTGGTCTGTTCTGGTTTTATTACTGTATCTCTGCTTGCTCTCCTGCTTCTTTTCCTGAGTCACAGTCTGCAGAGGATTCAACTACCTGAATTGCTCCTGGAGTAAGATTTTTTTATTATTATTATTATTTTTATTTTCAAAAGAAATCCCACTACTGTCCTTCAGTAAACTACATTAATCTATCATGGGAAGTGAGGGATTATGTTAAGTCCTTCTGAAAAGCTCCTGCAGTTTCATATTTTGGGGATCTTTTGTTTCCATGAGCTATATCCAGATCTAAGGCTGTGCTGTTTATCGCATGGTAATGAGTATAAGGCTTAAGAAATCCATCCTTGCAGTGCTCTACTTATTTGTTGTATTTTAGGAAATAAAACAAAGTTTCTCAAAAGGCACCTTCAAGCCATCTTCCATTATTTTAAAAATTTCTCTAAGCTGTAAAACTCTTTGAGAACCAAGTAATTTTGTTTGTGCAGTATTTCTTTGTTGCTGCTTCACTGCATATACAATGACTTATACTGAGAGCTTGGAAATGGATGTTGTACTGACATAGATATATATAGTTTTCTTTTTATTTCTTCTATGCTTATTGTGTGCTCTAGGTGGATTACAGAAAACCCCCAAAAGCCGCAGACAACAAACAATAAATCAAAAATAACATAAAAGAGAACCCTCAGTACAAATTCAGAGAGAATAACAGCTTCCACCTCTTCTTTCTGCCCCTTCTCAGCCTATAGTCCCACCTTTGGGAAAACACAGGAAAGTCAACAGTTCTTCATAGACTGTCCTAGTCACCAATCCAGTCTTGCCTACACCAAAGGGAAAAGTGAAGTTCTGCAGCAAAGCCTCTTGGAATTTCCTGCTATATAAACGAGGGGCTGTTAAAATGAATTTTTAGATGATGGAAATGCTTGGGTATTGCACAGGAAAGAAAGTAGTCTCCAAGCCAGAAAGTGGAAATGTGCAGGCCTGAAATAACTTCTCATACTTCCCCCAGGAATTAAGTCAGCATATCTCCTGGAGCAAAGCCTAACACGCTTTTTGCAGAAGACGCTTGCTACTGAGTGGGTAGAGATACTCTGCCCTGGCTCCAGCACCTGGATGGTTTGTAGGTTGATCCCTCCTTCCCCTTAAAACGCATTCTTATAACGTCAGTTGACAAAAACCTGATAGTAAAAGGCCGTGCACCTCTTGCCAAGAGTAACTAATAGAAGACACATTGCTATCGCAGCAACATACAAAGTACCTGCATCTCCATGGAAGGATGAAACTCATTCCCCATCTGATCTATGCTATACTGTCACCACATAGAATTCCCATTTTTGCCCCAAGTCTGCTTCCAAACCGGTTCACAGCAATAACCTGACCTCAGCCAGCCCCCCCAGCGCGCCCAGAGCGTGTCCCTGGTGTACCCTGCCAAAGGCCATAGGCAGTTCATGGAACAAGTCATGTCTGCTCGAGCCTCGTGGAGTTTTTAGCTCTATGGAGTTCTCCTGCATATGGACATGGTGTCCGTATATGCATATCCTCACTGGTAAACTACTGTGAAAACTGAAGCTGGAATGACTGAAACCAGTATAAATAAGAATTAAGCTTGGCCCTGTATTTAAAAAATAACATCAAAACACTAATTGAAAAGAAGAATATTAATGAAATGGACTGAAACCTGCAAACATATGAAAGGAAAAAAAAGAGGCAGAGGATAAAACAGGAGTATGGACACGTCTCTCTAAAATATTTTTTAGAACATTCAAACACACTTTGCATAATGTTTTGGGTTTGGAATTGTACTTTACACAGTGAACGTGCATAAACAATAAAAACATCTCTGGCTTAGCAAGACACTCCACTCCTGCTGAAAAAGAAACTAAAAGCATTCAGTGGTCTGCAGACTGAGATATCTGCTGATCTGATGGTTCGGGTATAACTTTGGATAAGTTAGTTTTACTCACCACGTTCAGTAGCATGATGATGCAAAAGTTGATGCACACTGCAGTCCCTGTAGTTGCAACCTGAGAGTTATTCCTGATTAAAGCCCACTTAAAGGCAGCGAAAGTGCTGACAGTCACAACACGGTAAATAACAATGCCAAACACAGCAGCAATCACCACACAGATCTAAAGGAAGAAAGAATCAGAGAGAAGAACCTGAAAATTTTCAATAGAACAGGAGTTATCTTCTCCCTGAAACACTGAAAACTAAAACAATGAAATTAAAGTCTTGAAAAATACATTAATTTTGATTCCAGAGAAAGGTTTCAACATGAATATTCTTCTTGTTGTAAAGTCCTTTTTATTTTCCATAATGCAAAATATCTTTGAAATCATATTAAAATAATCTGTAGTTGTAAACATTTTCTTGAAAATGTACCTCTTCCTTAGCATTAACATGGGAAACAGTGTTGCCAGTTCTGGGAATTAGAAATTTTCCTTACATGCATTTTCCACAATGTGCAAAGGCTCGTCTCAAGCTGGTGTCCCAGCTTGATGATGTCATATTTGGGATGGATTTTATGCTTTGATGGACTTCACACTTAGAGGAAAAAACATCTCCGTTTGTACGCACTGCCTCAACAACAACCCTGGCAAACTACCCTAGCAAGCTGTTTCTTGCTACAGTTCTGGAAAGATTCTATCTAGGGAAGGTAAAAAATTCAATTGCCCTTGTAATTTCTACTCTGATGAGACTTTCAGCAAATGTGACATTTATAATGTGAAAGCCATGCAGCTGAGCCAGGCTGCTAAATCCCTTTGTGGTCCATATGCAACAGTTGAGCACTAAACAACAACTGTTTTCCATTGTGACCAATTTATGTCACAGTTTAGCAAAGCCACCTAAAGGACAAACAATTGTGAATTAGCACAGGTGACTCATCTCAGAGAAACTCTGACACAGTACCCCTTAGCTACCTTATTAGATAAGGAGAGTTTCTTCAGCAGAAGACAGCTGATTATTTGCAAAAGACAGGTGTATTCCAAGGTTATGCAGAGACAACTCAAACCTACCAAAATCTAAGCTAATTGAATGGGCAAAATGATTTTGAAAACACTGAGTTCTAATCAAGCTGGTTTCATATTTTATTAGTTACAAAATTGATTGACATAATCCCAGTGCAGAAGAAAAAGAAAGCGTGTGTGAATGCGAAGGATTGCCTCTGGATTCCCTGCATAGTGTTGAGGGGAAGAAGGACCGCTTCCCTTCGTTAACAGGGAACCACTAACCTGCTTCAAGCTGTATTAGTAACTGCACTGAGAGTCAATGCTGTGAAATTTTTAGAACTGCTCTGACTTGAAGTGTCGATAAGTGTGTATCTCCTGCACTTAAAGATATAATTTTTAAGGAATATTTTTACCTAAATAGGGGAAAATCCAGAGTTTTTCTAACTCATTGGAAGCCCACGCTATGCCAGCAATAAAAAATATCTTCAGTGAAAATAATCCTTGTCCTATTTCAAGGACTGTTATGGGGACAATTTGTGGTGCACGCAATTCAGAGCAAGGCTATTCTCTGTGGCACTTTGAGCAAGATCTATCACTTCTATCACTAGGCTAAGATTAATGACTGCGTTTGCAAAGGGTGGGGAGTGAAAACTGTCCCCCTTCAAGAAAAAAAAGTAGGGAAAATATGCAAAATGTTGCAGGTGTAGAATCAATTCCGAGCAGAGACTGCAGTCCTGAGCAGACGTCAGTGTCTTCAGGGGCTCAGTCAGACAGCACATCAGCTCCTCGCGCCCAGCGTTCCTCCGCGTGTCTCTGTCTACCCACCCGACACACCAGAGCACAGATCATCTCAGGAACGCTCTTGCCTTCCTTGTCCAAGGTTGCTTTGGCCAATTTTGAAGCCATCAGTTTCTTACAAGCCCTCTGCCCGGTTCCCCCCCCTCTCATTCAAACACGAAGTTGCTGGGCTAGCTCACCTACCTGCCCCTCCACAGCTCCGGCAGTTATACACATATATCGTTTTCTAGCCTCCTGGAAAAGCCCCAGTAAATTCCACAAGGGTCTGAGTTGATGCCAGCTGTGTTTTCAAGACCAGTCCTACCCCTGCTGTTGTCACGTGAATAACAGCGAAAACTGCTTCAGTGGAGTTAGAGGATGGGGGCATTTCAGCGGAAACGCACGCAGCTCTCTGTTAAGAGAGATTTTGCTGCTGCATTTAGTTTTGCACTTTGGAAGGGGGAGAGATGCCTCGTTTTAGACAAGGAACATCGGTTTCTCCATTTCAATTGCACTAGGAATATGAATCCTCTTTCCTTACCTCCTCAATACACTGAAACACTAGGACATACTAACATCATCAGGCACTCCAGGCACCTTAGTTAGGTTCTCTGCAGAGTTTCCAGAGAACAGGGGCCTCTTCCATGGCATCTCTCCCCATCACTCTGCTCTGTCTACATAGGGAAGGCAAGGAAATCAGTGAGCTAATTCAGTCAGCTGAAGTTGGTGTTTGATAGCATCGCTGTTCTGGCACGTGTGTCACTACATATAGCGTTCTGTGTATAGCCTTGAAGGAAGGACTTAACTATCTGGGAGACTCAGTGAAGAATAAACTAGTGTAGGACTTCACAGAAACTCAGGCAATTTGCTATGTACAGATTTGCAGCCTGCAGTAAACATGCTAGAGCTCATTTCACTTTCAAGCACATATCCAGTATTTCTATACTCTCTCAGCAGAGATAATGTTATTTTGTATTTTTTCAACGGGTAAATAAATAAAAGTTCTCAAACCATAAAAAATATTCCAGATGCAGAAACAATGAGTCTGCTGCATTTATCTGCAAATGCTTGATAAGGCTCTGGCTTCCCGGATATGGGGTTCATTCGTTCTTTCTTGGAGTACTTGGCTTCAAACTGCGGACGTATTTCCTCCTAAAGAACAGACAGACAATGTTCACGCACAGCACAGCTAGGAAAGATTCTGTAGGAAACTTCAGATAATTTATCAGCTCACTGTTATTGGGAATTACGTCTTTGAATTCAGCAGCTGGCACAGCTACTATAAAAGCTGAGCTGGGAAATCAGGTCTCCTTCATGAGAACTAGAATAAATCACCGTACCCATAAAACGATATTGGAAGTATTTAGTTAACTCCCCAATTAGCTACTCATCTAAACAATGCTCTTTCAAACTATATGGCTGTAAGCCAAATCATTTTAAGGTTGATACCACTGAGTTTTCCAGCCTGGTATTATCCTATTGATCCTGGGATTCTACAACAAAGCAAGAAGGAGAGGAAAAAAAAATAATAATTTTCCAGACCCAATTGCTGTTTGCTAGGTAATTGGTTACTTTCCCATTATCAGCAAAAGTTTCTCAGCATTTGAAGAAGGAGCCATACCATCTAATAATGCTCAATTCCTTCCTCATTTGGACAATATTATTAGCAGGAACAGCTTTCAGCAGCAGAAACGTCAGGTCCTGCTTTGCCGTAAAAACCCTCTTCTGAAATGAAACCTGGGGATTTCTTGGGGAGAGGCTTGGTCATATCCATGGACAGCCTTGTCAGAAGCCGGGGTTCAGGGAAGCCCTCACGGATTTCAGCTGCAGTAGGGCTACTGCCCTGCCCGGCCACCTGGGAGGGCCACCAACAGCCCTGTGTCCTGTGCCACCTCACCCACGGGTGACATCGGGGATGCTGTCAGAGACGAGGGGAAGCACCGGGCTGCGAAGATGGCCTCTCGCTGCTGCTGACGGTCCATATCCCTTAGATCAAGTTCTACAGTGCTCTGATGCATACTGGAGAACCGGCCCGTGGCACAGCTGGCTATAAGGGAGCACAAAGGCAGCTGTGGACTGTCCTGTTCCCCCAGGTCTCTGCTGTGCCTTTCTTTGTAACGGCCAAGAACCCAACTTACCAACTTCAGTCGCTTCCGACCCTTCAACTGCATTTAACTGAACTTTGACTGACTGAAAGTTGTAAATGCCCAGACCTTAAAGGACTGCATTGAAATACGTGAATGTTAATTGCTCGCACAAGGCTTTAGAATGTGAATAAAAATAAGATATCCTAAAATCCTACATCCTTTTTATAAAATTTCCCTAGGGGGGGAAAAAAAAGAAAAGTCACATCTCATTCTCAAATTTTGAAGGCACTTTATCAATACAGTTAATTTCCAAATTCAAGCAGCAACCTGGTAACATGGTATTAAAAAAAGTTAAGTGGCACGTATGCTCAGCTGCAATGCCTGCGTAACTAATATGTTCTTGAGGGAGCCAGCCCTCCATTAGCTATATACAAAGGCTAAGCATGTTTCTGCGGAGGCAGGGTAACGCCTTGCTCTTATTCTACCTTGCTCAAGCTGTTCCTGCCCCATCAGGGCTGAAGGCTGCAGAGCAGACCGCAATCTAGCAGGAGAAAGAACGCAGGGAGTATTCCCGTGTGCCCAGGGACGTGCAAAAGGACAGAGTGTTGTGGGACTGAAGCAGGGCGCTCGAGAATTGCACCTTGTAGGTTGTGCAAAGGCTCTGCCAGCTGATTTACTGAGTCATATACAAGAAACCCTTTCTTCTCTGCAGATCTCTAAGCCAACGTTTGATTATTTTTTACAATCTGCGCTATAGGGAAGCCCTTATCTTCTCCGCCCGTCCATGAACCTAGGACTTTCCCACACCCGCCAGTCAATTCCGTTAATGCAAACGCTATTTTTACAGATACATCTCCACACAGAACTGAAACTCTGGCCTAAACCTTCGTACCTGTTTAAAGACACTCAGCCTAGGGCAGAAAGTGAACAGTACTGTGTCTGGCTCAGGTTAACGATATAAAGAAAGCGACAGTGAAGAAAAAGAAAAAAGTATGCCGTAAATAGCGGCCAAAGCCATATTTCAGCTGGGACTGCCAGGAACTCTGCGCAGCTGGTTTCTTTTTGCACACCCAGCCAAGACCCAGTTACTCTCCATGTCTCCAACCTTGCACCTCATTTGCAAGCAAAGGAAATCCAGACATACAGGGGTGCAGGAGCCAGAACACTTTCAGCCCATGTCCCCAGGCTGGGGGACCCGGACACTGTGGGGGCTGCGGCGTGCCCTCCTTGGGTGAAAATCTAAAGTGGTGAGGAATTCACAAGGTTGCATATCTGAACAAATTTAATTCTCCTTCCCACCGTCTTCCATGTTTCATTTCTTTGTCTCTTCATTTAGAAGAGAAAAGCAATAACAAAGTGATAGGAAGCCTTATAAATGTTTTCTTTGAATCTATTGTTGGTAGGAATTAATAAATTTCCCTCTGTAGCCAAACCTTATTTTTCAATTTGACAATGAAAATTAAAGCAAGCAAAAGCTAGACATGGCAGATAATATTAATAAAAATAACAATCTTCATTAACAAAAGCTTGTGACATAAAATGGTAATTAGAACTCTTTAATAGATTTCTTTGAAATAGCTAATAAAAGAAATCAGCTGATTTTGGCCAGTGAAAACTCAATGGAATGTAGAAAGAAAATTTAATTAGCAGTGATTTCATCAGAAAGCAGCACTTCTAGGAGTAAAATTTTCACCTTATGGAGACAAAATTCTCACTGACACTGCACTGACACGTACAACTTCATGATCAAACTCCACAGGATAAGATAGACCATTCTCCTTCCTTCCCACTTCTCAAACATGGATCATTCCAATTCTTTACTCACGGGAGAAACTAGACTGATTTCTGGAGTATCAAATATGGATTAATGTGCAGTGCCTCGGGCCAGATCTTTCTGCACTAGAAGACCTACTCTAAATTTCTTTGTGAAATATACCCTTTTCTTTTGGGAGGTTTCCGAGTCCATCAACAGCTGAATTCTTGCAGGAGTCCTATCCTTCCTAGCCCAAGGACGTATTGTCCTCTATAGCCCAGATGTAGAAAAGGGGTTTGTAAGAGATTGAAAATCTGAATCTTGCTCACTGGGACAATGCTAGCTCCCCCAGAAGTAAGTCTCCTTGCACATACTGGGGTTTGCAGGTCATCCTGCTTGCAGCTGAAGGCAATGGCAAAGTGAAGAGATGGACTTCAAACCACAGAACAGGGAAATGATCTCAACACTTCTTCACCTGTAACACCTGCTTCCAAACTGTGACTGTCTCAGGGGCAAAGTCCTGCAAAGACGCCAGTGCCAATGGAAAAGGGAAGCAATCGGTACTCAAGGAGAGGAGGCAGTGGTCTGCAGAGCTGACCTAAAAGCAAGGACGTGCTTGAGTCGTGCAGTCGGTATGGGCACTGGCAGCTAGCATCTTTGGAGAAGACACCTCTGGGAGGCAACCAGCTCCCAGTCTTGGGATCCCGCTGAACGCTCAGCAAAGGAGGAACTGATGCCTCAAATGCCAATGAGATCCCGATGCTCTGATGACTGGTCCCATAAACCTTTGAGAAGCAGCCAGTTGAGCTCCTATTGGCATCTTTAACCTCTAACTTGAGAGAGAAAGGTACCATCTGGCACTCTGCTTCTGAAAACACTGCTACCTTCTGCTGTAGAGACTTACAAAACTCCCTCTAGAACTGTAAGAAGATGCAATGAATAGCTCTGGAGCAGGTACACCCGCCACTGCCCCGGGGCACCTGACTGACGTCTTGTTGATGGAGCTCATTGGAAGGAGCCTGGTGTGAGAATAAAAGAGCAGCTGACCATCAGCGGGGAGCAGGCATCCTCTGAACATTACCAACGTGCATATGTCATCCTGCAGGCCAAACTGAAATAATCTGTCAGTGGAACATAAGCATCTCTTATAAAAAATAATGTTATTTGATAGAGATCATAAAATAAACACATCATATTTCTCTGAGGATAGTTTCAACTACCAGAAGCTCTTTCAGGCTTTCTGACTGGAAGAGGAAAAATCTAGCAACTCTAGTCTCTTCTGTCATCTCAGTGTTTATTCCAGCTAAAGGCTTAGTTGCATAGGCACGGTAATGCTCTTCCAAAAAAACTTAGAAAGCAGAGAGCAAATCTTCCATGGGAACACTTTCCTCTAGGCTCTGCAAGAGAACATGCCCTTTCAGGAGTAGCAGCAAGGCTGTAAGCGGAGTTTGGCCACGTGCATAAAGAGGAGAGGGAACGGGGACCGGTCCTGAATGGGCTTGGAGCTGTTGTGCTCACACCTGAGCAAAAGACTCCTCCAAGCATTACCACAGCAGCCAGAAATCACTTAGCATTATTACATGGAAAGGAAAAAAAAAAAAAAAAAAAAGCAAAGCATCATTTAAGGACAATCTTACCAGGAAATTCAATATTTGTAAATGAGCCTATCATAGAGGGATCAGGTGGATGGCTTTATAAATCAGCATAATCCCAAATCCAGGGAGGTTAAATGGTGAAAGGTGCAGTCATATAACATCCTGAACTACAAACATCTGCAAGACCAGGCTTGCTGGGAAAAAAATAAAAAGGGCCTCATACTGTACTTGCTTGTGCATTTTGTTAGTTTAAAGGCTCCTTCTCATTCTGGGGACACTGAGCTATAATCCTGACTTGGAAATTGCAATTTGGTACATCCATCTTTTGCCTGAGCTGTCAGCAGCAGTGGCTTTTTTTGCAACTAGCCATGAGGGGACACGATCACTGCAGGTTAATCCTGACCAATATTTGAACCTCAGGCAGGACTACCTCAGTGTTGTCGCTCTGTGACTTGTCAGCATTGGCAAGAGCAGGCTGCTAATCTCAGGAGAGTTAAATCAGTATTAGAGTATTTTCTAAAGATATGACAATAGTCCTGAAGTATCACCAAGAATTGACAGCATGTGTGCACAAATAACGATGTTCCTGTTGCTATAAAGAAACCAATTTCCAGTTTTATTTTATGTTCTTGGATTATTTTCTTAGTCATTAAGCATTTAAAAAAAAAATCCTACCAGCAAATGAGCAATTGTATTGTTTCATGGCCTCATGGAACTACATTGCCTTGTAGAGACAAAAATCCCACAACTCAGAAGTCTGTTTCTCTACTGGCAAGATTCTTCCACAGAGGCAGCAATATAGAAGTTCAACTGCACTGGAACCAGTACAGCAGCCTCTTCCAGTCCCTCCAAGAGCTTCAGGACAGTCTCTGGAGAGGAAGGAGAGCAGACTCTGTGGACACCTGCATGTCCAAATCCCACTCGAGGAGCACTGTTTCTGCCACACCCAATGAAACTTGCTTTTCTCCTGCATAATAAAACCTTCTAATTCTGCTTACACCTCAGCTCTCAGTCCCAAGAGCATGCTCTTTCTTTCTGGTAACCACCACAGAAAAAGGTTAAGGCTATTTTTTGCCCTCTGGTTTCCTCCCTAAGGGGATTAGCTCTACTGACAGAGGATGAATTCAGTCCTTTGGGTTGGTTCACCTCCCCCAGACTCTCCGCAGCCCTATATACTTAGGCAACCAGCACCTGAATGTCCAGAAGCTGGTACAAGCCTCACAAGGCTTTCTCTCCATCAATATTCTTAGTGGCTATCTAAAACAATAGATAAAAGCTCATTTGCCAAAATTCACGTACCCTGGGCTGTCAAGAATTTCCTTGGATTCAAAATCAAAATTTGTTAGCTTCCCTCAAAGTGCATTTTTTCCTGAAATCTCCCGCAATGACAGCCACTGGTATGTTGAAATTAATTTAGATTTACAAAGGTGTAAAAAGAGAGGACAGTTTGGACTGGGGAAAGTTTTTTCACATGCCAGAGGAAACATCTGAGGAGAAAAATGCTTATTTCCTAGTTTATGAAGATTCAAAGAATGAATGGAAGGTACATCCAAAAGAAAAACATGCTTACATTTTAAACCAAATCTTTTTGTATTAAAGATTAAGGAGTATTTTTTTTTTTATACAAACCTCTTCTTCTTCCCAGTCTATCAAGTCCCAGTCATAAGCAATTACTGCTCGCCTTCTTTTCCAAAACTCCAGAAAAACAGTTGCTGGAGCAAATAGGAAAAAAAATACAAAGTTGTTTTTGAGTCAAGAAAACGTTAACAACTGTCACAGAACTGTTGAATGAAGCTGTTACATTATTTTCATTTCTTTGCATAAATGGGTTCCTTTGAACAGCAAATCATGCTGATGATTAAAACTGCTTTCAAAAAGCATTGCTTTCTAAGGATTACTTTGCTTGCTTCAAGTATGATTGAGGCTTTAGAGATTTCATTTAGTGCTAAATGAGAATGTGTAATTTCTAACCAACCAAGGGAGGACTCTCAAAGAATAAAATTGTTCCTGTGAGTCATCATTACTAGATATAGCAGATTTCTGATGAAGCTAAAGGTTTTTGGGGGCTGCTGTAGATAAAGCAGTAACTTTCCTTCTCTGAAGACCATTTACAATCCACAGAAGCCAGAACCCAGAGGAAGCACATTCCAGTGCATGTGCAAACCTGTAGAGTACTACTGAGGAAATGGGAACTTCTGTCTTGCACCTTTCTAATCCAGACCTTTTCTTTCACACTACAGGAGTGTGTCTATGTGGTGTGGCATTAATATCTGACAATTAAACATTCTGTGCTGTACATCCCATATTGACAGAGTTCAAGATAGTGTAATGTGCCTGTACATGACTGTGCTTCCATTTTGTGATGGGAGGAACAATCAAGGAAGCACTCAGTCATAAAATAATATGTTCATATTCTGGAGAAGTAATACTCAGCCTGTTTATGGTTACAGGTTTTTTAAATTTGTTTTGTGAAAAGAACGTGGAAGCTGCCTAAAGCTAACACAAATCAATGGAAAGGCTTCCTCTCCCACTGTGAGGTTTGGCTCTTCCCTTTATTGGTCACTGAAAAGCATCAGGCCGATAACCACAGAGAACATAAACCTCTTTGTTATGAGCTAGCACAGAATCAGCTGTAACAGTGTCACTATAGCCTGGCAATATGTTCCACATCCAGTCCTAAAAGCATGTCCTTAATGGACTATCTGCCCTACTGCAGCATATTGAGAATGACCTGACATGATACTAAGCACTGGAATCAGTTTGGTGAAAGTGAATTCTTAGCCAGTAAGAATTATTGTATTTTAATGTATTAGCCAATACAGCTAAGATATGCTTAGAAAATGAACACTGCGAGCAGATAAAGTAAGATATCAAAAGCATGTTTAAGGAGGCAGCTATTTGGTTTGAAGGCATTTTCATAAATCACATCATCCTTTTGCTGAAAGCTGGAGTTATGTTACACCAGGTAACCAGCTGCTTTGATTTAATCTAATAAAGAATTCAATTCAGTCTCCTGAGCCTAATGTTTCTATGACTTTTTGTAAAAATTGCAGTATGATTGGTTGGGATCAGCAAAACTACTAAGCGCTGATGAGGCTCCGCTGCTGCCGAACCACCACACTGTTTGTTCCTTGACTTGTCTTCTGGTGGAGCTGCTTCTCTCCTATCAGCTCATACTGAGTTATTTTGCACAGGCTAAACAAGTAGCCCTGCACTTTTTGGAGACCTGAGAGAAACAAGCCTGATTGATTACTACCGCTCTGTTTCCATTCCAAAAAGCAGCTGGAAGCAGGACTTGAGTGGGCGTCAGAGTCCACAGGCGTGAACCTCTCCAATATGTCTGTGCTGAACTGTACTTCTTTTCTTTCTTGTTTTTCACACACCTGGAGTGAGGAATCTATACATATTATATTGAGTATATTTAGCACCTGTGCAGTTCCTGAAGCTTCTTTAGAAGGCTATTTTCAAATCATTAAGCAGCAAATAGGATGATCTGCACAGTGCTGTTTTAGCTTTTACTGTGCTACACTTTTCTCCCTCTATCCAGGTCAGTATGCACTTTTCCCTTGCTAGATATTTTAAAATGTGCTATAAATAACCATCTTTGATTGATTCACTGTACTACTTAGGTCTTCTAAAACGTACTGCATTTTGAAATTTCTCTGCTTCTTTTTTAGTCAGGTAATCACTAATACCCTATATCACACTTCAGCATTCTTTTCTGACTTTGACAGCTCAAAGGGACACAGTTGTACTTATCGTTCTCCCATTTTCCAATTGCTGTGTTTAAACCAGATGCTGAGAATTCTCCAAAAATCCTGAGAAATTTTGAGTTTCTCATTGGCCTTAACTCCCAGGTCTTTTACTGGCTTTTTCTATACTATGCTTGCCCTGCTTCACTGCTCGACCTTGCAGCTCAGTCCTCAGCATCCACTTGCACAAACAGCTGTCTTAACATCATTTCCTCAGATGCTTTTGAAACAAGTTGCAATCTTACCTAGTAATGCAAATGGCCTCCCGCAGCAAATAGCTTAATCCTGACCTTCTCTCAGAAGACCTCTCCCTATCGTATTTCAGAACACCATTTAATATATCCATCCTGACTTCTAAAATATATTCTATATACCAGGAATATTGCTGAAGAACATCCTTAAATTCTGTCTCCTCAGAGAGCAGATCAATGTGAATGTTTTATGCTAGAGGCAAAGTTTGGAGGAAACTAGTATCTTTTATTAGACTGATACATTTGGAAAAAATGTTTTATGTCAGCATGTCTTATTGCTTGAAAAAAGTGTTAAATTCTTCATGCCAGGCCTTTTTTCCCCTCCCAACTTTGCCTTTTAGCAAGTGCTCTAAAGCTAATTCCTTTATCAAAAGAAACATGCTTCTAGGTAGACAAGAAGAAAATTTAAACAGGACTTTTCTGTGTCCCTTAGTCCCCCAAAAACATGCAGAGACAGAAAACTACCATCAGCCCACCTTGTCTCTAGCAAACCATTGGAAATGATAAATAGATGGACTCTCCTGTTCGACAGTTGCAAAACTTTGCTACTGAGCTTCAGGAAACATCTAGACAGGGACATCTTTGCACCAGCTTTCCCCAGTACTTCAACTGGAAAAGCAAAAGCTACAATTCCATCTGGCTTTACAGCAACATGCTGGGAGTCAACTGATTATCAAATTTACCTTGATTTTTTTCTGAGAATGACTTTTTTCTGCATTTTAAATGTCAACATTTATTTAGAATGAACATCTTTCTCTCATTTTCTGTCTTTGGTAAGAATCCAATTCAGACAGTAAAAAGAGAGGAGTTTTTCCTAGAAATGGGACCTACCTTTTCATCAAGCTCGACATATCTCAAGACATACATAGAGGGCAAAGTGTAGGTGTTTCCCTCTAGCACAGAAACACAAAAAATGCTATTGCTCCCCTCTTTTTGAAAGCTTTGAACATCTGGAAAATATCATCAAGACTAGAGATTCTCAAAAGGAAAAATTATTTTCCAGTTTCTGAGATGAGGACATATCAGTGATCAACAACAACAATCTGTTCACCAATAAAGTATTAGTGTTTATAGGGACTTGCTGTTTCCTGTAACGCACAGGGATTTATAGCTTCAGTGCTTCTGAAAGGGTTTTTCCTTTCAACAGAAGCTCCAATACAGAAAAGCTTATAAAAATTACCAGTGAATTCCTTCAGTGTACCAAAGGGAGACTATCTTTTGTCCTTTGCTACACCAGTTTAAAATGACAGTTGTCTTAAGCCTGACGTCTCTTGGCTATACCTCAGCAAGTATCATTTTTTTTTCCTATTATATCAATTACTTTTACTTCTTATACAGGACTTTGCTTAAACCAGGCAGTGAGGTGATGAGTCAATATATTCTTTGAAGAAAATTGTGTTTCTATTCCAGTATTTTCTGGTGCACTTGACAATTCCAACCTTACTTTGATGGGACCCACTTATCCCACAAGGAAGCATTATAAAAGATGGGTCCCTGTGCTTCAGAGTCCTACAGCCAGGCTCATTGCTGCTCCACAAATCAAGCAGACCACACTGATATTTGTCATGGCTATTCCTCTCCCTAGCCTGGCCACAGCAGTTTGCTCATCATTTGGAGAAGCATTTCATTTCTATTTAAAAAGTGAGCAGCCCACTTTGTCCATCAATTAAAGATGTCTTTAGAGTAAAAGCAGGAAGCCACCATATAGATCACCTTTTCATGGAAAGCCCAGACTAACCACTCTTGGGTTTAAAAACCCCAAGGAAATGGCTGAGGCTTCTCCCTCAAGATGGGAGTTCACTACTGGGTCAAAAAGACAGTGAAGAAGGTACTTTAGATAAGAAGACAGTGGCTAAGCTCAGGTTGAAGAGGTCACAGAATTCTAACTGCCTTTTTTTGCTTTCATTCTCTTTTTTTTAAAAGCACTGCCATCATTATTTTATATGCTAGTGTCTGTCAGACTGGATCATCTAGAAGGCTGAACTTTTCACAGCCAATTTGTCATGCACTTGCCAGTTGTTTCATGCTGACAGAAAAAACACTTCCACGATCAAACTGCTATTATCGTTTCTTCTCTTCCTCTAGGATTTACTGAGATGATGGTAATGCCTGCAACTGCCAATAGGCCTACTGCGGACTGAAAATCCATTTAAGACAGGCGGTAAGCCAACGCATAAATACAATACTAGAAAATCCCTGGGAAGCGTGGCTTTCCTTGTTCTGCTGATTTAGCCCTAACTGTATGGCAAATATCTCCACAACCTCACCGTTGTCTCAGTAAAGCCTTATTTAAGAAACTACAGTTTGGGTAGATGGGATCACTCCATTCCCCAAGGCATCACCCCCCCCCCCCCCGAAGTGCGTGTGGGGAAGCTCTCACCCCAGCTGCTGTCTTATACCCTCTTGTCCACTAGCCAAATTATCCAGAAGGCAGCATTTATTATATTTTTTCTTATCTCTCTGTGGGCTTAGGCGCTGGAGATGCGTGGGTGGGCAGTGCATTTCCCAGTCCTGGCAGGCTGTCAGGGAGATAGTCCCAGGGGGAATTGGGTCTGGGGGTCTGACAGTGATGCTGAAGGAGGAGGAGGAAAGAGAGGTTAACCGAAGCGAGGTGCAGCTCCTGTCAACTAGGGACAGGAAAGAGAGACGACCTACAACTTTTCGTAGCAGGCACGCTCAGCTTGCTCAGCCTTCTCGCAGGCAGGACCGGATTTGGTGACCTGAGCGAGGGAATCCCCTTACCTGGAGCTGCTTTTCCTACAGCCCTGGTTCGGGGCAGTGCTAAGAGAGAGGTGCAATGCTGTGAGCACAGCTCTTTGATGAAGGCACCGTTACTGTTAAGGAGGAACAAAAGCACTGGTGCAAAAAGCTGCACTCCAAAGACACACTCACCAGCGGTTAGGAACAGTGACATTAATGCCCAACAATGTTAACCCACCCATTTTCCTAGCTGAGATGGAAGTCCCTGCCTCTAAACTGTCTTGGAAATTCTCAGCTTCAGTGAGCACATAGAGAAAGAGGTTGGAAAAGCTGAGTAAACATCTAAAAAAATCTTCAAGGCTTAGAAATTTTTGCTGATTCTCAGCTCTGGCGTAGCTCTAAAACAAAGCTGAAATACTGAGGAGAAACATACAATCTGTATGATCTGTGGATTTTTTCCTTAATGTAATTTGTGATATTTTAATACTATCAATATTATGTGCAATGGCATAAATAGGCTTGATTGGTATGTGACCTAATTTAACTAGTTGACTAAGACAACAACTTAGTTTTGGAGGAAGGAGCTGAGACAGACTGGTAGGCTAATCTATGTTGTCCTTATGGCTCTGATGTTGCCTCCTGGATTTCTCTTGTGGCTCATTAAAGAGATTTGCAGTTCAAAATGGAGATTTTAAGAATCACTTGGACATCTTTCCAAAGCAGTTGGAGATGTGCAAGTAGGAGCAGAAGAACAATGGCTAAATCCAGATAGCTCAAGCACCTGGAGCTGTGAGATGGATGTGATTTTTGGGGCACCTCCTTGAGCCATTTTCTAAAGGTGTTAACCTTCTCTCAGAGTGGCATGGTAGGAGCTAAGAGCCTGGGCATGCTCAGGGCATCTTTGAAAGACTTTTTGTGCTGCCAGAAGTTATTGTTTCCTCTTGCCTTCAATTGTGTCTACAAGACCACTGCAGGAAAAATAGTTGAGCCAGAAATAGAACTGTCCTATGGGCAAAATTCAGCTTCCATGGCAACAGTTAGACCACTCTCGGATCAATTGGTCATTCAACTAAATCTTCCATTTATTTCATCAGAGTTCTGCTTTAATTACAACCAGCTTACATGTATTTAAGCTTTACTGCCTTTCTGCAAGGTAGGAAAAACAATACATTAATTCATTTTAGTACAGACACTAAACTGAGCTGCCTTAAGCGAAGAGAACAGTAACAGAGAAAAGGCCTCAGTGCCAACAGATTGAGAAACAATTACAAAATCCCCCAGAACATAACTACCTACATAGACACTACATACTGCATACACAGTTTTGTTTTAATTAAAATTATTATCACATAAAAACCTGATTTCAACAATTTCCATCTTCCTTTTGCAGAAACAGAAGAGAATCAAGCCTATATTGTTTTTCTCAGTGTCTGAAAGAAGTGTGCTGGAAATTACAAAGGCACATGTTGCATCACAATCTTTAAGAAAAAGATTGTGCAATTACTTAATATCAAAACAAAAACTTACCCCACACTGCCATGAAAACAGCAAAAAAGACAGTAGCTCCATTGTCAAAAAGGTGGGTTACCTGAGGGATATATCAATAGTGTGATCAATTTGTGATAATAAGGCTTTATTTTCTATTTTCACCTAATAAAATTAATGTGTTTGTGAGTGCAGCCAGCCTGACAATCCTGAGGATCCTTCCCTTGACGTGTGAAACGACCTGTCAATGGACAGGACTATTTGCCAGCCTGGCCTGGGACTGACCCCTGCCAACACCAGGTGTGAGCATCGTTTCAGACCCAAAGCATTCATTTTATGGAGCCATGTACAAAGGATGGAGCCTAAGATAAAGGCTGATGCCAAGGACACCGTAGCACATGCATCTAGGACACGACCTCTGGGACTGCTGAATCTCTAAGTGCAAATTGCATTCAAGTGTTTTACAACCCAAACTAAGTCTTGGTAAAAGACAATGAATGTTAATATTGGCTGAACTTGATCTGTCCTTTCAAGATTTTATCTACCCAAGCTCACTAAAGACAAATGCAAAAGGCGAAATTAATGCTTTTACCAGGAAAGCATTTCTATTTGCTTAGTTTTAAACGTACCTTGGCATAAACGCAGCTGTCTGACAGCCTCATGAAGGGACAGTATTTGTCACATATAGGACACATGATGATATCTGTAGCTTGGCAGACTTCTTTACTGGAAAAATGGAAAAGATAAAAATTAATAGTTTGATGCACAACAATCAGTCTTAAAATGGATTGATAAGTTTCACTAATATTCAGTTACTTATTGAATAATACTGGTTCTGTAACTGAAGCCAAGATGTTCATAACTACATGTGTGTAATTAATATTTGTTCACTGTCTAAGACTTCAGAGTTTACAGTCATATCTGCAGAGGACAGTTCTTCAGGGCCAGCCTAGAAGTTTCTCTTTACCACTTCCAGCTTCTTGAGCCAGACCTGACCTTTGGTAGGAGGAGGGTGAGGATGATTGCAGATAAAGTGAAGTTTGAGTTGTTCTTGTGACTTAAGTGTGCAAGACCGTAGAGATGCGGCACTCAGCAGAGGGCCTGGGGGTCTTCACCTGAAGAATGCTTCCGTGTGGTGGATCTTTGGGAAAGGCCTTGAAGAGAGTGAAAATTCCCCGCTTTTCTGCTGCCCTGTTACAACGGTAATGAAGGAGCCCTACTTTTTCATGCTGAGTTTGCCAGCACCATCGGCAACCGGAGCTGCGCAAGAAACGTTGCCTCCCATCCCAATTCAGGAGCACAAAACGAGGGAAGCTCGGTATTGGGTACTTTGTGAGAACCAAGCACAGTCTTTTCCTGAGTATTCACTCAACAGTTCAAAATGAAATAATTAACAATTCATATGAAGATCTCTTAAATTATTCATAATAACCCACAGCTGTAATTTCCCTTATAAAAGTGCCCACGTTACCTGACTTGGCAGTGGTTCAACGTGGTGACTCCATACAAAAAGACGAACAATCCAATGAAGGCAGCTGGGAAGAGCATCCCCGTGTACCAGCCTAACCAGGCAAAGTACAGCCCAATTTTCTCACCAAAGTACCGCCTGTTTTAAAACACAACACAGTGAAGTTACCTGCTAATTAGAATAAGTCTGCTTACTCTTGCTTGTTAATAGAAAATAAATGTTTCTATCATATCTGAAGAGCAGATTAGAGACCAGAGTCAGAATCTCCTGAAGAAAAAAGCCTGCAACTAGGCTTCTAAATCCACACTGAGGGACCTGCCTCATGAATGAACTTAAAAAATGAATTGAAAAATTCACTAACCACAGTTTACAGTGAGATGAGTGGAGACCTCAGAAAGGAAACACTGAGTTCATTTTAAAAAGCTAGTTCTTTGTATTTGGGAAATTGGTGGCTCTCTTTGCCTTTTGGCTGTGTAACTGTACTTCCCAAATAATTGCATTTAAATCAGTTTCATCCCTAAAAACCGGTATAACAGCAAAAATGATTTGGCCCAAATTATTAAGAAATAAATTAACCAGAGGTTATTCGCCAATCCAGCTTATTTTAATTTGATTATTTCTTTTCTCAGCTCAGTTCCTGGAAAAATAATCTCGTGATTCTACCACAGGTGGAAAGTAAGTGCAAGTGAGGTCCAACAAATACCTTTATGTATCATCTTGCACTGATTTGAAGAAAGTAGTCTGAATTAATCCTAATTTGTTACCTATATTGCTTAAAAACTAACAGCAAAGTGGCCAGGAAGCTCCTATTTGCTACATATTCATTCTTCCTCCTCCAAAACACAACCAAACCTTTATTTATGCATTAAAGAGTACATGAAGCACAGAAAAAACCTGCTGAACTCATCAGCATAGGAGCAGGCTCATGCATTATCCTGTGTTTGATGGTCTTGTGCACAGTAGGCTGATGATCAGATTAGGATGCTTTACAAATCAATATGCAATTATCATGATTACAATGACGATTTTAGGAGATTATTTGCAAGATTAGTTTTAAAGAATGAGGCAAGGTGATATTCTTGCACTTCAGAGACTTTGCAGACAACTTAAACTTGCATATCAACTGAATTGGGAATAGCTGCTGCTGAAAACCCACTTTTACGCTAATGATGCAACTTCTGATCTGTCCAGAGACAAAGAATGCTGCCAGAAAGCATCTTTGGCCAAACTTTCACAGTGAGGACGAACAGACCCATGATGGGCTCTGGGGCTGGAAGCAGTGGAGAAGAGAAAGACTTGGTCTGGAATGGACAAAATCATCAGTTTTCAAATGGATATAAAAAATCTCCAGCATGAGCAATATCTGGGCTGAGCTCATGCTCTGCTGAATGATACTGACCTACACTGATTATTATCTTTTGAGTTTACCAGCTCTGTACGAGAAGCCAAATATTGTCATGTTGTTTTTATTCTTCTGCCATTCAACAGAGACTTAAATTTACAGGCTAAAGAGGTGGTAGGCTAATGATAACATGCTCAGTTCTGACAAGGGCAGCAGGTCTGGTTGTAAAAAGACACACTGCAAACTGCTTTTTGAGCCCTGACTTAAGAGTGTTAGTGAACCCTTTGGCCTAATTATTTTCCTAACACATAGGACGTCAAGCTGTGCCTGCTCCACTGAAAAGGCAAGCTCACATTTTGAGCTTACTTCCACTAAATATTTATGACCCATTTTTCTCCATGTACATAGTTCAAAGCAGTGAAGTAAACCTAACATTCATCAAAAGGGTTTTTTTTATTTCATTCCCTACATTCAAGGATGAATGCTTCTTCATTCCACCCCCCTAGCTGACAAACATTCATGACAAACTTCATCTCCTACCCTCTTGAACCTTTCCATCTAACGGTGCAAATCATCGTACTCTTTTTTGATCTAGAGATCAAACAGCTTCATCCTAGTTGAAGACCCAAGCAAGATTCAGTGTGTGCAAAAAGAAGAATGGACATGATGGGAAGCAACCCAAATCTCTGCAATGTAAGGAAAAGGCATCTGAGACCATTTGTGAGCCTGGTTTTAAAAATAAGTGCTGGAGGTTGACATTACTTTAATACATATTGGTTTAAATATGGACAAACAGCCTTGATTCTCCACTATTGCCCTTTGCTTCACAGCTGCTATTCCACAGGCTGTACTACTGTAATTTGCATCAGGATCAAGTTAATATTTTATTTCTTCTGGCCCCATAGTTAGCATATTTTTTCTGTAAGGCTCTGCTCAGATACCAGTAGGTTGAGTGCAATAGAAACAAACTATGGCAGTAACAAGGTCTTTGGAGACCTTCCTAGGTGCCATATTCAGAGCAGTTCCACATTTGTTCCAATCCATAACTGGGTTAGCCTGGACCATCATGACCCTCAGGAGATGAAGATGGTTTAGAGATGCCTTTGCAACTCTCTCCCTTCAAGTTACACCAAATACGAAGAACAAGCTCCTTGTTTCTTCTCTGTCACTATATATAGAACAGAAATTTCATACAGCTCTTCACAGCGATGGCAGTTCTCTTACCTGCATGCTGACACTTTAGCCAGAACTCAGTAACATACATGAAGAATTCCAGGGATTTTTTTTCTAGGGTGCGTCACTGTGCATTACTTACACCTCAATTTTACCTGTTATCACTCTGCTTGTTGAAGGCCTCTTTGAAATTTTACAGCGTTGATAACATTTGCATTTTTGTTAAATTTGCTAACTTATTACCATCCAATTTTTCAGATTTTTAATAAGAAGAGAAAAAAAATGTTCTGTGTTTTTGATGGTTCTCCCACAGAAAATTTCTTCCACAACTAACCTAAAAAGCAGAGACATAAAAAACCCCCAAGCACCTAATAGAATAATCCATTTCTCCTTTCCTCATATATGCTGTACCATTAGAATAATAACAAAAAAATCATTTCAGCTTCTCAATTTTATGCTAGCATGTATACTAGCCCTCCAATATCACCTGCCTTAATGGTGAACTGTCTCTCTTCCCGCCCCATTCCAATGGTAGAGCTATCACTGACTTAACTGGGCCAAGATTTCAATCTCAGTATTTATCAATAGGGCACATTTTTGAAAAGTATTAAGCTACAAAGTCTGATTTCAGACCCATAAAACACGATACTGGATTCTTCTGTGTTTAATGACCTTCTTTATATAATATTTTGCTTTCAGGATGCCTAGAAGGAAGTCATGGAGCTGGAATACAGACGGGTCTGGACCCAAGCCAAGAACCTATTTATCTTCATTAATCCTTTTTCAGGTCAGAATGAAATCCTACACAGAACTTTTTACATCATGGAAACTAGTTGTGAGGGAGCTAGAGCTTTCCAACGGGTGTGTTGGACACATGAAGCCCTCATGCCAGGAGCAATGGCGTGGGGAGGAAGGTTTGACAGGAGATTGAAGGGGAGTTGTCAGCTGCAATCAAGTCATTTAATGTAAACACGGAGTAAAATGAAGTTACTCAGGCATTGCTTTTGCTTTCAGGTTCATTTAGGTAGCTTTACAATCGCTTTATAAATACAGTTTTCTCCCTCTTTGTCTTGTAAATGACACACACAAGCAGTGCAGGACCAATTTGGGCACAAGCCAGAGGGAAGCAGCTACGCACAGAAGTGTGAAGGAGGTGATCCAAAGTCCCCCAGAATCACTGCAACTGTTTCCACTGATTTATGCTGTCCCACAGCCTATAAATATGGAATGTCTTGCCTCTTTCCAATTGCTATCAGTTTTAAGGATCTTAAATTATTCTTGTAAAGTAACTATGGATACTGAAGTCCAACAGCAGTGTAATTAAAACCGTGGTAGCACATCTGTTGATTAATAGGAGTGCCTTTGCAACTGTGCCAAGTCTGCGCTTTCATACTGCCACGTGTTTCAAAGCAGAGTGAAAGCAGAATCACGCAATTCCCCTGAAATGACTTTTTCTCATTTGTTTCTAGTAAGTAGTATCTCCATAACAGCCAGCTGATGAGATTAAATGAAATCTGGGAGGCACCAGCTTAACAGCACCGAAGATGCAAGGCCTTACTTTAACAGCTAAGGAAAAAATAAACCAGCACCAAAGTATGAACAATTTTGCTTACCACTGTGGCAACTTGACTTTAAGGTCGAAATACCATATCTATGAATGAGATAATTGTATTGTCTACATCTAATTTACTCTTTAGCCTTTCGAAAGCATATTGTAAAGGAGAATGTCAGCTAGCAGCAGTAAGTTCTAGCCGGATATCTGTGGAAGAATTAACATCCATCCACTCCTTTTGCACAGATGGCAACACTACTCCCTTCAAGCACACCCCACGTAGCTGTTGGTAAGGGAAAAAATAAAAAAGTTGCTCCTGCTGCAGAACTGGTACTAAAAAAGCTTCTGTTTAAAGTATGCACGCCGAGACATTTCCGAGCGAAATGAACAACAGGTCTTGCTGGTGTTGTCAGCTCTTCAAGGAAAAATCTCCAGCTCACTAGACACGGGAGCTGCTCAGAGTGGCAGGAGGCAGGAAAGACTTGGCAGGAGCTAAGGAAACGCGAGGGATCTAGCATCTGTGAAGTGAGAAGAAAAAGGCATTCCCTCCCCTTTCCCGTCACCCCTCCTTTATTGCAGCCACGGGTACGCTCCAGGCAGCAAGCGGCAGGCTGGGCTGGGGCGGCAGCTCTGAACCCTGGGGAGCCCGACGGCTAATGAGAATACTGACCATCCTCGCAGCCCCCCTGCCCTCCTCCTCCTCCTCCTCGGGTAAACACCTACTCTGAATCCCCACAGGACGGCCATGACCTCAGCTAGGGAGTCCGCTACTTCCATTGCTTTTTTTCTTTGTAAAACAGCTGTGGAAAAATCTGTGGATGTCACTGTCTGATAAAAAGCTAAAGCATCTTACAAAATCTTAAACAGCAAACCCAGGCTACTCAAGAAAGCTGCTACCAAGGTCCAGAACAACCACGTGTCTAACCTTGCTCATTCTGTTACCACTTATTCTTGTACTTAAAAACCTTCCAGATGCCTGATGGTCCATATAAACCAAACTAAACCAAACCCCAGATATTGGCTCAACAGCACTTTCACAAACAAGAAATGTTGATGAAGAACAGCAGCCTTGACCACCATGGACAAATGATTAAAAAACATTCTAGACATAAGCTGTTTATAATGTGACATTAATATCTTACTGTATACTGGGAAATTAAAAATAAAAAACTTCAGTGTAACTGTTGGCTCCTCAGTAAATCAGCAATTTCCATAGTGTAATTTGAGAAAAATTCCATATTTCTGTCCCCGCCAGTATATTAAAAAAGAAATAAGAAACTTTCAGGATTAAATTATGAGGAACAAATACATTACTTTGTTTTCTAAAGCATTTTAAAAATTACATGACTCGGTACAATTTTTTCATTGTATTTCTCTGTGAACTTTTTCTCCATGGAAATTGAACAGCTCTTGTTTTATGAAATGGATAGGTTCTATATGGCCTTAATCAATAACACCATCTGTCTCCAGGGCCACCCTCTACAAATCCTTCTATCTGGAAGCATTTCTGAGAATCAATAAAAGCAAAGGTTCCTATCAGTTACAGGGCTTATAAAAGGGGAAATTAATATGTTGGACCAGTTGCATGCTCTGTATGACCCTTCCCAATGGCCCATGCATCAATATCTTCAGTGATCTCAATACATCTTAAGACTTTATTAATAGGCCCTTGTAGCTTCACATTCCTCTCTTCAAGTAGAAAAAGCCCATTAATGCCCAATAATAGTTCTGCCAACGTGATCAGTAAAGGCTCTGGCTCTCTCTACATGTATAAAAAAATATGTAATCCTCTATTAGCACACGCAAGCCTATTTGAAACCATTATTTAAAAGGGCTACAAGAATTTGGAGTCATGTCTCGGCTTTCTCAGTGTTTCTTCTTTACAAGCTACTTCCAAGATGAATACAAATCCAGACTGTGGTGATGTGGCTGGGCTGAGTTTAAGGGAGGTGATACAGGAGAGACTTCAGCCCATCTCTACTAGGGCTGCTGAACACAGTAGCACACTCGGTGACTGTGAGGTCTGCTTCATGCCATTTATAAGCATCATCAAACTTCATCCAGGGCTCTTCCTGTGGTTCCTTTTGGAAAAAAAAGAAGATCTAGTCGATGAGAGCCTGTTTTTCACCAAAGCCATGCTCTGAGGAGAAACAACTCCTCCAGTGGGCAGACATGCAGCCAACTCTACCCAGCCTCCGCAGATGTCTCTCTTCCTTTTTTTCTCTCTTAAATATTCTGCAAACCCTTCAGTAGAAGTTATGGTGTCAGGAAACTCTAGAAGGAAACTGCCTTCACTTTCAGCTCCTCCTGCGGGCTCCTCTATAGATCTTTGAATGTAGTAGCACCATGAATGAAATGGATTCCCATGACCTCGGGATCAGTTTTTTAAAAAACACATGAATTAACTGAGCTTTTTATGGTTTTGTCAGAAGAGAGATAACCTGTGCTCAAAAGACCTACAATGTGACATACAAAAAGCAGGGAAGTCTTACCTCACGAGGTCCAGCGGTTGGTATTTATACCACACTCCCCAGGAAGCCCAGCACTCGTAGAGCAGGTGTCTGTGGTTTTCTGCCCCATGTGTTCTTATTGAATTCTTACTTCTGTAACTTCCCTAAAATACAAATCTGGACATTAATGAACAACAGCAGCAAAAAAAGAATATCTAAGAAATCTCTCTCACTAGCAGTATGGATAAGATGATTTATGCAAACTCCATACTTGTGCACCAAAAGCTAAATATGACATTAAAAGGACAATTTCCTCTGACTTCAATAAGATTTGAGATTATTCTTCCTAAGAAATTTATGATAAATGGTGTTCAAGTCAAAGACTATAAATTGGAGAATCTCAAAGACAAAACCACAGCATGATATTTTTCCTCTCTGAAAACATAATAATTTATCAAACCCAAACACTTTTTACAGAACAGATCCAGAACAACTCTTCTTATTCATCTCTTTTTGCAAGAAAAAAAGCAATTTTTTCCCAAGAAAAAAGCATTACTAAATGGGAGGGATGTCAGAGACAGACACAGAATGCAAAAGAGAGTAATAACATAAATAAGATCGAGAATAAATGATTACACAATCAAGAATTCATTTTGTGGGAAATGTCTGTTCAAAAAGAAAAAAAAAACTGAGAAAAATACCTCATGAAGAGGAAATGCAGCTTCATAGGAGCCATTACTGAGCAATCGATTCAGACCTAAGAATCAAAAGTATCCAATTATTTACCAATAGGACCAGAAAAACTGCTAAGTAAAAAGCAAAACACATTTTCATAATAAGCTGGCTAAATAAAGTTTGAAGCTCATTGACAGTAAAAGATACATGTAGAAAAATTCATCTTTTATAGATTTTGATGAACTAAGATATAATACAAGCAAAGACTTGTTCAAATATTAATCATAATCTATCATTTATTATGCTGGAGGTTTAAAGATTCATTTGCCAAATCCATCTTTAGCATAACTTCAGTGAAATCAGGGACCTCACACCAGGATTGAAGTTTGACCCTGTAAATTATGGTCTAAGGAAGCTATTTAAACGAAAGGCTGTATTTCTTGGGAGCTGAAAAATTCAGGGAAGATCTTTACACTTTTGAACTGCAGGCCAGTAAAGCAACTGAAACTCTTAATTTCCATATGATAACAACATTGTAAAATATGTTCAGCTTATGTCTTAAAAAAGCTGCTGGACTAACAAACAGAACAGGCACAAGACAGGCTGCAGTAGTACAAGACCAGAAAATATACCTGAACCTGAACAAAAAGGATTGTTATTTGGAACAAAAAAGTAATCATACACCCCACTTGGTCAGGCCTTGTCCCTCTTTAATGAGAACCTTGAGGGAAATAATGAATGATTGCTGAGATGTGGGCACTTTTCACTTGGGAAGTCACCAAAATAGGACTGAACAACTATCTGGCAATGCAAAACTAAATACTGTCACTAACAACTTGAAGGCATTTGAACCCCATTGACCAAGGAGCAAAGAATCCTGGTTCCTTTCCTAATTCACAGGGGAATAAGTCAACATAAATAGCACTTTCAGTGATTGCATTGGCGTCTGCTTGGCAGAATATGCTTTACTCCAAAGTCTCTGGCAGAAAAGCAAAACCTGTACAGCCGAGCCGGGCTTTGCTCAGCCCGGTGATCAATGCAAGGTTGTGTTCATGGCAGGTACAACACAAGCAGGTATGTGAGGGAGCTTGGGATCTTGAGGCAGGCAGGGACTGCAAGCGTGTGTGCTAAACGCAATGGCTGCATGCATGGCGTGAGTTCTTCCCTTTCTTCTCTCCCCTCTGCTCGGTCTCGTTGCTCAGAGCTATTGCTGCCCTCATCCCGGGAGCTGAGGAAGAAACAAGTGAAGTTCTGGGATGATTCTCTACCTCTTGAGGAAGGATGGGGTTTAAACAGCAGGGAAGTGAAATAGGCTGCAGAGTTTTATGGGGATTGCCTCTCCGTTTGTGATGCTCCAGTCGCGATGGGGTACACACGCAGTATGTGCTCTGTACCACAAGGCAGAAGAGGATCGCTGGTTTTGTGCTCCAGCTCTCCTCTGTCACTGCCTGCTCCCCTGGATCTGCGTACGTGCCGCTCCGAAGGTCCGCTCCACGCACTATTTGAAAGCGATGCCACAGTTATGCATGGCACCCTTTGCACTGAGGACATCATTGGTGAACTCCCTTTGGACCTACAGCAGGTACAGAGATACAGAACCTTCTGTCTCCCTTAGGGCTGGGCAGGTAGCTGGGGAGAAGCTCTACAGGCTGAGATGTACAGCAGCACAAATCTTGCCATCCTTCCAAATCCATTTTTATCAAGGAGTAAAAGCTTTTCTGCACGAGTCTATCTGCTTCTCCAGGGTCCTTAATCTGTACGTATTTCTTGCTTAAGTCAGTCTCTTTCCTTGCAGAAGTGATAAATCCCACGTGGTGACATACGTGCCTGTGAAAGCAGCCTGATATTACAGAGAAATGATCGGGTCTTCCAGGCAAAGCCCCTAAAACAGCAGTGGGTGAGATGTAAACAGCCCAAAACTGAGGTGATTAAAAAGGAAGCAAGAGTGTTACGAGCCCAGGCAGACTTCTCCTCTTTTTTCGGTGGGACTTAGCACCCACGTCTAAAAGCACATTGTCAGCACTTACCAATTTTGTTTTTCCCTTCTTCGTATTTCACTCTTTGTAAGATATGGTGTACAATTCTACTTCTTGTAGCATTATTGAAGAAAGTATCTTTGTTGTGTATGATAAAGCTATATAAAAATACAAACAAAGGGCATATCAGGAATATATAGTATCATGTTTAAAGCAAATACTGAGTTCCATTACTTTCTATAGCACACTAAAAATCTACAGTATGTGAGCAAGTGCAAGGAAGACTAAAGGACACCAGATTAAGTGAGATGATTCACCGGATGAGATGATGTCAGTAATAGTATTCGTTCCCTAACAAAGAATTACATGGAGAAGTCTAGAGAAAGATCAAAGATACTTAGGCATTCATTATGATAAGCATCACTTTTAGATAATTCACTGAATACTACAAAATACTTGCACAAAAATTTGCAAAAGCCTAAGATTTGTAAGTGCAGCTGTAGAAATTCACATTTGATTTCTATTTCAGGCTTCTTTATTACACTTTACCATTAAGAGTCAGATGGAAACATCTACTTGGTAAACCACTCTTACTGAAAATCAAATGCTATGTTAGAAACGGAAAACATGACATACTCCTATGTTTGGTCCTGGAAGAGTAGAAAATTAGCTTTCAGAAGCTACTTATGAAGTTACATATGAATGCAGGTTCAATAGTTTAGACAGAACAGTGATGAGTCCAGGAAATTAAAAAAAAAAAAAAAAGCCACAAAATGTATTGTATTGATTAGATTGACTGGCATAATATATTTTTTATAGATTTTTTTAATCCCAATATACATACTCAAGGAAAACAAGACATTTTAGCATATCATCATAATGACTGGAAAAATGGAAACAATATAAGTAAAGGTATAAAAGACAAGTTGCTCCAAGAGCACCATAATTAATGAAACCTGGTTTTCTAAAGGTTACTGTCTCAAGTCTCCTTTCCCACTCCACCCCAGATACTCCCAGGAGTAATATTCGAAGGATTTTGACAAAAACGAAATACTGTCATCACAGAAGCCTTAATGCTTAAGGAAATTAGATTAAAAAACAAGCTAAACTCTAAAGTAGATAAAAAAGCGTTATTTCCAGCTGAAGCTGGAGCTTTGTATTAGGCTGTTTTAGTAGCAGCAGAAACACATTAAAAAACAGTAGTGAAACAGAAATGAACAGTTAGCATTTTTCCCACTTTGTGTCATTTTCTTTTAATGTCTGACTTTCCTCTCCAAGATCTCACCTCCCAGTAATCTCCATTCTGGCTTAGCTATGAGTTCTCGTAGCTACTGATTCAGTTGAGAACTGAATCACCTTATCTGGAAAACCAGCAACCTTGATCCAGGTAACACCGACAGTGTTCTTCTATTCTCCTTGTGGTACAAGGTTATTTTGCCCATCTGTTATCATGACTATGTCATACTGCAACCACAGGTAGTTATTTCAACAGCTTTTCTGGACAAGTAGGTTAATAGTTTTTCCGCATTTAGTCACTTCTATTTTCATGAATCATGAATGAAAAAAAGGCAAAAATCAAACATTATGCAATCTTAAAAAGAAATAAGAACTACTCGTTTAAACAAACACTTTAGTCATTTGCATTCATTTGTAAACTTAGCAGTTGTGTTGTTACAGCTTTTGATCTCACGTGGCTGAGAAGGAGCAACCAGATGTGTCTGTGAAGCAGATGTCAACACCTCAGTGTAACAACCACCATGGCGAGCTCTGCCTATTCCCGAACTAGCTGAAGCAGTCCTAAAACACGTTTGAGTGTAAGAGCTGCAGAGGTTCTGCCCTGCCCATCCTTGTGCCAGTAAAAGGGATCTGAGGGCAGGAGGGGGAGAGGAGAGGGAGAACTCACCACGACTAGAGCATGCCAAGAACATGTCCTTCAGTGTTTTCTGACATTACTCGTGGAGACGTGGATGCAGAAGAGATGCTTGAGTTCACCAAAGGTGGAAAAGGAGTGTCAAAATGAGTCCTCTGGATATCTTGGGCTACCCCTAACAATATCATTGTTTTGGGATGATAAAGTTTAAAAACAATCCTCACCTATTTTTGAATATAAAAATCACAGTTTTTTTTTCTTTTGTTTAGCTCAAATGCTCAGATCATTTCTGGGAAATTGACTGTAGCGGAGCCCCAGGAAGAGCAGTATCACCACCACCAAGAGGGCAGGGAGCCCTGGCACAGTAAACAAAAATAGGCAGACATGAGTGGGAGGCATTGAAAGGTTGAGAACATCTCCAGTGGTTTTAACTATGTGTTACAACATCCCACGTAGAGGTTAACATAAATTAGGCCAATGCCAGGGAGGTTTCAATTGACCTCAAAAATCACAGGAGTTGCTCTTGTCAGGTGAGAATCACGCAGTTCGTGTTGTGCAGGACTTAACCTTTTCTACCAGCACCCTTCTCTCTCACACTTTATGGGCATTTCTTCCTCCAAAATGTTTGTGCTCCAGGTTATCTCCTTTCTGAATGTGGGTGGTAAAGTAAATCCATATTCACAGAAGAGCCATCAAGGCTATTTAATGGTCTGCAGCATCCAATGAGGAATTCAGAGAAGAAAGGCTGTCTCAGTCTATGGAGAATCTCACCCTTCAAATTCCAGTTCACAGAGGCCAGAGCTGAAGACATTTCCAAACTAAGTGTAGATAAACATTCATCAGACATTACTGAGCTATAAACTGCATAAGGCAGAGGCTTTCTAGAGATGCTTTCAGAGGGAAGAGTTTCCTCAGCTGTTCTGTTTCTGCTGCCCTTGTTAGAATTTCAATAGGCACAAGGGTTTGAATATTCATAAGAGCAATACAGCTTGTTTTCAGGCTCAGTAAGGGTTTAGGCTTTATATTTAGGAGACAGTTCGTTGAAGGTTTTGATCACTTTGTCACCTCATTTATAAGATAAAATGTAGTAAGGGTTAATAAACTATTATTTTTATTGCCCGTGAAGTTAATGTATAGGTAGATAATAAAGCCAGTGATTTGTTCCACACCACTTATAACCGTTAGCCTGGTCCTGTAAGTCTTATTTGTGTGAGCTGTCCTTACTCAAAAGGAAAATCCCAATGAAGATAATGAGAACACTTCTGGCAGGAAAGGTTCCAGAGTTGATCCTTAATTAAAGTCCCTTTTAAAAATGTCATTGTGGCAATATTGCTCTTACATTCATACTGTAAGTGACATGAAGAGTCAGTGAAGGTTAATTGCTTTGAAATTATATTTGTAGCTTTCTTAATTAGACTCTGAACTGGAGTTTTCAAACTATCTTTCCAAGGATAACAAAGCACAGCAAAGCTAACTGTCATCTAAAGAATGCCCTCAAATTAATGGGAATTCAACCAAGAACAAACTGCCAATGAATTCCTGTTCATACATTCTCTTTGGTAATTTTGCAGGCTGTACAAACCCTTTAGAGGTAAATTTAGCTCTTGAATCTTTGTCTAATACCCATTTGAAAAGAAATGGTTTTACTTTTCAATTTATTTTGGAGACGCAAAAGGCAGGAAAAGGCTATTTTCCGCTGTACTGGTAAGACATACAAACTGAAAGCTGAACACCCGTGGTCTGGTTACAAAGCTACAGGGTGAGGACACGTGCGTGCATGGATCAACGTGCATCTTTGCTCCATGGGATCCCCAGACACGGAAACATTTGATGTCTGACACTCACCATACCGAAAGCTATGTTCCAAGCAAATGCCTACGCTGGAAGCAATACAAACTAAAAGCACAGATGTCATCCGAAGTAGTAATCGCTATATTAGAAGTGTATTCTTTAGTACAGGAGAAATGTCCAACCCTCTGCACTCCCAGGTAAACCCCCGGTGGTAGCTAGCTGTCCTTTGCTGAGGCAATAGCAGGTTCTTACCTCGTCTAACATCAGAGAAAGAAAATCATCAGCCGTAGTACCAGCAACAAGATGAGCCTGCAGTATTCCAGTGAGTATTACCACACATGCCCATAGGTCATAGGTTATTTGTTTGAAAATGGGTATATTATTATCACTTTTTTTGTTTTCATTTTGCTTGACACTTAAGGCTGCAGCTGACATTTTTGTTTATCAAAAGAAAATATTTATTAATGGTTAACGGGGAGTTTTCACATCATATGCCTAAAACAGGATCACTTCTGGATGAAGAATGTATTAGTGGCTTTGTCTGTTTCAGATTTGGCACATCACAGCCTCTAAAGTAAAACAGAGAGTCGTGAAAGTGCTGAATCCCTCCTCCACCTTCCTCTGCCCTTCCCCCCAAATCACCCTGACAACCAAATTGCTTCTTAATTTAAACTGGTGCACTCAGGAATATTCATCTGAGATAGAATGAGCTTTATGTATTTTTCAGGGATGCCCTGTTTCATTCAGTTTGCCAGGCAATTAAAACTTCCAGAATCAGACAGTATTTGAAAAACCCATTACAGGGCATTTCCGAGTTTGGCTGCACAAAGATTTGTTTAAGAGCAGGAATCTTACAGAACTGTGATTCCCTGCTTATCAAAAGCCATTTGCAAATGTATAGTTATTACACTGTAGATGTATTTAAACCCAAGAGCGACCATCCTGGTTCAAAACAAGTAAGCGTCCGTGCAGCCCTGCGCCCCATCTCCAGCGGTAGCTGCTCCCTGACCCATCCAGGATCTGGGGGTGAAGCAGCTCAGGGGACACGGGCACACATCATCTTGGTAGGGACGGGATTTATTAGGGCCAATCTGAGCATCAGAGAAAGCTTAAAACGTAACTCCACCCTGAGACACACCTGTCTTGGAAATCTGACAAAGAGACAGGACGAGATCCTCCTCATGTACCACGAGGGGACATAGTACAAATGAGAATAATTCCATTAACCTCTGGTATGCAGGGCCATTTTTGTTTAATTAATCCAGACTTTGTCCTAGTCCTCCTAACTGTGTAAATTTTAAATCTAATTTTCACTGAAGTAATAAATATTTAAGTGGTTTATTCAATTATATATTAGATTAATATTTAACCAGAGAGTTTATCACCTTTGGAAGAAAAAAAAAAGGGGGGGAGAAAACAGCTCCTGATACAAAGTTTGAAATGCCTAAACAGCATTAAAAGCATTTTCCTAGCTAGTATACAGCTATCTAAGACATTGCAGCTAATTACTAGTTTACTACTCCCAACTGACTAGCAGTTCACTACACAAAATAACCAAGATGTGGTAGAAAAATAACTAATTGTCATCATGTCTGATGGAAAACATTTTTCACATATTGTGAACTGTGCATTCTTGTAACTGATAGTTTTCAGAAGAAATGCTTTAGCATAAATAAAGCTCTTCCCAAACTGTGGCTGCAGAAGAGAGATACTACTCAGAAGCCTATCTTGAAAATTATTATTTTGTACTCCACACAAATTAAAAAAAAAAAAAAAATGCTTGCCTCAGCTAGGCAGAGCTTCTTTCCTCCAAAAAGAGATTTCCTATTACTTAGGAAATAAGATTAATTTTGGTCTTCACAATTTTGAGATATACCCTATAAGTTATGCCATAATCTCTTTAAAAGAAAACTTGAAGCCCTGCTGCAAAAGTTATAGGCGCATCTTACAAATGTGATGGTTGTATTTTCTTCTTTGTCTGTTTTGGAGGGAGAGCAGATGGTTAACTGTGCCTCTTAAACCAAATGTAGTTTTTTTCTGAAAGCTAGCCTTTCTCCACATCTGGCCTTTCCCATCTGAATGGGAAAGAAAAATGCAAGAAAGAAAAAGACCATCAATATGATCTACTAAAATTGCACATGCTCATTGTACATCAATATTTTAAAAATATTAATTCCTATTGAAAAAAGGTCTGATCAGGCCTTGCCGATTTTGGTCTTAACTATTTTTCTCCCTAGACTCCATATCGTAAGTATTGTCAGTCATCTGTCTTTCCATGCTTTTAAAAGCAGCTATCACAAATGAAGACTGTGCTCAGATCATGTTACAAACATCACCTGTATCAGACTGGAGACCTGGGTGTGAAAACTGTGGCTAGATCAAAAAAGATAAACTGCCTGTTCTTTGATGAGGTGAAAAACATCCGAGGTTATGAAGAAAGGAAGAAATAAGGAATTCCAGACCCAGATTGCAATATTTGGACAAACATCATACAGGGACAAGCTCATATGAGTATTTAAGGAATAATATTTTAGAAAATTGAAAGCACATAAAACCAGGAAAGAAGGAAGAATTCTGCAACCTCCAGCTACAGTATGTGGCAAAACCTACAGTGAAGACATGGAGGTCTTATCTGAAAATTCAGTATATGGAGATTTATATTTCCAAGATGGTTGTATTTGTGAATGATTTACTACATCGTCATTAAGTAATTGTTCAGCATGTACTTGGATAAACATTGATTTATGACAACACAGAAATCCCAGATATGTTCAGCTGGCAAACGTAAGTATCTTGCTCTCCAGAAATACTTGTACAATAGCCAGAAAAATCCTTGTTAGTGTAATTAAAGGACTGATTATATGTTTTAGGCTCCTGTGGCTATTTCTTAAAGAACAGCTTAGTGTACTTCCCACTCATCTCTTCTTCTCACTTAGGATTCCAGATCTGCAAGAAATTTTTCTCTTTTTTACTATAAACCTGAAACTCAAAATCTCTACCTAAGATCTGATAAAAAGCAGACACTAGTGACATTTTTTGGCTAAAACTTTAACACAGTGCGCAAGGACTGAAAGCCTTGCATTTATTCTCCATTCCCCGAGGACTTCAAGAACTCAGCATGTTACAAACTCTTTTTCCTTCCTCAAAAAATGGCCCTAGGTTGGATGAAAAGACTTTAACACCACTGAAATCTGGTCAGCCAGCTGAGCGTCAGTGCGATGCTGGGACCCTCCCCGTCCTGTGCACGTTCTGTCTGAATCCGTTTCGGCACAACCGTGTGATGGGAGGGGATGCAGAGTCACATCTAAAAGCCCAAGAGTAAGGAAGAGACTGTCCCTGGTTTTCTAGCCTAAAGGATAATGTACTTGTTGAAGACAATGTGAACTCCACAAGTAACTGCCCACGACAATTATGTACCCTCCGTTATAATTATAATATAGTATAGTATAGTATGGTAAGAGCAGTCCAGCAAAACCCTAACTACACTAAATATGAAAATGCATGGACTTTTCTTACCACTGGCAAACTGCAAGCAAAATTATCATAACATTATTGTAGATGGCAATTCTTCATTTCTGCAGCTCAAGAATTTCAGTAACTATTTATCTTCACATTCCTAAAACGGTATTGTGGGTCTCTGGGCTAGAAATTTAAATAAAAGCCCTGACAGGTTTTAAAAAAATAAATCATGTTACATTTAATTAGCAACTTTTTCACTTGTTAAAAAGCAAGTAAAAGCTTATGTAATGCAACAGTGACAACTGAAAACTGAAGCTTTAATCTAATATGGAGGCAGGATTTTAACAACTTTGGATCATTTCTGTTCCTGTTCTGAGTAGGTGACAATTATCAGTGCTGTCCTCGTGAAGGTTACCACACTTAGCAGTGGGTAGAGGTGAAAAAGAAATAATTTTCTTAGTGATCAAACCCTCTTCTGGCACAACTGACTCAGACAAATGAAGGTGCCAGTCACAGTAATCACTATATCAGTTAATATGTGTTGGGATAAACATAGAAAAATCCACTTCTACTCATATTTTCCCCATGTTTGGGGATAGGTGGGCACCTTTACTACTGGCTCGTTACATATAGGTCCTTCAACAGAATGTTTATGTATAACTTGAAGAAGCAGCAATTTGTACAAAGTAAATGAACCCCAACATAATACACTTGACTGTTAACTGATACTAATAAAATCATTCTTTTTAACTCTACATTTCCAATTATTTGATACCCACACTCCACAACCAAAGATTAAAAGCACATACTAAAGATGTTCCCGAAATGCTCTAATTACCGACTTACCCTGAAATTCTTGGAACAATTAAAATGCCTGCATGCAACTCACTAGACGAATATTGAACAAGTCATTATATTTTGAAATTCTAGTGAAGCAGAGTAAGACAGACACAGTCAACAGGAACACGAGAACCCCGTCAGAGCCAGCACCTTTTGGGAGAAGGAGGGCAGCTCAGCCAGCATTTTATCAGTCCCCCCACAAAAGGAAAGGAAGGGTACACAGAAAGCAAAACAGAAAATGTCAGGCCTGCTGGGGAGTAAAACTTCAAAGTCTGCAATGATGTAAAAGAAGTGCCAAACAACAGCGGGAATGTTAATCAAACTAACACAGTATTTAATAACCCCCCCTGCCAGTTTACCAACACAAACAAGAGCAAGGCAGAAGAGCGAAAAAAATGTTCTGCTTCATATATGCCAATTCTCCTTCCAGCCACAAAAAACCTTTATGTGCTTTAATTTTAAGGGAAGTTAATAATTAATATTACTGTTAATAAAAATATCAACCCAAATGCCCCCATTTCTAAATTTTTTATTTTCACTGGTCTATTATTGAACTAACTTGCTCCTACTCTTCCTCTTGCAGGGCACAATAACCGACCCATCTTTTTGCTCGGGTATCGGAAGACTCTGTAGTCTGAACCTGATGTCTATTTAGGGCACAGACGTTTAGTGGAGATAACCCTGGCTGGTGACTGGTGCTGGGGCAGACTTCTACTGAAATTTCCTTGGAGATTTGCACCTGGTTTTGTTTTTCTGTTGTATTTGGAAAGACACTACTTATGGCAGAGGAGGTCTGTTTTATTCATTCCTATTGCAGCTTATAAATCCAGTCCCTGAAAAGCTGTTCATTCAAAGCGAGGCATTCAAGAGCATTACATCAGCTTGGCTTCTCCCTGAATAAAATCACATATTTCAGATTTTTAGCCTTTGAGCTGCCTGTAATTCTTTCTGTTAACCTTCTGTTGGTACCCTGGTTAGTGTTGTCTATTCTTTGTGATTTTGTTCTCAGTTAGTCAATGACTGTTTCCCATATCACAAACACTGTAACTACCCATAACACACCCTCTTTCTCCAAAATTTGTCAGGCCTGAAGTTCAATGTGGGATCAGAAAGTCACGTGGGGCTTTTTCTGTTTTGCGTTTTGCAAGTGAATAAAGGCTTCTAGTAGTCAAATGATTTCTCTAGTGACCTTGGTGCAACACTAGTGCCACTGGTACGGTTGGACAAGTGTCACTGGATAGGTCTTAACACTGGCATTTTACAAGCAGTTTTGCTTTCATAAAAGACAGAGAAATACAAACAAAGCAACATCCTCTGCTCTCTTTAGAGTTCTGTTCGTTCTACAATCGTAACTAGGAATGAAACAGTATCAGTTTGTTATTGACCATCGGTGTTAGAAGGACTAATTTTGATTATGCTAATGACATAGAAATGCTGAAAAAGAAGTTTTAATCACATCTTTAAGAGACAAAGAACAACTGCAATTCTGACCCGAGGGAGAATTAGCCATTTGACTACTTTAGGGATGTAACTGAAATTCCAGTGAATTAAAAGGAATATTTCCATTGATTTCCTTTAGCTTTGAGCTGGACCTTTAATTATTAGAAATGCAGACAGACTTTATGCTCTCTCAGGACTCTCTATCTCTCCCTTTTTGTGACAAAGAACTAATTTGAAGGCACTAGTCTTTAAAACTTGAGCTAAGAAATTGATTTTTTCCAAGGTGAATCCAGAAGGAAAACTTTTCATCTTGTAATTGAGATATAATAAAATACTCACTGATGGATCCTTTGTTGGCTGAATGGAGCAGTATAGCAGTCATTCTCCTCCAGATCTGGCAGTGTCTCCTTGTCCAGTTTCATTGGCTTTCTAGGCAACCATCCTCGAAACCTGCTTATTTGTTTCTCGATCCTGCAGCACATGAAAAGCGTGAGCATTTGAGATAGTGTTTTTTCATTACATTACAGAGCACTTACAAAGAACACATGCTGGCAAACTAGGCCACTTAATATTTACAACCAGAAAAGACACAACGTCTTTTGACTTCTTCGAGGCAGACCAAATTATACATGCTGAACTTGATTATTAATAACCAGCTTTCAGCATAGAAGTATCTTATTTTGTCTCAACAGAAAAGCAATGCTGATGGTACATGCTGCTATAAATCTCTTTAAGCCCAGTAAGCTCTTGGCAACTCTCTAAACCTTTATTTCTCAGCTTTTCAGTTAGTTTAAATTTCAGGCCTAACTGACACATTAGACTTTGGACATATAAACATTGGAACAGCAGAGACTGTGACAGAGAGCTTTGGGAGCTAAGCCCCAGCAAGTTACATCCCTTTACTCTCTCCATACAGATTCTTACCTCACAATTGATGCTATTAAAAAAAAAATAAAAATAGGCTACTTTGTTCATTTGGTTCAATTGTAGTGTCTTGCAAAACTACAACCTCCATGAAACCAGAATACTCAGTGTATAGATTAATAGATGACTGCTACACAGATTCTTACATTTAGAAGGTAAAAGCAAACTAAGATCAAGCTGGAGAAATGGCAGATTTAACTGCAGGTGCACTCATGCAAAGATGCACACTGAAATGAAGGGAAAGGGAAGAATCAGAGCTGATTGAAGAAGACAATCTAAACCAAATTCAAACCCAAACTAAAATGTTATAATGAAAAACACATAAGAAAGATGAGATGATACATCTGGCACAATGAGCCCTACACTCTCAGAAGTTCCTAACACCTTCAAGTCCTGATCAGTGATCTCTGCCTGCAGAAATCATAGGCTACAAATTATGGACTATGCACATACTCCAGTCACTGGATGAATCTTCCCAGGAGTGGAGCTAAAGGGCATGAAATGACATCATTTGAACTTTAAGTCCAGTTCTGGATGAAGCTCAAGGACTGGAAATGTACTTGTTTCTTTTCTTTTGACAGAAGTCAGCACAATAACTCTATGACCAGCAAATGCTGTGAGCTCTGCACAGTCACTTGGAGGGAGGACAATCCCTACCCAAGCGGCTAAGTGTGTGGGAAAGTGACGTGAAATTATTACATACTTTCATTTAAAATACATATAATATTTCCTGGAATATTCAGCCTTCTCCCATCAGGTATTTTTATCTTGGATAAGAAAGCTAATGCTAATTTTTAAACACGGGCACATTTCAAAATTGTAACCAAACTAGCTCTGACTTGTTTCGGTACCATTTGTGTATTCCCATTCTGGGAATAGCATGGCAGTGCGGGGGGGGCAAATTGACCACCAGGACTGTTGGGAAGAACTGGAACGTGTATGTGAACATAACATAGGACTTATACTAAATTAATGACGAACTCTTCCCGGGCAGTGTTTGCACCGAGGAGGTGTTTTGCAAAAGTCTGCGCCCGAGTGCAGGCGCGGTGTCGGATCCCAGGGCTGCAAAGGGTCCGACCACCCGAAACTCCAGCTGCAGCATCCAGCCTGGCAGCCGGGAGCTCGCCTGTGCAGACCCTGATAAGAATGACAAGGGAAAAGTAAATTCTCTGCAGGGGAATTCCCTGTCTCTCGGTGTCCAATTTTTCCTCTGTAAAGGCCATAAGCTCTGCGCTACTGTACATTCAGGAGGCTTAGTGAGTCCGGGTATGGAAAAGGGAAGAGGAATCGGGCAGAAGGGTTTTCTAAATATCCCGTTCCATGCTTATTTGTTAACTGAAATCATTTGAATTCTCTAAACTATTAACACCCTTGCTAATCTGCAATCCTTTCCCAGTCATCCTGCAAGCCAATGTGCACATTTGAGATAGGCGTGCTGCAGGTTTATCACACCACGCATGCATGCACACAGGCACAGAGTGCTTTCCCCACTTAAGAGCAATGCATTATTCATGTTGGCTTCTCACTGAGCGTACCCAGAATTTGACTGGTTTGCCATTCTCAAGGCTCAGACTACTTGGCATGCTCAGTGAGCCTGGTGGCAAACAGGTCTGAGAAAGCTGCAAAGCCTTTCTGCACAGCCCAGAACATACAGTACAGTGATCCCTAGGGAAAAAAAAAACAACTAGTTATCTCCTTGGAAAAGAAAAATGACCAGATTCTTAAATTGCTCCAGCGCACTCCAGCAATGCCATCAGCCGGCAGCGCAGGCTTTGTACTCTACAGGAGCACCTCTCAAAAAAAAAAAAAGAAAAAAGAGTGGTGCTGGTGCTAACAAACACAGACACATAGTGTTAAAAATCTACTGTTTTATCACTTCTTGAAGGCTAATCCATGCCTCACCTTCCCTTATGGAGAGGCTTATATGCTCAGCTGCATAGGGGAGGGGTGTTTGGAAAGCAGAGCAACCTACACTAGAGCAGCAGAGTGCATGGAGTGATGAGGCACTGTAGAGTTAGCCACAACGAAAGAGGAGAGTGGAAGATTTGATAATAACATCCTTCTTAAATTCCTTCTTTAAAAACACTCATTAGCCTCATAAGGCAAAAAATCATTCTCTTAATTCACACAGTGTCTCAAAGACAAAAGTCGCTTCCACTCCAATCCTGCCCCTGCTCTCCAAGTCTAATCTTTACCCAGTATCCTCTTTCTGAAGATACATACTGTGCTTAACTCACACAGAGGGTTTCTCAAATAATTTCAAAGAAACTGTTTTCTCACTAGGAAGAGGCGTAGGGATAGAATTGTTCTTTCAAAGGGAAGAGGAAGTTAGGAAAATAAAAAAAAATGTTTTGAATCAAGACTGATTTTTATCTGCAGGTCATCTTTGATAGAGCTTTACGCATATTGTAGTGCTAGATGCTGTCTTAGTTTAGATTTTAACCCCCCTGCAGGTACTGTATAGGTACCTGACACCCCTCCTTTCCTCTAAAATATATTAGGGGAGTTTTGTTATTTGAAATATTGAGATCACTAGAATTTTTCAGAGAGAAAATTCAAGTCAGGTTGACAAGTTGCCAGTGACCTGCTCTGGGCTTTGCCTTGTAACAAAAGTCTTCTTTAAAATAAATTATGCCCCAATGTCAATATAATGTGTTGCTTAGCTCAAAAAATGGACCATAGCTTCAGTTACTTGTAATCTTCACTGAACTAGGAGTAGAGGAAGTAGATACTTATATCGAAGCTGTCTATCTGACTTTCACATAAATGAAAATAAAGCTGAATATGTTTTCTTTTTTCCCACTGGGACTATTCAGTTATAGCTTTTCCGCCTCAAGTAGCTATTTATAGACCTGAACACAAAAATTGAATTTAGCCAAGTGTTCTCATCACTCAGGAACTAAAATACCAGAAAAAGATCATACCTCTTCCCATACTGACTTCAAATCGCATCCTGACTCTTAAGAAAATGAATGCAAAACGAAATTTCATACACCACATATAAATGTTAGAATCTTCACCTACTGCTTCCTATCTATTACTTTAGTCAAAGCAGCCATGTGTTAACTAAAATGAAGACAAATTCCAAAGTTAACAGCCCCTGTAGTATTTATTATAAGGTGGGGATGGGAAGTGGGGAGCATCAACAAGCTTTAGAAGAATCATGTGTGTCTATTAGCCTGTGCCAACTAGGTAAAATGCCATAATTCCACAAAGTGCCCATTTGGTGCTTACTAATATAAAGAAGCAAATACTATAATGTGAGATCAATGCTGGTACTCTCAAGTCACCAGCACACCGTGATAGAATTTAATATAAAAAATCCTTTTTAATATGCTCATACAGCAGAGTGATAATATGTGACTTATTTTCCCATGGATGTTCATCTACTGACGTTATCTGCAAAGTGATACAGCTGTTTACTCTGAAATGCAGATTTTTCAAATTCAGTTCTTCTCTCTCAGAGGTTCATGGGAATATTTCCACTGACCTCAGAGTGACACAGTAAATCAAATGCGAGACCTTTTTGAAAACTGCATCAACAGCACTGTGGCATTAAATGCCAGCCTATGATCGGGTCTTTGCCAAGCCTGTATATTTTTTAGGCTTTTTGGAGACATTTTCATTTAACTGTCCAAGGTATCAAAAAGAAAATGCAAACTGCAGCATCGGAAGGTTTTCATTGCATTGTCAGACATAAACCAGGCATCAAACGTAACCTTAAAGATATTTAATAACCGAGAGAAAGCACTTCAAAGATTCTTAAAAAATACTCATCTTTCAAGCTCAGTAATGTTACACCAGAGATGAACCCATTTCATTGCCTTCCTATCTACCGCCAAAGTACTAAGCATCCTGCCGGAGGAAGCAATAAATAAATAATGCCATCGCTATTACAAGTAAGCAAGGTGCATGGAATTGAAAAAAAAAGCTGTAACTGTGGTATTTTAACCCCAAGAAACTCCCTAATGAGCTACATAAAAAGAGATACAGTGTTTGCACTAACACACTTATTGTTCTTTAAAAGACTCCATCAATTGAGAAGTATTTCCTTATTCCTAAAAAAGACAACACAGATAAAATGAATTGCCTCTTCCACATTGCAGATGCCTTAAAAATGCAACTTCTGTGTTTGTTTTTGCAGATACCCTAGTGTCTAATGACTCCCTCCACTCTTCCTACAAACACAGCTAATAAACTTTTCCCTCCAGCTTGACCTTAACCTTTATTTTTGTTATTGGGTCCAAATGAACATAAACTGGACTGGCATAAGAATTGTACTCACCTATTCATGAACTTGTATCGGCGGTGCAGGTAATAGATTTTTCTCCTGGAAGAACAGCAAAAATGAAGCCAGTCGAGAAGAAAACCCATCGTCAGTTACAGTATGAACTAGCAAGGAAGGAAAGGAGATTGAAGACAGAAGCCTGTAAGAGGTGGAGGAAGAGACTAAAAGAGAGATTAACAGAACTGTCGCAGGAAGCCACACAGACTCTGGTGGCGTTTGAATTGCAAGAAGGTCATCATTTTCCCATTGTCTTCTCCTTTTCTGCTATTTGTCATGTGTGAAAGACAGGGACCCAAAGGTGTTTCTATTTCAAAGAAGTCCATAAACTGCTGCAGGAATTCTATAGGGCTGATACAAATACGGATAAATTATCTCACATCCACTAGTGAATTATCGAAGCTGCATTCGGTGAAACACAAGGGGGAATCACTCAGAAAATCCAGGAAAGAGGTACCTGATGCTGCAATATGCCATAACACATGCAGTACCAACCGGGACCAGTGCTTGCTGTGGGGGTAACATCCCTTGAAACACAACATAGGCTACACAAGCAAACGAGCATGTGCTTGGCAAGCCCCCCCCAAAGTCCGCAGCCTCTCCCTCCGCCCCTCCGACAGGCACAGCCGATTTCTGTTGTCGGTGCAATAATCCGCACGGGACCGCGCACGGGGAACCAGTGAGCAGACGCGTTGTGTCCCCCCACTCCCGGTCTGCTCCCCGACCAGCCCCGCAGGCACACCGCGGCTCTCAGGACTTCAGCAGAGGGATCACGTCTTCGTGAGAGTTCAGAAAATCTGAGGGCTTTTAGGTGTGGGTTTGGGGCTGATACTCCTTACTGGAAGGTTTGGGTGCCTGCCTGAACTCCGGTTACCTCCTCCAGAGGCTGACTTTGTCATCTGCTGAAGGTCATGGCTAAATCGAGGTGGTTTCTGTCTATTCTGAGAGGTTCCATCGTGTAACGCTGAACTGCACCACTTCTGGAAAATGAAGGGCTCGCACCACACATATTCTGAATATTTGTTTATATTAAATGTACTGTAGGGATGCTGTTAGGGCCTTGGAAGCAAGCATGGTTGGGAGCTTTCTAAAATAGGGCAGCACTGATGCTTTATGAACTATAGAAAAAAAACTGGTTAGTATTCCAGGTTAATTTTCAGAACTTAGAATTTAAATAACGCATAATATTTTGACATTATTGTTATCAGTGCCCATGTTTTGCTGGTGAAGTAAAATTTTCAAAACAATTTCATGTCAGCCAGCCTCCTTTGGCCAACTCCTCCACAAGATAGTGTTATTTATCTTGCTCTACTTGGCAGGAGCAGAGAAGGGTCAAAGTTAAGCGTTTCTGAAGATGCCATGCACTTCATGATTTTGCTTCAAATATTCAGAGGTATCCGCTGTTTTGGCACCCCTTCTTTGAAACAGCAAGGATTTTATTCACTGATGCATGGGCCTTCAACAATTCCAGCCTAAAATATTGGGTGCTGTAAGCAATCAGTGGCCCTAAAAACAAGGGGTTAGATAAGGGCACCTGGAAAGAGGTAGTCTAGACTAGGGGACATTTTGTAGAATGCTGGTCCTTGTTTTTAAATGGTAAACAGTACTGCTGCTCTTAAAATAAAATTTAAGAGCCTACCCAGCAGACATCAGTAAATCACCATGATTTCCTCTTAACAATACTGTAATAATTCTCTCTCTATGGAGGTGGAAAGAATGAAGCCATGATCCTGAAGCAGGTCAAGAAACCTTTAGTGGTTTTGATGCTTTCTATATAATCTGTATGGCATCTACTTTGCCATCTGCTGAGAGATAGATTTCAAAAAAGGGACTTCAGATCAGGAAAGAACAAGCTGCTCAGTGTCTAAACTCTGAGTTGCTGGTGTATTTCTTAATCATGAGACCTTATCCTCCTGCTGGGGCAGGTTCGTCTCAAGGAATGCCACAGAAGTCAAAGGAGGTACACTTTTGGCCCAGCCTGCTGTTTCTATGGCTAGAACACTCTTTTAAAAGAATATTAATATCTTGCAATGGCTTGTGATAACTTTTATATTTTTCTCTTTAGCACTAAAAGCACAAGAAAGAACAGTTGAAGATTTGCTGTGAAAATGAAAACCAAAATACATACAGAATAAGCCTGCAATTTTGTACTTAATTCATACCCATTCTTCCTAGCAAGTTCTGTACTGCTACAGCTTGTCTCATACCAGAGGCATTTTTCATCCTTAAGTAAGAAGAAAACAGAAGAAATCCTACAGAGGACACCAACTCACTAGTTGCATATTCTGGATCTGATCCTTTTCTTGCTCAGGAGTAATTCCATTAAAATCAATGGAGTTCTACATCTATAAACCCTGCTAATTAAAGAAGAATCAAGACCTCTCAGTTCATGGGTTTTGGTCAGTTCCAGTGGAAGTCTTTATGCTATTTTAACAGTTCTGATAACCAGCAGAGTAAAAAAATCAATATTTTACATAGAAAATTTCAAAGCCCAACATGCAAATAATATTAAATAAATGATAAAAATAATCTGAATGACAATGTGGAATGAATTTGGTTATCAGTAGCGTGTAATAGAAGTTCTTTATTTTCTCCACAGAAAAAAGCATTTATAGTCTGAATCGTTCTCCTGTTAGATGGGATACTTATTTATAATCTGTATTTCCGTAATTACACACTATGCAAGCAATTTACAGGTGCTGAACATACCAGATACGTCCAACAGACATGCACCTTCTGTGCTGCCTTACGTACCTGGATCTTCTTGACCTCCCATTGATTTCAATGAAATGTCCATTTAAAAAACAGCAGCGCACAAGTATGCAGGGGGCTCCAGCATTGAAGGGGTTAAAGGGCCTAAGGATAGAATACCCCATGAAAACAGCTGCACTGCTACAGCTCACCTTAATTTCAAACCAGTATTGTACCGAAATTTCAGGCATTAACAAGAAACAGCAATGAATAGGGTATCTAAGGTACTCCATTTATATTTTCTAAAGATGTGGGGTATCTTACAGAAGAGCTTTTCCATGTGCATTTTGGTGTTATCATTACGTTAGCTTTACAGTATAGTGTGACTTTGGAGGTTCAGACAAAATACAACTACACCTACCTGAAAGGCATTCTTACATTCATTAGTTCAGCGTATTTGCCCAGGACCTCCCAAGGGGCATGCAACTTCACAAAGATGATGTCGCTGTTTGTTAGAGATGACTGCAAAAGAAAAACAAAACAGCCACCGGGCCTTACTTTTTCAAGTAAAAAAAGAAAGAAACCACGGCTCAGTGGTCAGTATCTATTTTTTCTGGTCTTATGTCACCCCTCGCACTTCCTGAGTCTCCCTCAAGCACGTGCAGTTCTATCAGTATTTTGTCAACTCGTTTTCCTTCTGGTTTCCTGAAAGCCATCCTGTGGCTCCCTTCCGGGCTGCACGTGGGTTTCCTTCCCATGGAGAAGAGGACATGGAGGGGAGGCTGACATGCGGTTGTGGGCTACCCAAGTGTGGGGTGGAAATAGGGTTGGTGGGCGATTCTGGGTCTGGAAGTCTGGTCTTGAACTTCAGCTGAAAACAAAATGGCAAGTCAGGACCTGATTCTGCCAGTTGATCGGGTTTTCTGCACACACACAGAAGTGCAGGTGTGTGGAGGCACATCTAGCAATCAAGAAAAGTTTGTATGAACGTGTGGTCCTATCGTTGTTGCCCCACATGGACAAATAATGAAGTCCCAGCTACAGAGCCATGGTCTCCAGCTTCCCTTCCTTCAGCTTCCCTCTTGGCCCCATGAATTCTGAACGTTACAACTAAAGCCAGCAGGAAAAAGGAAATCTGATGCTGCCCACAGCATAAAATTGTACAGATTTGTTGCCCAGAAGGGTCAAGGCCCATGACTATGCCAGCAAGATCTCTTCGCAGTGCTACTTCTTTTCTATGGGTTGTATGTAGTGTGGAAAAGAGCTTCATGTAGGGTACGGGCAGCAGAGCTGTCACCTAACAGAAGGCGGTTTGGCGAAGAACGGAGAACATGCAGTAAAGAGGAGAAGGGGAGAAATTTAACTGTGTTTGCACTCAGGAGGTGAAATAGTGCTTTACAAGAAAGCTACAGCAGAGTCGGCTGAAGCTGACACGAGAACACAGACATCCACACGTTAATACTGGAAGATGAATTGTTCAAATTCTAATGAAAATCAATGAAATTCTCATAAAATTGCATACAATACAGCTTTAGACAGCTGAATGGATCACATTAACAGGGAGAATAACTACAGACTGAGTTTGAGGAACACCCAGGAAATACGTAAAGGGGTACAAGGGTATGAGAAAAGGAAAGTGTGGAGACTGAGAAAACCAGACAAGAAAATTGTTAGTTGGCTTTAGGAATGACTTCCTAGTTTTTTAGACGTTGTAATATATTCAATGTTTCTCACATTAATTCTTGGTTAACACAACTTACTAGGCGTTCTTAAATCTAGTATTGTTCATCTGGGAGCTACAGTGGCTATATGGGCAGGAGGCTCACATTTATACTTCTGATGCCTACTTGATTCTTCCTCCCAGTATCCTGATAGATGCTGAAATTACTGAAACTGCTATAAGCATGTAGCTAAAACATGCTAAAGAGTAGCTAAGACATTATTAAAACATTAACAAAACATTTTTAAAAATGAATTAAGCATTAATTAAAACATTATTAAAACATTAATTAAACATTAATTAAAACATTAGAGATGCTAAAACATTATTACTAGTTTGTGATAGGAATGAAAACTCCAACAGTTAAGATACAAATATATGATTTTCTTTAGCACATTAAAAAAAAAAAGACACCCCCCCAACCCAGTCACTACAGAGTTAACTCTTTTTTAAAACAAATAGAATATCAGAATCCTCAAAAATGGACACAGAGAAATATTTGTACCCAAAGTACTATTGGGCTGCATGAAAAAATGGATTTAGCGCATAATGGAAAGAGTGACTTTCTGGTATTAATAACTGCGGAAAAAAAACCTTGCTGTTCTTTTGCTCATGACATTCTGAAAAATATTTCAACATGAAATGATACAACAGCAACAAAATGCCCCAAAGAGACTTGCTTCAGAGACAATGAGTTCAGTTGTACTCTTTCCATTGACTTTTATGGATTCCAAATTAGGCCTCTAATGATGTTTTTCCTTATAGGTATGTTTCACAAATTATCTTTTATTTTCCCATGAGACTTTAGCAAGCAGATACCACAAAACCAAGACTAAGTTCTGCTGCTCTAAAAATTTCCTGCAAACTACTGTTTCAAACATGAGGTTAAGTCAGCAGTGGACTGGCAATTTTGTCATAAACAGCTCAGATTAAATACAAACAAACCAACCCCATCAAAACACAAAAGAACTGTGTAATAGGCCCAATCTACAAAAGGAAACTATGGTCCTAACACACCAATAAAATTTGAGAAATGGAGGGAATTTATTAAACACAGCCTGTAAATTTAGTGATGGCTATTAAACAGGAAGCCTATGGGCATTTTCCAGCACATTGTAGTTTAAGCCACACTAGATATGGCAGCCACAGTAACATGGGTTGTGGAGATACTGTTTCACAAGTGAACACTATCTTCATCTAAATCTGATTTCATATGTTACACTTTTTCACACGGAAACACGAAAAACTTCCATATAGTTATCACAAATATAAATACAAATGTTTAAAGAATGTTTTCTACTCAATACCTTGTAATGTTATTTTATCAGCTTTGTCAACAGAAGATCTAACCAAAAGACATTTGGGAGGTTCAGTTATTTTCATAAGAAAGAGATAACAATGCCAAATTATTAAAATGGAAATTCATTTCTCTTGGGTTTGCTCAGGTTAAGTGTTCATAAAGGAAAGCACTAAGAAAGCTTGAAAAAAACAAGATTGGAAAGAGAAGAACAAATCCAGATGGAGGAGTAACTGAATGAAATGTCACATTCACTTAATCTAAGGAGAAAATAACTAATCAAAATACCTGAAAAAAAAAATCAAGAGCACCATCTTAGTTACAAAAATACTTTAGTGAATGGAATCTGCTAAACTCTCTTTGCTAAATTAGTATGTAGACACAGTATCCTTCAGCTTCTAAATGTTTCATTGAGAGGAGAGGAGCATTCTTCTGTTGTAATTGACTTTCGAGGCCTGGCTCATTAAACAGTTTGGAGAAGTAAACTCAATTTCACATTATGGGAACACGCAAACAAAAATCAATGTAACATTGCTCCCCTTGGAAATTTAAATAAGACAACTATTGACATGAGCAATCTGCTAGAAAGTGATGTCTAGATGATGAAGAAAGAAAAGCAGAGGAATCAAGGGGACAGACAATGAGGTAAAACCCTTTGCAAACACAAAAATGGAATAAGCGTTTGGAATTGACCTGTGGCACCACTGCCTATAGAGTTATCACCATATGATAATTGCAAGGCCAGCAACGTTCAAATTAATTAGTTGTTTCAGACTGATTCCTTGAGGAGGAATATCCCTAACAAAACAGATTTTCTTCTGGTCGGTAATAATATTCTTGCTGGTCTTCAGAGCAGTGCAAGCCCAGTGTGACAAGAGACTTATTGGAACCAGAGAATCACAGGCTAATCTAGTTGGAAGGGACCTCTTGGGGTCATCTGGGCTCACTCTCTAGCTAGAGCGGGGCCAACTTAGATCAGGTTGCTCAGGAGCTTGTCCCATTGAGTCCTGAGTATCTCCACAGGCAGAGATTTCACAGCCTCTGGGCAACCCACTTACTGAAACTGTCGGGAGAAAAGAATATTTTCTATGGAAGAACGGTACTCTTCTCCAGAGAAACATTGGTTGAAAACTACAAGTTTCTAGATGTGAAAATACATAAAAATTCAAAATGTTCAGTGCAAAGATGGCATTCTTTATAAAATGACTTGTTTCTTACAATAACTTTTTAAAAAATTATTCTTCTGATTGAGAAGCAGTAGCAAGGTGTATTTAGTTTAATTGAACCCTGATCTTCAAAACAGGTTTGTATGGTAGAATTCAGATCACCAGAGCCTAGGTTACAGATAGTCTGTATACAATGAGTTTCAGTGTTCAGTGCCATTGATCTACTATTTTTCACAAGCTGTAATTTTTCCCTCCTTCTCTCTACTCCCCAACCCCCTTCTACAGCTGGAAATCATATTTCATAATTCCTGAAAATGTTAGATCAGTATTTGATAATCACAAGTTTCTATATCTCTGTATGAGAGATATTCACTAGTTCCCAAACTTTCTGGCTTCACTGACAAATCACTTCAGTACCATTCCATCGCTGCCAATCCAAGAATATAGGCAGTACCACTGGCCCTCTTATTACAGACTCGCCCTTCTGGCAAGACTACCTTTCTCTTTTACAATTAAGTTTATACAGACATCGTATTTCCCAAAGAAAACAAAGCAACCACAAATGTGTTTGAAAGCAAAGCTTCATATTCTCCTCCAGTATTACTGTATAAGGAGTGGACGAGCCTGAAGTAGGGGCTATTTATGTAACCCTAAAAACATAAAACACCTGCTGGGGTGAGTTACAGCCGTCAGCTCGGCCAAGGAAAGCTTGGAAAGGGCCGGCACTTATTCTCTTCTGAAAGCAGGCACAGAGTGGTGTTAACTACCGTTTAATTTAAGTCCTGGCTACTAAACTCACACGTACACTCCTGCAGGCATTCTAACGCCTTTTGATGGCAGGATTTAAATATATATGTTCACTATTGACCTGACTCCGCTCATTCTGAAGTTATCATTGTTAGTCTGAATGGAAGCAAAGTTATGCTGACATTGAACGTCTCTTGAAAAGCCCACGTTCTGCTGTATTTGCAGGCTGTCTTCCAGGATCAAGGCTAGAGATCAGTATCTCTTGTCAAATGCCCTCCTGAATGTCCTCTTCCAACACAGACTTTTTTTTTGGTTCATTATGAGTAATACTGTCAAGTCATTTTAAGAGAAAAACAACTGTAGGACTCACCTTAATGCAAGCATTGCTTGAGTCTAAAAGTTAAGACTTAAGTTGAGAAAAGAGATTCACAGCACATAACCTTGTCCTGGTTTCAGCTGGGATAGAGTTAGTTTTCTTCCTAGTAGCTGGTAAAATGTGTTTTGGGTTCAGTCTGAGAAGAATGTTGATAACACACTGATGTTTTCAGTTGTTGCTGAGTAGTGTTTAGACTAAGTCAAGGGTTTTTCGGCT